CACTGACTCGGGCGTCTCCTGCAGTACGACTTCGCAGTGAAGCGTGTTAAGAGCACCACCAATGCGGTCATCGATGCACATTCTCAACGCTCCAACAATTGAGTAAAAGTGCATTGCAGCCGCTCTGATTTGTTACGCTCTACTGTTTCTGACAAAATTAAGTCTTCACGCTTTTGACCCCCAGGCACGCGGTACTATTGCCGAAGTTCAGAATGGCAGCAGAGTGAAGCACTCGCACGGTAAGGATGATCTGCTGTGGTTCAAAAAGGAGCGGGAACTAAATCCGTTGTTTGTGCATTTGGACTTGGCTTCATAGTACGGGCCTACATGAAGCACATGATCATGTTATTTGGGCCAATACGGAATTCGCAGTTTAGTAGGAATGCTCCACGATCCTTCTGGTGGCCTGGGCTGCGTTCTGCGGCAGAATATGTACAGTCACGCCCAGCGTGCCAGCAGCCTAAGCCACGCATTGCTCCTAAACCCGACCTTTTTGCAACGTATTTTTACTCCTGAAAGTATGCGAGTTATTCTGACAATGAGCTTTCTTGTTGGCCTTTCACAGGTCAAGGGTCAGGATAACATATACGTTGTTGCCTACTGACCCAGCAAACATGCCCATTTTATCGCTGGCTACAGCTCTGTCAAGGCATTAGGAAATACCTTTACTATTCGTTGCTCATGGCTAAGAGCTCTATGGATTGCCTAGTAATATCACCACGGATAAGGATCTAAAGTTCTTTAATGCGTTTTGGCGTGCCTTGTCGACCTGCCAACAGATTGACAATCATATGACCACTGCGAACCTCCCCAAGACAGCTGGGTGTACAGCACTCATCAGCTGCACTGTTGTGAAGTGTGTGGGCGTCTAGGCTCCAGAGATTCGTTTGGTTGGCTTGGGTATCTTCCGTTTGCTGACAAGGTTTTTAATATGGGGGTAAACGCGTCTCCCCGTTGCTCCTCCGCATCCTTGGTATACAGTGAGGAACAACTCTGCGCCCTGGTCTTATGCGTTTTTGAAATAATTGGGGATTCGAGGAAGAGGTAACGGGATAAACTATACATAAACACTTTCCTTGCACCTGTATGATGAAACGAGAGTTAGTAAAGGCCTGACGAATTGATTTGCCTGCTTGTATGACTTGTTTATTAAAGACTGTTAGCTATAAATAAGAAGAGCCGATGCTAGACGCTTGCACACTAGATGTGATGTACAACTAATTGAAAATGCTTGGTGCAACACTGCATCCTACGACTTAGTAGAAAGACACTGACCTCCCGACCAACTACAAATTTAGAAGAAAGCTTTGAGTGTTTTTTTGAAAGACCTCCGTCAATTCTTGTCTCTCTCGCCTCACATCGTATAGGCATAAAGGGAAAGGGACACCTAGTGTGTGCCTAGCTCCTCCCTCCAAGCAATCTTGTCCTTTACAGCTAGGCGCACATAGCATCTAGCATACACACAGACACTTCGCGTCTCTTGTACGGGGCAAACAGTGCTCTACAGTGAATAAGATATATCTACAAACACAAAATCGGTAGATTTTTCCTTTTTTCCTAGTTAAGGTCGTCGCGCAGTAGGAATTGCTTCATATAGCCTTGCCCGTTTTACTTGGAGTGGAAAGAGTGTGTAGCAGCGCGCGAAATAGCTGGCCCACCCCCTTCATGTAGGGATCTTGGAGAGCTGCGTGAAGAACAAGGAGGGATTTATTCTGTAGAATAGTCGATACTTCCAATTAAGCTTGTATTCAGCCGGTGCTAAGTGTCTCCTTACGGAGGCCTTGGATGAAATATTACACCATGGCGCCTTCGTGTATCGAGCTAACAAGATTCGCAATAAGATGTGAGAACAGGCTTACCAATTATTCGATCCTCTTTTAATTCTTAGCTGAATATAACTAGTGTAGTTGAGAGTGTTACAGTGTGCCTGGTTTAGTTAGACTACATGAGTGACTCCACCATAAGACCACGGGTGCCTGACACGTCTGAAGCCCACAGAGCAAAAGCTTGATTTCCTGCCCAGTACTCAGCTCTATGGGTCAGAATAACGTGAAAAACTGTACAACTGAATGCCTACCGTCGCCCCTGGAAACAACATTCCAGATCCCGTGCCATTCTTCTGAGCCAGATGCCCGCTTCTCACCCTAGGAAACAAAGCTACGTGTTTCCACAGTAAAGAGAATCATCAGATTGAACAAGGCGCATAATTACCGTGTTCCACAGAAGGAAGGCACATAGCACAGTTTCTTATGAACCTTAAACAGATAGGGCTACGCTCGCTGCCCGCCCCGCTACAGCCGCCCCATCAAGTCTACTCTGCATGTGCATTGGCTTTTGGATGAGGGTACAGGGTTTAGGCTCTGGGGTTTAGAGTCTGGAGTTTTTCTTTGGTTCATCATTTGTTGGGTTGCTCGAGCTTCCGGTTTGAGTAGACAAAATGCAAATCTTCGTGAAAACCCTCACGGGGAAAACCATCACGCTGGACGTGGAGCCTTCGGATACCATCGAAAATGTAAAGGCGAAAATCCAAGACAAGGAAGGCATTCCGCCTGATCAGCAGCGTCTGATTTTCGCTGGAAAACAGCTCGAGGATGGGAGGACCCTCTCGGATTACAACATCCAGAAGGAAAGCACTCTTCACTTGGTACGCGGCACTCCCCCACGGGCTGCCATGCCTGCCTGCCTTGTGGATGCACATCACATCTGCCGTGCTTCGACTCCTCCAGGAGCTTTAATGGTTTGACAATGTTTTATGCTACTATAAAGTGGATGCAGTGCGCATGTTTTATTGGCGGCGGAGCAAGCAGCGACTGTGCTTACCCTGCGGGGCGTTGATGGACCGACATCTTCAAGGTTCCAGGAAAATCGAGTTATTTCTCCAGTCAAACGATATCTCGCGGTCACAGGAAATCACTTTTGCCTGTGAATCCGCAAGGCGCTGCATGCAGTTGCTAATGCTGGCCTGCTGGGTACTATCCCACTGCTCTTGACCTTGGCAGCGCAGCTCGGCCAAACGTGTACCGTGTTTTTTCGACATGAAAATGGCATTATTTCGTTGTCATGTGCAATCTTGATCCAAATTAGGCCCTGAGGATCTGCGCCTGAAGGTGCAGACAGCTCGAGTGCTTCATTTGGCAGATTACTTGTGGATGAGCAGTAACCGAGCTAGACTTTTCCTTTTTACGTATCATGAAAGCCCCTTCGTTACATCATTGCGAGCATTCACTCAATGTGCCTTCACAGACTTGCTAGCTGTCGCGCATTGGGTTCTTGCTGTGTGGGTTTCAGGTGCTTCGCCTTCGTGGGGGCATCATTGAGCCATCACTGGCCCTGCTGGCCTCGAAGTACAATTGTGAGAAGAAGATCTGCCGCAAGTGCTACGCGCGTCTTCCCCCCCGCGCCACCAACTGTCGGAAGAAGAAATGTGGCCATACCAGCCAGCTGAGGCTCAAGAAGAAGCCCAAGGGCTAAGCCACCCACCTCGCGATCTGCTGGGCAGCCGGCAAGAGGATCACAATACGTATACATACGCCATGACGTCTTACAGAGCCGAGAGAATTCCTAGGCTTTCTGGATGTGGCTGCTCCTAGGGGCTGAGTTCAATAGTTGCTCTGTTGCTCCCTGGCCTGTTGGGTTGCTAGCCCAGGCGGCATAGCGAACTCTTCAACACGATTGCGCATCTCACAGAGGGAACCCTCGAGAAACAGCAATTTTCATTCCACTGCGCAATACATGAAGCAATGCGTAGTGTAGCTATCAGCACAACCGCCACAACTAGCAAATAGAGTGTAGTGGGTGCCCCTTGGCCAAACATTCAAATTGCCGACGTCATCGATGTGCAGGCCAGTTGTCCTAGTATGTTTGTCGGCAGCCGAGAGAGGACACGTAGCTAGACCCTACCTGCCACCGAACTAGTGCCGTTATAAGACCGTTTATATTCATATCTATAGGTATGTACCGACAGATCCGTCCGGTTATTAAACGAGGTCCCTAGGTGTGAAGGGGAATGCGCAGTTGTGCGTAGCGCTATCCTCCAAGGTTAGCATATTTGAGGATTGCCTTCCAACGGTTTTAGGGTCGCTAATGCTGACACCCTGAAAGTCTCCTTTTAAGTTTTCTACCCAGAGATGTGGGAAGACGGGCGAGTAGTGGAAAAATCGACGCATGACAAACCTCAGCCCACATTTCATGCGTCAGGTGGTGACTGCCGGGTAAGCAATTCAAGCTTGCAAGTGCTTCTTCGGTTTGCAGCCAGCTTCTGCCTCGTCGCAGCTAGAACACATAAATACGCTGTTTCCCCTGCTTCTCATCACGTGAGGCTTTCCCACTCATGCGGGAGAGCACGCGTCAACACACCGGGTAGGGACACTACCCAAAAAGTTCTCCCCTGAATGTACAAAGGGTGTAGACAAAACAGACAGCCGACCAGTTGCCAGGCGGGCAGCTTGGCGTCTGGCTGGCGCAGCGGTTGCTTTCAGTCGCGCGTCCAGGCACGTCGTCCTGGCATTAAGAGTGCGTTTACCAGGCCTCACAACTCCCTATCCATCGTATGCCCACGGGTGCCTGAAACGCCAAGGGCCCACATCCACGCCGGGTTCTAGCAGGAAAAGCAATACAAACACAGGTGTGCATGCTCTGCTGCACGGATGTGCGTGGAAAGCACGTTCTGAGGAGCATTGAGAGACCTATTCAAAAACCGGCTTTGCCTTGTTCTCAGCGCTGACGACATCATACTTGCCTCTCAAGAAACCACGTAGTGGCTTCCCTTAACGCGTAGTTCGGGACCAACCGATGGACCTCGCATGATTCTCTGTGTGACCCAAGACACCAGCATACACCGTAGCGCGCAGAAATCAGAGAGGCTACTCATCGGGTGTCTGCCCCAGATACGCCGGTTCCCGCATACAAAATATTCCGGCCCTGTAGGGAACTTTTTAAAGCAATCAGCCACTAGGAACGCAAGCACCGCAAACCTGGTAGTCGGATCGGTTGGTCCATTGTGATTAATATGCTCCAACAGAATCTTTCGTTCGTACGTGATGCCACTGGGGGTTATTACAGGCTCGTCCATGAGACCCTGCGTATTCGGATGCGGGTAGCGGCAAATGAGTGACCATGCCTTCTTTAAAGCAACACGCGTGCGCCATATATGTATATACACATATATATATATATGTGGCACTGGCAGGGCACGGTCGTATCTCGATGCGGCGATATTCAAAGAGATTTGCATACACCATGTTAGCCACCGCAATCTACAACAATCCAAATGCAAGGGAGTGGAAAATGGTGTAAGTATCAAGAACCGAATTTTTAGCGGGGTGCATGTGAAGGTACCATGGAGATTCTGCAAGTGAGGAAATCGGGTGTTTCAAAAGGTGCATCCGCCTTTTCTGCCTCTGCCACGAGCTGCTCTAGTTGGGCGTGTCGTTCCTGAACCTCCTCCTCAGGCAGTTGCCGATGTTCAGCCACGGTATCGATGCATTCCTGCAAGCCGGCTCAGCAGGCGTGGAGGCGTTCTCTACAGAATGTGAAGGCTCCCAAGTAGGATTAGCGGCCACGAAACGGCATACAGGAACGAAAAGAGACGGCTTACCTTCAGGAATGCCACGACATCCGTTCTCTCAGCTGATCGCTGTTTCTGACAAAGGTCATGTCTGAGCTTGCGGGCTAAGATCAAGTCATAATGCACACACAGCACCCCAACAAACGCGGGCAGACAGCATACAATCCGACTGACACTCTTGCGTGGTGGTATGGGCGCTTGGTGACACCCTATTCACACGCGGCAGACATCCGCCCTACTCCAGCTTCGTCGGGTGGATTAGAATAAGATTCGCTTGCCATTTAAAAGAGAGTGACGGATCTCAAAAGCCGCTCTCCCCGTCCCCAAAGAGGAGGCCTTTTCGGCCTCCTGTAGCAGAGAGACCCCTTCGTCCAAATTCCCTGCGTTCGCGAACAAGGGGGATGCGCAAATTAGAAGTGCCAATTCGCGCATACGCGTGTGAATCTATCCTCACAGGGTGTGCGTGTGTGTGTATGTGTGTGTGTGTGTAAGTGGCGGAGATGGGGGAACAGAGCCACACTCTACTGGCTAAAAAGACACCTACCGAGTTGTACCAAGGCATCACCTTTGATGTAGAGCCCCTTGATGTTCGTCTTGTCAAGCGCCAGTGCTGCATCTGCATCTTGCAGCGCCTCCGGGTATCTGTTTTGTCGCTTATGGCAGAGGGCCCTATTTGTGAAATAAGAAGCAACGGTTGCATCTATTGCTATTGCCTTTGAATAGTATTCTGTTGCCAAGCCATACATGCACCGCCGGAAACTCTCGTTTCCTAGATCCTTCAAGCGGTTTGCTGCCTCCCTGTTACCCTTCTGAGGAACTCCTGCAGTGCCGTTAGACTTTCCGCCCGTGCTGGCACTCTGCGTGAAACTGTTGCTGCTGCTGCTGCCACTGTTGTGTTCAGCGTGCATGCTTTTGCTGGTGCTGTCTTCAGCTTCCTGGGCAGTTGAATTGCCTCCACCTCGGTCTTGCGGAGGGTCTGACTGACTGTGTGCTTCATGTTGGGGGTTGTTGGAAGTTGAAGACCCCTCGGCCGGAATGGGTGTCGTCGAGGCTCTGGCGACAAAGCGATTCGTTCTTGCGTTTCCGCAAGAGCGACCGCTGGTCCCACCGGAGGTGTTGCTGCGGCTTACCGGCCTACTGGATTCAGTGTTGCTGCCACTGTTGGTGTCACTCGACCTGTTGGCTCTGCTTCCCGCTCCTGCAGCCTCAAGCACCGAATTCAACGCTGCTTGAAAGAAAGATTCCATGGCAGCCTCCTCCTCATTCGAACAATAATCCGACAGCTGCTCAGACCTTTCAGGAGGAAGAGGAAGCAATCCGGTTCCGGCCACGAGCGACCCCGGATGGAGTTTCCCTGTTGGCTTCTTGCAAAGTCACCTGTTTGTGCACTTGTGCAACAGCAGCGCATTCCGCGATGAACAAGATGCCAGCGGGCGAGAAAATGCGGCTAGGGATCCCATTAATGAAATGCGACAATGATGCGGTCAAGAGGTGCCCCAGGTTTCACGTCACACACAGGACCTAAACAACCTCCTTAATTAAGCCACCCGGGCAGGCGGGCAGTGATTCCGATAAGCTGGACCCTCTACGCCTTAATAAGCGAGATACAGGAAGGGCTTCCGCGGAGGACGCCAAACAGACTCTCCCCGATAAAAGGCACGGCAGCCTGGCGATCCTCACTGTGGGACTGCGTACTAGCCAAGCATGCGCAGGACCGTGCCCATGAACGGATGAAGACACTCTCTGTTCCAATGAAACTCCTAAAGTCATCTACAATGGCAATTCAGAATTCTTTTTGCGGGCAGGAATAAGTGGCTGCTCCTGTGCACCGTGGTTTTTACCAGCGTACTTTTGTCGGGCCCAACCGAGGCTCTGGTGCCCATGCACAGCGTAGCTGGTCATTGCGAAGGACGCTCGCTCATTTTGCACTGCTTCAGAGTATTCGATCGCGACGAAAAGTGTCGAAACTTTGAGCTTAGTGGCAGTCCCCCAATGTGCGGCCCCACAGTGGCATGCCACTAGCACGGAGCTAGTAGCGACCCTCCAATACAGGATTGGACACTGGAGTGCGAGCGGAAAGAACAAGTTAGGGGATTGGAGTTGTCACGCATTTCCGGTTGTATTGTGTTGCGTAGTGCTTGCTTCGTGTCTACTTCGGTTGCTTACACGAGAAGTGCCTTCACGGAAGTGGGTTGTCTGCACGTGTCAGCATAGTGTTACAGAACATGACAAAACGGATATATATGCTGTTGTAAGGCGTTGCTAAATTGGCACGCCCAGGCTCGAGTTGTTTACCTTTCAGAGCCCCGCATTCTTGGCTGCCTTGGCCGCCCGAAAAGCACCAGACCAGCTCCCGCAGCACTCTGAAAAGACGGTATAGCAGCACCAAGTCAGCACAAGGAGCGAGATAGCTAATACTGACCACCAAAAGATTAATTCCCCAGATGACAGCGTGAAATGTATGTTGGCCATACCCCGAGTTGACTGGACTGTGCAAGGGGCGGCCTGGAGCACTTGACTGTCTCCCCATTTGATGGTCGTCATACTGGCCCCCGGAGCAGTTTCGTAGCCGTCGTTGCAAGTGCATGTTACTGTACCACTGCCTCTTCCCGGAGCAAAGGTGCATGTGCCTTGCCCGCAGGGATTTGACGCTTTACTGGTACAGGGGTTGTTGTGCGTTTCACAGTTATCGCCAGTGAAGAAGTCCCCGCAGTCGCACTTGTAGAACGGTGGAGTTTGGGTGTCTAGGCAGGCACCCAAAGAGCATAAGGCGCTAGCGCAATCAATTCCTGTGCTAGATTTAATGCCACATCCGTTCGAACACATTAATTTGATGTCTGAGCAAACTGAACCGGAGTAGGGTGGGTTGCACAAGCAGACCTGCAGCCCACCGTGCTCGTAACATGTGCCGTTGACGCATATTTTTTCAGAGCAAAGCGACGCAGCGGCAAAAACGGCTCCAAAATCCGAGCCTATTCTCTCCTTTTGCGGACCTGGTGCTCCTGACTCTGTGCATCCGTCATTACTTTCTCGCTCTTGCAAGACTGGATAGAGCAAGATGAATAGGCATGAGAGCTCGAGCCAGGAGGCTAAAGGGAGGCGTTGGCTGCTGAATGCTGAGGCCCTCCATGATCCAGTAGTGAGTAGCAGACGCCTTCGAGGAGCTGCACACAATCGCTGATAGCCCCTCTCAGAGATTACCATGCTTCCTTGCTGAAAAAAAAGCGCTGAATTCTGCCGGGTTTGCCCTTCTGTGTGACGGGCAGAGTGTCTCTTTCAATATGAAGGGGACGGGACAGCATTAAATTGTCTTGGAACAAGCAACAGTACCGCTTGCATGCCTTATTAGGCGAGCTCACTGTTCAAGAACCTAGGGGCACAGTCGGATCCGCGGTGATGGGGGCTGAGGTCACAGCAGGGGATGGGGCGCACGGTTTGCATTCAAGCCTGCCCATGCAGGCCTAAAAGCAGTCCTTTCCAAGAGACAAATAAAAACTGTGCGCCTTATGCCGGGATGGGCTTGGAATAAGTCGGATGAGGGGGGTTCCTTGCAGAGATGCATGTCCGGTTTGCGGGCACTCAAAAGATGTGCTTGCCCAGGCGCTGAACCTACGGCCTCAAAGAAATTAGAGACCAAGCCTGGGCTGAATAGGGCAACGGTAGACTTGAGCGGCACGTTGTATTCCTAGTTTCCTGCAATGCCAATAGATCATCAGTCCCTCTGCATGATCCGCGCGAGGACGGAAGAGTCCGGGTAGTCCTACAGCGCCACTTTCAACCTGGATTGTTCTGTTGACAACAGGTAATAAAAGGAGGCATAGAGATGTTCTGTTTAGCAAAAAGAGGCTTCGGCGTACTCTTGGAACCGGGGAGTTCTGGTGATTACGTCTTTCTGGTTGGGGAGGTCAAAAACAGGGGCAGCACAAAGCTGAGGAAGACCAAAGGAGGAATGAGAGAGCAGATAGCATTATTGAACTTCTCTTAAGGTAACATTTCAAAGTGAATAGAGAACTTAATGGAAATCGAGGGTTGCAATATGCAGCCCCGCGAGTGCTGCCGACTCCAGGGGGCCTCAGGCACTGCTAGGCCTAACCACCAGCTTAGGCGGCATGGCAAAAGCACCGAAAGCAGGGTTGTTACGCTTCCTTTTGCCTTTTTGTGTGACCTTTATGCAAATATAACTACGTATTAGCTCTTTCCTTGCCCCTTTCTTTCCCCCTAGTTGCAGCCACTGGAAAGCAGCCCTGAGCCTTTCTGGGCAGCAGCTCAGAGCTAGCGACTCTCTGCGGATGCGTAGCGTCACAACTGGCAGAAGGGAGGCTGGACTTATGGCAGAATAAAACCTATCCAGGTGCAGAGGTCCATAAATGCAGTGGAAGGAGACGGATGTGGCTCTTTTTGCCTGAACGGAAATAATGCTTGTAGTACGGCCAGGGGCAGACAAAACCTTCGTGCAGTTAACGCCCACACAAAAGAACACCACATCGAGAAGGCAGTGATAACCTGAATGCTGCATTGACCCCCCTAATGAACGCATCCAACAGAGTTTAGAAAGAAGGGCTACCACGGAGTAGCATACGAGGATTCTACGCACCGGGTGAAACCAGAAGCGAATATGGCTTGGATACTTCGTGCCGAGTTCGAGTACCTCCTGTGCCTTACATCAGAGAGGTTGGACGTGGCGAAATCTCGTGCGCTCTTGCACGCGGCTCTAGACGCTCGACTCCTTCTGTCAGAGGATCCTCTGTACGCGGCATATATTGACGCAGGAAAAGTTGCACTCCAGAATTACCTTCGCGAAGGGAAAGACCGTCAGGGGCTAGGATGGCAGAGTCGCACGTTCCAGGCTGCGGTGTCCGCGTGTATTTGTGATGACGTGAATTTAGCGCATGTGTTCACTGTCCTAAGAGTAGAGGAGCTTTTAGAGAACCTTGGAGATGAACTTTCACCATCACAGTGCGCCAAAGTCATGCTGGCCATTCTCGGTAAATTGCTGACCTTGTCTATGCATAATGCACATATTGTTAAATAAAGAACACCAGTGCTGCATTTCACCCTGAAACCTCTTCCTCTGTCGGCAAGGCAACACCAACTATTACTCCATGAATGAAGAGAGACTATATCAATAAACTGCACTGCCATGATAAAGAACATAAAGTTTCGAAGATATGCATGGACAGCTTTCGACTCTGTTGCTGTGCTTGCAGGGGAACTGCAGCTCGTGAAACGTGATATGCAAGAGTCAACGCACAGCGATTCACCAGAGTTTCTGGAGTTCAAGCAGAGGAGCAGCAAGTTCCTTCAAAGGGCACTACAATTACTGATGTCGCTTATTGCAGAAAGCGGCCGAGATCGCTTCTGTTATGTCAAGGAGGCTCTGATCCACCCTGATGCCACCTGTTCTCGCCCTGCCCCAGTATCCAACTTGAGCTTTGGCAAATGTGGGCACATATACATTTATACGCTCTCAACCTTGATTCCAGTCATTTCTTGTCATTTTCGAGCTGTCGGACCACTATATTTAAGTCCTTGAGTAACCCTTTTCGCTGATCGCATTCAGGCTTAGAGAGGCAGGGGATCCATGCCCTGCTGCATGCTTCTCGTTTTGTTTGCGTCTTTCTGTGATTTCATTTTAATCAGCTTCCAAAGAGGATGCCGCCCTAGCAAAGGCTTGGAGGGTTCGAGAGCCATTTCGGTTGTCACAGGTTCTGCGAGCTGACTTGGACGCGAGCAACCTGTATTTGTCATCTATGTATTCACTGTATAGGCGAGGCGATCCGATGTTTGAGACCCTCATGCACAGCGGCAGCCTGCTGTCCATGTGGCACCGGCTGCATGCCATTTGTAGACGTCCGGTAGCCTTGGGTGAAGACATAATAAAATGGAGCGTTGTACGGCAGGCGCCCCGACTTAATAGGTAAATCTCAACTGGTACGAATCTTATTTTTTTTAAAAGCTAGAAAAGTAGGGTCGAGTGTGTTTATATCCACATGAGCATTTTCGCTGCATCTTAAAGCGTATATTCCTTGAGGTCACACTACTGGCGTGTAGTCCCATGCTGAACAGGGAATCACGTCATATTCGGGGAGTTGCTGATATGGGACCTAAGCACGCACTGGTAAATCGTAACCAATACACGCTTTTGAAGTGCCCATGTTTTGCAGACTACGTCAGTTGATGTTTACTCGTCTGATCCAGTGTCTGTCCCAGCCGCTCTTCAAGCCTTCTCTGGGGGGCCCGACAAGTCATGACGAGAAGAACAGCGTGGAGTCAGAACGGGGACTCGCGTACCTCCTGGCAGATAGCCTCGTACTATCGGGTAAGCATTACAATTACCTGTTTGGTATATCCCGATAGCAAAGCGAATATAGACAAATGCAAAGCAGTGAATGGTTTAGGAAGGCGTGATTTCGAATACTTTCAGTGCTTGGGGATCTGCAATAAGGGGATTGTACGAACAGTTGCTCATATGTGTGAAAACCACGCAAAAGCCATTTGCAGGCTATTCGTGCCAGCACATTAGAACTCCAGGAGAAGCTGCTGAGTAACTTTAATGGAACACGAGACTGGACTTCCAGTCAGACCTTGTGAACGCATGCACATAGTCTATCGCTTAAGATATCTGGAGCCTTGCCAACCAAGATGCCTTGGTGCTTCTTTGATACATGCCACAGTTTTAAAATTTTCCGAGCCTGTGCATCAACTGACTACTCTGTTTTTGTGTCTCAGGGGTGAAGGTTTGGTGCTACGAGAGTCGGGAGCAGAAGCAGCAGATCTTGAATATGGCCGACCAGTCACGTGCGGCGCTTTCTGCTAAGTTGGATTCACTCATGTGCATCCAAGTAGATCGCGGGTAAAACCGGAAAAAGGATTCGTGCAGAGAGTGAACAAGAAGTTGGCAGCATGCCAGGGTTGAGAACGACATCGTTAGAGACACTTTGTGCCATATAGAATGACTTTAGAAGCACGAGTAGATAACATTCAGCTCTCAGTGTCAGTGCATAGTAGTACAAATACAGGCAGAGTATCGACTTTAGACCATGAAGATACATGACAATATGCAACCATGTGTCAGTTAGTGTGGCCGTGTCTGAGCACGAGCATACAGCATAAACAAAGTACATTTGCTTCGTTCGTCAGGTTCGTGGAGCTGCCGCTGGGCCAGGAGCTGCCTGACCTTGACGGACTGGCACGTTTATTTGCCGCGGCTCCGGGGAACAAGCCCGATGAGGAGCCCTACGAGGATATGCAATGCACAGACATGAACCTCTACCAGCTTGTCCCGAACACGTACACCGCAGGTACAAATGAGGGGTCTTTGTTTCGTGCTGGGCTCGTGTTTGTTTTCTTATAAGCAAGCGCAGCGACTTTACGCCCCAACAGCAACAGTTAAAAACGGGTAGCCAAAAAGTTGGCAAGTTTCATGCTAGTTTGCTGCTCGGGCCCTCTGAACCGATTTTTTTGAGCAGCTGCATCGACTCTTGGATGCCCACGTTGTGGGTGTTCATGTGTGCGTCGCAGTGCATGCCTGTGTATGCGGTGTTGTGTATAGGTGTACGCGCACCCAATTGGCCCTCCGTCTCTTACTGCATTGGCTCTCGGCTGCACCGGGCAGCCCCAAACATGGGAGTTTTGGACGAGTCACGGTTCTTTACGAACCCTATGGTTACAGCTCTGCTTAATAAGAAGGCGCTTGAAGAAGCAATCAATACAATCATCACGTCGGAGGGCGTGGAGAGTGTCTGACCAGAAGTCCAGTTTACTGGTGGCGGGATCCTTGCTATCAAGGCCCCCCCTAGAGCCCGCAGGGTCCTTTAACAAACACATAGCTAGTTAGTGACGCCGCTGTCTTCCGATAAGTACGGCCATGTTTCTGTTCTTGCGTGCCGATCAGCCGTATAAACGTGCCCTATAGAATTAGTTTCCGAGGGCTTTTGATTCTCTACTGCATGTAAGCGGCGTCCGATGGCGACAGGTATTTGCCACCAAGGGGCAGGCAGAGAGGCTGCCACGAGGCTTCACAGTGATGCCAAGTGCGTGGAGCTCTACTGAACCAAGGCAGCAGTCCAGCCGGTAGTTCTGTATTTCTTTCTGCCGTGGGTGGTGGGCACTGTGCGCCTCAACAAGGACAGAGTGGTCGTGTAGCCCAACTACGCAGGGTTGACCCCTGTCCGCCACTTCAGGTGTTTATTTGCACTAGCTGCGTTTTGGTTGCTACTAGAGTGTATTAGTATCAAAGCAGGCTCGTCCCCCGTGATACTGGTTTCATAGAAGACACCGCGCCCTTGCCCGGCTCCTGCCCGCCACTCTAAGTTCTACAAAGGCAGTAGCTCTTCTGCTCCTGGCCGATGATCCGGAAGAGAGTGGCTATCCTATTGGCTGCATAATAGTATGCGAGCCGCTGCTGCAGGCAGCTTGCGCAGTGTCTTGCGTCCGCTCAACTGAAAGGCTTGTCGCGAATCGGCACAGCCCACAGTAAAATGCAGACACCACAGCCGTGTTAGGCTCGCTCGGCCTTGTGGCTCAGGGGCGTGTCGTGGAGCTAACTGGCCCTGCAAGACCTTTTAGAAATCGTAGAGGCACGGTATACGCAACTATGATCGCATAACAACACGCCATGCTTACTGCTTCTTCCGTAGGAACAAGTGAGAGGCTGCGGCGACAGCTTTCGGCCGCAACAGTAGTTGAAAGCCGAGTCTTCATGAGGCTGGGATGAACGTTTTTTGGATTCGAGTTTTTCAAAGCAAACTCAGTTCGGCCCCTGTTAGAGGCTCAGCAGTACTGTACACACACGCTAGCTTTTGCTGCTGCTGAGTTGTCAAGGCTGTTGTTGTTCCCTCCAAATTTTACTTATATATTTTTACACATACAAACATATACACGTATACGCATGCATACATATACTAATAAAAGGCCGCTAGTGCTGCTGAGCAGCCAGCGGCACTTTGCCGTTAGCCAGTTGCTGTTGCTGTGTGCGGCAGCACGCGCTGTCGCCGTCGTGTGCCTCCTCCTCACTCTTTATCGTTGCGAGTCTCTGCAACGGCACTTCATTGAGCCCTCCCAAGAGAGGGCCACTGTTATCAGATGTGTCTGGTTCCTCTTGAGATCCATGCTGCTGCTCGCAATTCTTCATGGCTGCAGCAGGCTCCGGCCGGGTGCTGCCGCCGTATCCGCCTTCGAGAAATGCATCGCAAGAGCCTGGGAACTGCAGGCACATAATGAAAATAAAAGACGTAGCACTGCAAGGCGGAGGGCATGTCACATGCAAGCCTCTTGTATAGGGAGACCTGGTCACAAGCCACCGCAGCACGAAACACGGCTAACTTTGCGGAGGGAGTGAACGGCGTTCTGCCGCTGAGGAAGCGCTGCCTTGGTGCAGGGTCGAGGCAGCAGCAGCAGCGTTCTTAGGAAGACTTGCATGGGAGGGGGGGGGTTGCACGCAAGGCGTGTCTTCGCCATCTGGACGGTGAAGCGGACTCTTCCCAAGCCTGTAATAGCCGGAGGCTGCACCGTTGAGGCCGTTCAGGAGATGGAGTCTTGGCAGCAGCGGCTGTTGTTGCTGCTGCTGCTGCTGCTGTTCAGCCTGGTGCTCCCGAGCGTGCTGCTCCGGCTCTTCCAAAGACAATCCCGCCTCCGCTAGCTGCTCTCCTAGACTTGCCTGCCCTGCACGGGAGAGCCGAGCAAGAAGGCCCCCTAGCTGCCTTTGTTCGGCTGTCTGCTGATCTTGGTGCTCCAGACGCTGCTGTTGCTGCTGCTGTTGCTGCTGTTGCTGCTGTTGCTGCTGCTGTTGCTGCTGTTGCTGCTGCTGTTGCTGCTGCTGTTGCTGCTGCGGCTGCAGTGTCAGAGCAGCCATACGGCTTTGCAGCTCTCTGAGGCTGTAAGAGCCGAAGGGCGATGCTGTGGCGACTGCTTGCTCTGTGTTGCCGCATCCCTCAGCCTGCAGCGACCAGGGAGCTTCCTGCAGCTGACGAGGCTCCTCCGAGTCATGCGATTGCTGCTGCCGAAGGAGCTCGGCGACTTGCAAGAGCTCGCAGCGGCCTTGCAAAGAAAGCGACTGCTGATGCAGCGGCTGCAGCATCTGCGGATGGTGCGACAGCGGCTGCAGAATCCCAGGAGATGAGGTCTTAAGGTTCTGTTCAGCCTTGCGCGCAGCAGCAGCGCTGAGCGAGGCAAAGGCATAGCAGTCGTCGCCAGTAGCTGTGCTCGCTGTGCTGCGGGAAACTGCTTGGCTCCACGCGTTAAGGTCTCTGTATGCGTATCCTGAGGCAGTTGCGGCTGCTGCAGGCACATCGTCTGCGAGCGCTGCTACAGTAGGCTGCCAGCCGTGCTGCTGCTGCTGTTGTTGCTGCTGCTGCTGACTCGCGGCTGGCTGATGCCGCTGCGCCTGTTGCTGCTGCTGCGGCAGCACTTGTGGTGGCTGCTGCAGCGCGTGCTGACGCGCAAACAGGGTCTCTATGTCCACCACTGGCTGCTGCTGCTGCTGCTGCTGCTGCTGCTGTTGCTGCTGCTGTTCTCGTAGAGCTGCTGCGGCTGCACTCTTGGGGACCTGCAGCATTGCAGGAACTTCAGTCCAAACGTCAGCCGAGTGAACGTGCTCCATCATGGGGTGCTCTTCGGTCTGCTGCTGCTGCTTAAGCGGCTGCTGTTGTTGCTGCTGTTGCTGCTGTTGCTGCTGCTGCTGCTGTTGCTGTTGCTGCTTCGTTGCCAGGTCTCGAAGAGAAAGGGTCGGCACATGAGAAGTCGGAGAGCGAAATTGAAGGGCACCAGGAGATCGGGATGCCTGCAGCAGCAGTCGGGGAGATTATGCAGATTTTGATTGTGGAGGCTGCCGTCCGCCGTGCAGAGTTCTCCCCCTGATGGCTGCTGCAGCTGCAACTTGCGCCGCAATCTTTTTTGCGGTGTTCTCTAAGTCTCATAGCAGAGGGCACGGCCATCAAATACACTGCAGCAGACGTACCGTCATTTCTTGGTGAACGACTTGCTGCTCTCGATGCGACTGAGGCAGCAAGCCTCCTTGCAGGGATCCCTGAAAGGTGTGAACTGCATCTGGCTGCTGTTGGGGGTGAGACTGCAAGCGTAAATCCGAGGATACGAGACAGCACTGCTGCAAGTCTTGAAGCTGCCGCTTCAACGCTTGCTGCTGCTGTTGCTCTTGAGGAGGGCTTTGCTGCGGCTGTTGCATGCGGCTGAATGCGGGGGAACGCTGGCGGTCTTTAGAAAGCATAGCGGACTGCCCAGCGGCTTCGGCTTCCAGCAGCATAAGCAGCTGCTGCTGCTGTTGCAACGTCTGCTGCTGCTGCTGCTGCTGCACCGTCTGCTGCTGCAACGTCTGCTGCAGCGTCTGCTGCTGCTGCTTCATACTGCCCAACCGCACAAGCTTGCCGTGAGCCTGGTTCATAGCAAGGTGCTGCAGCAGCAGCAGGTCCTGAGGCAGACCCTTCTCTGGAAGTATTGGCTGGTGCTGACCATGCGGTGGCTGCAGCTCGCGGCGCGTTGCCATCGCCATCTGCTGCTGTGGATCGTGAAGCGGCTGGGCGAAGACGTATCCAACTTCGAGCTCTCCGAGGGCATGCGCATATTTACAGCTGGCTCCGTGAAGACACTTGCCTTGCTCACACCCCACGCGCACAGCAAAGAAAGGAGTTCTGAAGGACGTGGTGGTACACGGCACAAGGAAGCAGACTGGTTGCGAGTGGAGTTTGCTGCTCCGATGCATGAGCACCGGTTTACACCGAGCGCTAACACACGTGGCAGGCAGTATGGAAATCAAGTCATGTGCGGCTACTCCCCGAGGGGGCTGGGGTATGAGGCGACTGCAAGGGACGGGCAAGGGTGCAACAAAACGTCAAAATATATCGACTTCAGACTCGCGCAGCCTCGTGCTCTGGAGTCGAAGGCATGAGCTCACCTTCTCTATACAGCCTGCATAGCCCTTTCTTTCCTGGGAAATCCCGCAGCTCCTGCAAGCCGTGGGCATAGGAACAATTGTTGTTGCTGCATTGGCCACCCAGGAAGGCGTTGCAGAGTTTCGTCTTTCTCAAGTCGGGCAGCTGCCGCAGTTCCTCAGCCGAATGCGCAAAGGAGCAGTTGCTGCCACGGGTACACTTTCCCCGTGCATGAAAAACGCACCATGCCGCCTTGTAAACCCTAACAGCAGGAAGTGACGCATGACAGAAGTCGACGCTCAGGCCGGTAGTGCTTGTGTATATAGTTGTGCTCGCCACTCTGCTAAGCGGATGCAGGCGAATACTTACTGCATTTTGTGATGAAACGAATTCGGATAGCGGTGAAACAAACACGTAGGGTCCGCTGCTCCCTGGTAGTGATCAAAAAGGGGTTCCAATGGAGATGCGGCTCTCTCGCTGAACAGATGCGAGGCCGCGAGCACCGACAGAAGAATGCTCTTCTCGCCTTTCACACGTTTATATTATAGATACGAAAGACCTGCTCAGACCGCCGCTGAGAATGACCTGCAGCTGCTGCTGGAAATACCAAACCAAACGTGAACTTGGGCTGCTCGGCGAAGAGAAAACGCCAGATCACTCCGGAAAGGGAGTGCGTTCTTATGTTACTATCTCACGGACGTTTTAACAAAAGGTTACAGCCGCTCCTGAGAAGCCTTCAAATACGCAGGTGCAGCTCCGGACGAGAATGTACAGCCGAAAGAGCTGTAGTGTGGAGTGCATTGAGCGCTGCAGCAAGCCGCGCGATGAAATAATAGAGGCATGAGACCAGAGGCTATTAGAGAGAGAGCAAATTCGTTCGTGTGCAACTGAAATGCGCCCTTAAACCTAACACCTGTCAGTCGGTCTTGGACGGGCACGCGCAGCGCGTGGCGGTGGAAGTGTCTAGCGATATTAGAAATGGTAAATGATAAACAGGATTTTACCAGCAGAGGTTAAACTCTGTTTGAGTGTTGATGGAAAGGGCCAAAAACCTTTTGAAGGATAGAACCTGAACTGACCGAGGCCCCCGAGCAGTAGCAACTCGTCGGCTCGCGCATAGTTGGCGAGGCGGAACCCTGCGAGAGGAAACAGTGAAACTGTCTGGATTCGAATTTCAAAATAACCCAAGATAATAAAAGCAACAAATGAAAATAAAAGGAAGTGGCTGCAGTAACAGAATTTGACTCAACTGGTCACTGCTCGCGTCAGTGTGCAGCGGTGTTGCTGCGCGATGTCACCGTGGGGCGACCGGGGTCCCGTCCATTGCTGGTTTCTAAACCCGTACGTGCAAGTACGGCCAAACGTCACGATAATTCACGCAAAAATACGGACTTAATACCGTTTCTCACGCAGAAGCTGCTGTGACCTTACAGAAACTGCCAGTTATTGCGTGCCCAGCTCTGGACACATTCAGAGCTCACTAGCCGCTGACGCCATATGCATGAATGGCACCAAAACCCCTTTCACGACGCGAAATACGCTGTAAGTAATAGAAGTGTTCTTGATCGCGCTACGTTGCCCTTATTAATGTGGTTGCCTGCCTTTACTAGCCGCTGACGAGGACCACGACCCGGTACAAGCTGACGATTCTACCAGGTGGGACCTCTATCGTCAGAGATTCGAGTTAGGACATGATTCGAGTATTTTAAGGGTAATGGTAATGAAGGCTTTGTGCCTCTTCAGCGATAATTCACATCAGCAGCATAGAATTGCTCCCAAAGAACGCTTCTGTGGCCAGCATCGTGATATTTTTATACACTGCAGTGATTACCTGCCAACTTCGTGGCTCTCTTTCCCAGCCAATAATACTCGCCCATGCGGCCTTTCTGTATCGCTAAGAGCTATAGTGCACCCAGAAAGTTTATGGCCGCAACGGTACTTTCAACATGCCAACCGCCGCGTTCTGCAGGGGTTAGACGTATGTCAGGTAGCCAAAATCGTGTAGGATAAGAGGTCACGAGTGGGACAGCAGCATTCTTACTTTGTGTGTCTATTGAGAAACATGGACTCCACCATGGAGTGCAGTGCATCTTCACTTTTCTACAACCAAGGCAATTAGGAGCTCCCTAGTTAGCTTCGTGCGCACAGTAAGTCCTCTGGATAGCGGGAAATCGAAGTAGTTTTACCATACCCGTGTCTTTTACAGTAAAATCTTTATGCAGCAACTCAATTTCGGTGCACCTGGCCTAAGTTGGACAAAATTTTGAGCTGTCTTGATAGCAGCTTATTGCATCAGACCTGAAACGCCGTAAAAGCGCAAACAGTCGAGGCTTCAGCTTACCCCTCATAGCTATTCATCAACTGATTGCGACTATTATAATCTTAACAGGTGGATGCCCTCTTACAGCCGATAATGGGATAGAGTTTATAGAAGCGTTTGTCGACAAAAAAACTATCTCACTCTGGTCTACACACCACGAATGCTAGCAAAATGAATTGAAGTAGTGCAGTTGTCTTCGAAGAAACCTTTAAAGATGATAGTAACCTGATACCCCTGTGATTTTACGAGGTTTTATATACGCGGAGAATAAACATACAGGAAAAGCACGAGTGACTCAGGCACCTGAGCAGCAGGCCATCCACTGCATAATCGCTATAAGATGAGTAAAATGCAAAATCCTAACAGGATTAACGCGGACTGCTGTATGCACAAAACAAGAACTTTCCATGCATCAAGTGCAAAAAAGTTTTTTTCGGTTTCTTTGAAGCTTTGAACAAGCTCTCGAAATCAAGCACAGAGCGGTACCAAGACAGTGGCACGTACAAATACATCCCCCTTTGTGAACGAGCGTACGCGCATCACTGAATTGTGAAGCCCACGAGCCAGGAGGCGCTGTGGGCTGCACATAGCCAGTACTGGCAAACAGTTGATCATTTTTGGATGAATCCTGTCAGTACTTGGTATTCTTGATCTTCTTGTTACTTTTGGCCTCTTTGAAAGTGGATCAAAACTTGTTCGGACCAGCAATGCTGTGCGCGTTGGGCTGGGGAGCCATCGGAACAGAACTCCAAAAACAAAGCACACACCTCTTTTCAAAATAGCATACTCCAAGCACCTTGCTGAAACTCGTGGGATTCTTCAACACTGAGGCTAACCGGAGGTGGCAAAAGAAGGCCTTCGGATATTTTAAAATAGCATGCACCCTAACAAACTGAATCTCACAACAAAAACTACGGGTGTCAGCTTGATTCGCTCATAAATCTAATGCTGTTGTATCAGCGTTGAAGCTAAGGCTGCATATTTCTTAGCGCATGTGAGTACCCTAGTGAGGCCGACCGCCTACCAGGCGGCTGTGGGGGAGGTGTAAAACAACCCTCATATATCGTCGGAACACTGTGTGAATATATGAAACGGGATGATCTACTATAGTAATTTGTAGAGGATAGACCTTCTCTCGTGTGCTCTGTTTTCTGCTCTTTATGGCAACTTGAATCCGTTCCCTCCTGGTCCATCGAGACATCTCGTACGGGGGATGTTCAGGTATGCAGCTGTGCACAGCGCCCATCCTGCCTCTAGTATTAGCTGGAGTCATTATTTTTAGAAGCATTCAAATACTTGAAAAAACTACAAGGTCGCATACCAAACTCTGAACATACCGGCAGCCCGGGGAGATGCCATGGAGAGGACCAGGGCAGGCACCGGTGTGCAAATACATCGAAGCAGAGAAGAGAAAAGACAAAAGGGTTGTTGATAAACAGTCCATCAGTTTGATTTATTAATGATGCAGAGACGTACAAGTCGCCCCCTGTAAGCAGTTTGCTGCCGAGGCCCTGCCTGGTCGACGTTGAAAGTGGATAGAATCTTATGCATCCATATCGCCTCCTTTGGCTGCTTTTTGCCAGATTGGGTCGTATGGAATGATTTTTAGCGTGTATTTTTGTGGCTTCAAGGCTACATTGAGAAGGCCATAGTGCAAGGGCCACGTCCGACTATATGCAGCGTCAAGGTCACGCCCAGACAACTCGAACGGCGGCCGACATAACCCCAAGCACCTGAGTTTCATGGGCACTTCCCTATAAGAGGCTGTTACAGTATTAGGCCCTCATGGATGGACATTGCAAAATTCTAATCGGTGACAAGGGAGTTGCAGTTTCCGCCGTCTCGGAAGGAGGGTGCCTATGCAGCGGCGACACATATCCCGTCGATGGAGGAAAACCCTCAGTTTCATGTCAGATATGCGCAGGCCGACGGATCACCAGTCACTCCGGTATTTGTGGGCCTACAAGAGCGGCTCGTTTGGCGGCAACTGACCTGAATGGAACGAGAAGCTACAAAACTGTGAATAGCAGGCAACGCTTTGCCCCTTTCGCACGCTTCCGCAGCTTCGGGTATTTCGGCTTTGCGATTTTCATCTTCATTCTGTTTTTAGCTACAAATTTGAACCCGTCTCAATGGCGGAGCTACAGAAGTGCTCCGACTATGGTGGTGCCTCTGGAGGAAGCCACGCCCATCTCTTTCTTGTGGATACCCCAGCTGCCCTTGAAGGTACTTGGTGCGCTTTTTAGTGACTTTGGAATTTCAGGTGCTTCAGCAGTGGCTTGCAAAGACAGCCCATGCGATGCGGCGCCTTGCTACGAGCATGGAGAAGTCCGGGTTTGCGTCTGCCCCCCACCTTTTCGGGGTCCCACGTGTGTGGACAAGGCTTCGCTTTGTACTACGGATTGCGGTATCAGTCAGACTACCGGAATCACTTGCTCGAGCGCGCTGTGTTCTCTGGGAGAATGCGTCGATGCGGAGGCAAGTCCGTTCTTCAAATGCGAATGCGGGGATTTTTTTGAAGGCACCAATTGCGAGATCCCTGCAAACCCGTGCACAAGCAGCGTTAACCCGTGTGGGCAAGCCACATGCACCTTTTCTCCAGGGAGAGGCTCAGGCACAGTCACGTGCCAGTGCAATGATGGTTGGGAAGTGGCATCAGGGGCTGGTGTGGTTACGACCAAGTGGGGAAACAGCGAGGTCATCATGAACCCGCCGTGTAGCGTCCGTGTCAGCCGAGGCCTCGCGAAGATTTCCTTCTCCTTATCATCAGGAGAGCTTATGCTTTGGTGGACTGTCTTTGCTGTGATTCTTTGTATTCTCCTCTATTGCTGCTACAGTGTAGCTGCAGAATCGTGCGCCGACTGCTTTAAGAAGCTCAAGTTTGCGGGGCGGGTGCAAAAGGCCGCGGGAGCGTGATCATCACAGGCGCATCCATGACTGGCTAGCTCTGAAAAAGCCCACATATTCGTACTATAGAAGGAAACGGGGATAAAATTGGACGTTTCTGAACCCAAAGGTGTAACCGTTTGCATACTTGTGTGTTCGTTGGAGGGAAGCACCATCGAGTCCATGGCTGCCTCCTTTATTCCTTTACGCCGGTACACTCGCTCGCTGAGTTATGGTTGTACTTCAGTGCAGCTGCTGGAGTTTCTCAGTGATAAGATGCCCCAGGACAAATCCAAAGCTCTCTGTACCCAACACTGAAACCGCATCTGAATGCTAAATCCGCCCCGTTCATGACCCCTGCTTTTCTTGCACTCCTGTGCCTGTTCCTTTTGAAGTTTTTTCTACCCCCACCAGTCTCTTTCGAGTGGGCAGAACTTTTCAGACTGAAGAGCTATAGATATCCGCAGGGCACCTGTTTCCCCTGAGGCTTTGCCTCCAACCTATTGGCGGCTCCCCCAGAGTTGCCCAGACACTGTAGTTGCCGCCTCTAAAAGCTTCTAGTCTCTAGAGCGCCTCCTCTTATTCTGCCTGCATTGCGCACTTTCGGCGCGAAAAAGCAGACATCATAAGGTAAAGGGAAGGCGCAAAGACGAGAGAGAAACCACCACGAGCCCTCTGAAGCAAAGCGAATGCAGAGTACTGTCTAAGGCCTTTAGATATATGTATATGGGCGTCGATCGAGAAGTTTGCTCCTCGGCCGGCCGGCCCATCGTTTCCCCCTCTGCGCACCAGCGAGTGGGTTTACTGGTTCAGCGCCTTATGATGTACCTGCATATGATCCTTTACTAAATACCGTGCTCTAGAGCCTCCAGTCCAATGCCTGTGCATTCACACATGAGGAGGCCCCAACTAATACTTACACCTAAGAGACCCCAAGGAAGTGCGCTGCAATAATACAGCAACGCCTCCTGGTGCGTCGAGTGCCGAGATGGCTGCTTCGCTCCATTCGTCGTGTGCGAGCCGTAAGCAAGCATCTCTATGTGTTGCTTGTTGGACACCTTGACATGTGCGAGTCTACTGCTCTTTCGTGTTGTGCAGTCGGCGCAAGCACGTGCGGCCGAAGCAACAGTGCGTGCCACTTATTTATACTGCAACGCCCACCCTGCGTTTTTGCATTTCGTTCAGGAGAAGATCTGATGCAGCATGCAACGCTTGGCGGACGCCCCTCCTCTTAACAGCGAACCAGACGGGTTGCTGAATTCCCTTTATCCTTGCTGCATAGCTGCCGCGCTTCTCGTTCCAGCTGATATTTTTTGCAATTTCTGCTGCTGCCTCCGCTACAGCAGAAGCTTCCCCCGGAAGGGCAGCTTCTTCCCGCAGGCGTGCGGCTGTTGTCGCAGCCACCGAAGCTGCCACAGAGCGCACAGAGTAACTCTTTCGGCTGCAGACGTCCTGCGCACACTTGCTGGGTGTAGTGTAGCTGGGGTCGAGGTTGCCGCCGCTCTCGCAGGCATCTGCCAGCATGCATGCAGTCAGGCCGATTCGTTTTGGCGGCTTTGGAGGGGATGACCGCTCTGGAGGAAACGCCTGCTGGGGGAAGAGCGAAAGCAGACACTCCTTAAAGGCCTCAAGAACGTGCGGCGCAGATTCTGCCGGCAAGCGGATCTCTTCAACCTCTGCATGATGTGGCATCTCAGGATCTCGGATGTGCTTGTGCAGCTGCTTTTCGAGACACGCAAGCGCGGCAGCTCCGGCCTTCTTCGTCGGTGCGCCTGCTGCTGCAACTGCTGTGGTGGATGCGCGCTTCGCGAGGCAGTTCCTTTGGCTGCTGCTGCGGAGTTCTCGGCCGCTAAAGCCACCAAGGCCGCATGCATGCGCCAGGGGATGCTCTTGAGGCGCGTTCGAGAGCTTCGCTTTCGACTGCATCAAGGGCGCGGGCGGTTGGAGCCGACTCCCCCCCCACTCGCTGTACCCCCAACGAACCTCCCCGCGCTGCTCCGTGGTCGCCTCGCCTTGCTGCTCGCTGTAAGGCGTCGAATGACGGCTCGTGACGCTCATGCTGCCGCACTCCGGGGCAGTCGAGTGACTGCCTCTCGCGGTGGACGCCACCCTCAAGGGGGAGTCTGGGGAGGCAGGCAGGCCGCATGCGCTTCTCTCTCCGGCAATAGCCAACTCCACGAAGGCGCGTGCCACTGCCTCCGGATTGCTTAGTCGAGAAAGTGCTTCCCCCCGCAAGATGGAATACTCGGAAGCCTTCACGAGGGCTGTCCCCTGCCTCGCAGAATGACTGCGGGTGCTGCCCCCCCCCCCGCAACGGCCTAGCGGTGACGCAACAAGGGACTGCCGCAGTGCCTGCTGCTGATCCGCTTCTTCCTCTTCTTCTCGCTGCTGCGTTTTGCGTCTGCCTGCGTCTTGCTGCGATGCGGAGCTCCCTGCGTTCTCCTGCTCGTCCTCAAAGATGGACGTGTGGCGCTTTGGCAGTCTCTTGGCTGCTCCAGGAGCATCCGCTGCCCCCTTCGCAGCGCTTGAAGGACTCAAATGACGGGAAGCCTTAAGGGCGCTGTCGCTGGCTCCTGCACGACGCATGCCATTCGAAGAGAAGCGCCTTCCACGAGGGGTCGCGGCGTGCTCCCCCGCCTTGCCAGGCTGCTTCCTTGGCCTCCCCTTTTTCTTGCTTGGTCGTTTGGAGCCTTCCCAGTCACTTCCGCTGCTGTAGTCGCTGCTGACGCTGCTGCAGTCGCTGGTGCTGTAGTACAGATACCTGCTGCTGCTTAGAGGCGCCTGTTCCTTCTTGCCCTTGCCCTTTCCTTTGCCATCCACCCGGCAGTCTTCTTCTTCCGCGTCGCTACTCTGGCTGCTCCACGCATCCCCTGCTGCTGCTGCGCAAGCAGAAGACGAAGGGGCTCTCCGGCTGTATCGACTCCTCGTGAGCTCGCGGCCTTCCAGCCGCTGGTCATAAGAAAATCCTTGCATTTCTCGCTTGCTGCTGCTGCTGCTGCTGCTGCTGCTGCTCCCAGCTCCACACTCTCCACCCGTTCCTGCCGCATGCAAAGCTACCAGAGCCACCGGCTTGCATGCGCTGCAGCAGCACGCCTCGCCAATCGTCTCTTTGCAGCAATACGCGAAGATGCGCCTGCGCCCATGAGCCATTCCGCTGGGAAACAGACGTCTGCGACCTCTTTTGACCGCTGCAGCGGCTTTTGCGGCTGCCTCTGCTCTTGCCGCCAGGAGTTTCTCCCCCTCCATTGCGGAAGGAGGCTCCGGCGGGGAGAGCAGCAAGACGTCTGCTGCTGCTGCTGCTGCTGCCGCCACCACAGGCGCTGCAAGCGCGCCATCCAACAGAGCAGCAGCTGCTGCAGTTGCTCCTTCAGCGGCTGCAGACGCTGCTGCAATGCGCGCTGCTGCTGCTGCTGCTGCGTCATTCACCATGGAACCTGCAGGCGTTGCATGCAACTGCCCTGCACGCCCCCCCTCCGCCTCTCCTGTCTGCTCTTCGTGCGCTGGTAGACTTTCCACTGTCTGTGCAGCAGCGGCAGCCTCGGCAGCAGGAGCTTCTCCTTCCGCCGCTGCATTGGCATGATGAACCCCCCTGCCCTCCGTCCCTTCCGCATCCGACACACATCTCTCCTCCTCATCAGGATTTTCAGACACGCAGCCTGCCAATGCTTCTGCCGCTGCTTCTCTTGCGGTTGTAGTACTTGTAGTAGTTGTATCTGCTTCTTTTGTAGTATTTGTAGTTGTGTCTGCTTCTTTTGCGGTTGTTGTAGTAGTTGTTGTACCTGCTTCTTCTGCTGTAGCTGTTGTTCTTGTTTCTGCTTGTGCAGCAGATCCACTCGCCCCTTCAGCTGCCGCCGCTGCCGCTGTGCCCTCCAACTCTGCCACTAAAGCTTTTGCCGCAGCAAGCGCTTCAATGGCTGCCGCTTCTGCTGCCACGGCTGCAACTGCCTTCTGCTTAGACGCTGCGGCAATTGCCTCTGCCCTCGCAACGGATTTTTCTGTCGTCAGTTTCTTGCCAACTTCCGTCTTGCGAACTGCAGACGAACCACGCTGAAGAGGATCCTCTGCCTCAGCACGTGCAGCAGCAGCAACAGCAGCTGCATGCTTGGCAGTCCTTTGCGCAAGCATGCACCGCAGCGCTCGCATCTTTCGAGCCGACCGCATCTCGACCTCCGCGTTTCTCAGCTGCTCCTTCGCTGCAGCTAGCCGTTGGCTAGCCGTCGTCGTGCAGTCCGCTGTGGCATGAGAGCCACACGATTTTGCAGCAGGTATCTTTTGAGCTCCCGTTGAGACAGCAGCATGCAGCCGACTTCGCAAGCTCGCAGAACCGCGCTCTCTTGCTGCCTCGTCTTCTCCTTCCTGCGCCTCTTCCTCTTCTTCTTCCGCTTCTGACTCAGTGCCTGTCAGCGCTGCACCACAAGCGGCCTGCTCAGCAGCCGCGAAATGCAGCCGCTTCGAGCGATGCTGTACCATATCCTGGCTGCCTCCTACCTGCCCCTCGAGGCTTTGCCGTCTTTCGAGCCCTCTCTGCCGCCTGCAAGGCTGTTGCCTACTCAAAGGCTTCCAGCCGCTGCCTCGATGCTCTTGCCCATGCGGCTTGTGCGCGTGCTGCAGCCCTTTTGGCCATGGCTCAACGTCTTGTTGCACTTGTTGCTGTTGTTGCTGCTGCTGCAATTGCTGCTGCTGCAGACAGAGCTGCGGCGGTAGCATCTGAACCTGCGACTGCGAGCCGTTGAAATGCAGCGGAGGCAATACACCAGGAAGATCTTGCGGCAGCGCCCCTCCAGGAAGAAGTACAGGAGGTTTGAGCTGCTGCTGCTGCAGGTGTTGCTGCAGCTGCTGAACGTAAGGCCGTAGAAACAAGGGGTTTGGCTGCAGCAGTTGCTGCTGCATTTGTTGCTGCAGCTGCTGTTGCAGCGGGATGGCTCCTGCATTCTGCGTCTTCCAACATGCGGTATTGGCAGCTTCGGCAGCGTGGGGTTGAGCCTGAAATTCCAGCGGCAGCGGGGGGGGTGATGCGAGTTGCAGATTACGGTTGCAAGAGTCTGGAGGTTCCCTTTGGAAGCTGCTGAGTATCGAAGGAGGGAGGAGATTTCGCTTGCTTTGGAGAAGGGCAGAAGCCACACGCAAATTCTCACGGCGTCGGCTGCAGGCTCCCTGCAAGATGCCGCTTACTGAAGCAGGAAATCACGCGAATCACAGAGCACACAGCAACAATCTTGCAGTAAATGTGTGGTGACCTCAAAACTCACGCTCTGCGTGTTTCTGTCTCTATGCGTCTTCTGCCCCATGCTCGCGTCTTTCTCTTTCTCTCTCTCTCTATCTATCTCCTTGTCTCTATGTCTCTCTGTGTATCTATCTATCTATCTCTTTGTCTCTATCTCTCTCTGTGTATTTATCTATCTCTGTCTCTCTCTCTGTGTATCTATCTATCTCTGTCTCTCTCTCTGTGTATCTATCTATCTCTGTCTCTCTCTCTGTGTATCTATCTATCTCTGTCTCTCTCTCTGTGTATCTATCTCTGTCTCTCTCTCTGTGTATCTATCTGTCTATCTCTTTGTCTCTCTCTCTCTGTGTATCTATCTATCTCTGTCTCTCTCTCTGTGTATCTATCTATCTATCTCTTTGTCTCTCTCTCTCTCTCTCTCTCTCTCTATGTATATATATATATATATATATATATATATATATCTGGGGAGCTCACCGAATTCCCAAGTTTGCACCGCTTGAGCGACAGCGGCGTGCAGCGATGGCTGGCTAAGGGTGGTTGTGAGGCGGTGGCAGGAAAGCAAGCGGCACTCGACTGTACAGAGAGCGAGTGCGGAGGAGAAGCTAGGGCTTGCAAAGGCGGTAGCCGCGGCAAGGACGACTGGCGAGGCATGCTGGGCAAGACTGGTAAGCCAACCGCTGCAGCTTTCGTCTGAGAGAGCAGCTACCGCCTCTGCATGCGACGCGCATGCAGCTTCCGGCGTGTTCACAGGAAGAGGCAGGCAGCAGAGGCTGCTGGCAGCCTTGGGCATGCGCGTCGAAGCCTCCTGATGCTCCTGCAGCAGCCGCTGCAGCAGCGCGGAGCATTCCTGCTGCTGCGCTTGGGCTGCTTGCAAGCTCTCCTGCAGCAGCTGCACCAGCGTCTGCTGCGTTTTCGCGGTGATCGATGCATCCGAGACTTCAGGGTGTGAGCAGTCTCGCTGCTGCTGCAGAAGCTGGCGTTCAGATGCTGCTGCGGAGGGCTGCTGCCTTTTGTTGTCAGAAGGCGGGGGAGGGGGGTCGTTGTTGTCGCTCCTTCCTCTGCTGGCTGCATCTGAAGACGGCCTCTTGAGGCTGTGCAGTGCCCGAGTGGCGGCGTCTCTGAGGCGTCGCAAGAGGAGCTGCTCGTGACGCGTCTTGCTCTCCAGGTGCTGCTGCTGCTGCTGCAGCTGCTGCACCTGTCGCCAGAGCGGCGGGGAGACGATGAAAGGGGCCTTGCAAATCTCCGCCAGACGTTCTCGCATAAAGGCCTCTTGCTCGAGGCGGTGCTGCTGCTGCTGCTGCTGCAGAGCGTCTGCAAGCCGCTTCTGCTGCTGCTGCACGAGCTGCAGAATACGACTCAGCTGAACCACGCGCTGGCGATGATACTTCAGCACTGCTTCCTTGTAGCAGGCGTTACAAGGAAGCAAACGAGAAGTCAACGCGATCAAATCCTCCTCTGCCAGCCCCCCCGTAAACGCCTCTCCCTCTTCCCGCGATAGCGAGAGAGCTCGGTCAGCCGTCTTCGCTCGCCCGCCTGCAGACTCGGAGAAGCCGCAGATCTTAGCAGCAGACACTCCGCCCCAGGTAGCTGCAGCAGCAGCAGCTGCTGCTGCTGCTGCGAAACGACTTGAGGCCGTGTCTCCTGAGGCGAGCGTTATCAACAACAAAGCCGCCAAACACGCGGACGGCTTGCGTTCAAGACACTTAATCGTTTCCTCCATCTGACCAGCAGAAATCCCTGCGCTTTCAAAGACTTCCAGAGAGTTCGAAGCAACAGACGGTAGCTGCTGCGCCTTTGCAGCGGGGGCGTTCTCCTCCTCAAAACGGCAGCGCAAAGCACCCTGCATCGGAGGCTGCTGCTGCTGCTGCTCCTCCCACTGCTGCTGCAGCACACGCAGCTGGTGCTGCTGCTGCTGCTCCTTCCACTGCTGCTGCAGCCGCAGGGGATACGGCTGCGATGCAGACTGGGGGAAGGAACGCAAGTGCGGCTCTCCCTGCAAGGGCCTCCCCCTCACGCGGCTGCAAAAAAAGCCCACAAAGAGACGCTTGCCTTCTTATGATGCACCGCAAAATTCGGTACTCCGACGGTTAAAAATCTCTGCGAACGGCGCAGATCTCGCTGCACTCGCTCAGGCAAATCCTCGAGGCAGCCGCTCAGAAAAACACACACACACACGTCCAACCTCCCCCCTACACCGTCCCCCTTGCTTTCAAGGCAGCAATCAATCCTTACTGGCTCAGAGTCAAACAACGTCCACAGAGAAAAGCTTCAGAAGCGCCGCAAAGACTCCTCGGGAGACAACGTCCATGCAGCAAAGATGCGCAGCAGCGGCATGCGACAAATTCATCTAAATACAAACCGCAAATCATGGGAAAGAAGCGAAAAACACGTTCCTCTCCCCCTCTCAGGAAAATATAGCCACCCCAGGAGGCGGCGAGAGATGGCTCCACTTCCACACGCAAACAAACACAAAAAATACATACACATACACAAACACACAAAAAACACAAACACACAAAAAACACAAACCCATACACATACACACAAAATTCACGAAGCCATACACATACACGTATACCCAAAAAACATACACCCAAAAAACACAAACATCCAAAAAACACAAACACATACACCCAAAAAAACATAGATCCAAAAAACACAAACACAAAAAACACAAACCCATACACATACACACAAAATTCACGAACCCATACCCCACATACACATACACCCAAAAAACACATGCATCCAAAAAACACAAACACAAACACGAGAAACACGAACCCATACACATACACGTACACCCAAAAACCACATACATCCAAGAAACACATACATCCAAAAAACACAAACACAAACACACAAAACACACAAACACAAACACACAAAAAACAAACACAAACGCAAAAAACACGAACCCATGCACATACACATACACCCAAAAACCACATACACCCAAAAAACGCATACACACAGAACCACGAGCCTATACACACAACACATACACACAAAAAAAAACCGCATACACAGCACCCCCTTCCACCCCCGCTGTTTGATTACAGAGAAGGCTGGCGGATGCTTCGCAAAGCCGACAGCTTGAAGCAAAGTCCTCTCACCGTACGCTGCTGCTTCTAAGCCGCACTCAACGCATGCTGCAGCGCAACTGGAAATGTCTACAAGGCCGTTCCCGAGCTGATAGGCGGCGTCTGGCCCTAAATCTGCAGCACAGACATAGATATCCACATATATATGTATAGACATGGCTAGATACATATATATAGAAGTATCTACACACATATGTATGTAATACATATATCTATATAGAAGTATGTACACGCATGTGTATACTGCATACATATATATGTAGAAGTCCGTACATACATATGTAATACATATATATATGGAAGTCTGTACATACATATGTAATACCTATATATGTAGAAGTCTGTGAATACATATGTACATAATACATACATATATGTATATATATGTGTATATATATATGCAACGTCACAGGTGTTGCTCTAGGCTTTCCTCTAGAGGCCTAGGAGTCGCTACACACACTCGTCAACACACACACACAAACTCAAAAATCCCCTCCCCCCTTCCCCACACACACAGGCGCCCTGAGCATCTTTTTTTTTAAATTTGTTAGGAAATCCTTTCATTGCGTCATTCACTGTCGATGCCACGTAGACAGTGGGTGGCGCAACATCAAACGGCCGCAAAAACGCTATTGATCTTCCCACGCCTCTTCTCAGCGCAAAATGCACATACCCACGAGCCGCAGAGCAGCCTGCTGCCACAGTCGTTCTCGCAGTCGCACGAAGAGCTTCTTGCCCAAGTCTGCGAAAAGTAGGTCGCCTGCGCGAATTGCAACTCCTGGTATCGAGGTAAGCACCAAATGCGGCCAGCCGTTGACATACACCTGCAGCACACAGAATTGGAAGCCGCTCCAACGGATTTGCCAACAGGGAAAAACGCAAGAAAGGCAAGCAGCCCTCTCGCGCGCTTTCTCTCGATGCAGGCATGTTTTCGCGGCAGCGAAAGACAGACACGACAGGGAGAGAGAACGCAACTTGAACAGGAAGCGTGCAGTGGAAGCTTAGTGCAGCTACCCCCTTTCGTCCACACACACACCAGTTTTTCGGCAATTTTCGCGCCGTTTGGTGTGCACAATCACAAGAACAATCTTCTTCCCCTTTTTCTTCCCCGCTTTCTTCCCCTCTTTTTCGTCCCTCGTCTTTTTCCCCTCCGTTTGCACTCCACCGGCACTTGAACCCCTCACAGTCCCCCCTATGTCGCACCAGCAGGCCGATTCGACTAACCGTATGCAATTCGCAGTTTTGCTGAAATGCCATAGGCAGCGGCGAGTCTAGCCTCGGCACTTCAAAGTGTTTGACAGCCGCAGCAGCAGAAGTCAAGCCTTCGCCCCCCGAAAAAGTGCATACTGCCGACAAGCACAGCGCGTCGGCAGCGGGCAGCAGTATCGGAGAAGCTGCATCTCCCGGAGATATGGCAGCACCTGCAAAGCCGACTGCAGCAGTTTTGAACGCAAAAAGGCGCAAAAGGACGCATGCAACCCTCGTGCAAGTGAGAGGAGAAGACACTTGAAGGGTTCGCTGGAGGTACCCCGAGCACTTCTTGCGTCTCTCTCTATGTCGCTCTTTCTCTGTCTATCTATCTATCTATCCATCTGTCTCTCTATCCGCAAGTCGTGTTTCTCTGCGTTGAAAGGGCTAGGGTGACGATTCTGCACTTACGAGCGAGCGCTTTAGGGGAGAAGGTAAGTCCGAAGCGACAGCAGATGTTGGAGTGCTTCCCGCTTGCAGGCAGCTGCGGCTGCTTGCATGCGGAGAAGAGTTCAACGCGTCCTAAGACTTCCCCCAAGACAACAGGCACCTGCAGCAGAAGAAAAAGCCGCAGACAGGGCGGCAGCGAGGAGATATCTGCACTGCAATGCACAGCAGCGTCGAGGCAGATGCCAACGCATGCACATACGCACATACCCTACAAGGGGGTGTGTAGCCAAGCCAAACGTGCTGCGAAGGGCAGCATGCAAAGGGGGAAACGGGAGAAAAGCCTCGACAAGAGGCTGTGTCGGTGGGGGAAAAAAAAGATGAAGCAGCGGTCAGAAAAGAAGCACCTTATGATTCGCGGGGATAGGGGAAGCGTCCTCTCTGAGGCGGCTTGCATAGGCCGTCTCTTCGCATGGCGTGCCAAGCCTGAGCGGATGCTGCGAATCCGAGATTATCAACGTTTCCAGAAGGCTGCTATTGCTGCTGTTGCTGCTGCTGCTCTTACTGCTATTGCTATCGCTGCTGCTATCGCTGCTGCTATTGCTGCTGTTGCTGCTGCTGCTGCTTGTAGCAACCGGTTCAGGGCTGCAGAGGCGAACAAGCAGCTGTGTCAAAAATTCCCAGTCTTCTGACGCGGGTGAGGCTGCTGCTTCTTCGCCGGAAAAGCCTCCTAGCACTTCTGCAGGCGTCAGCTGAGCTGCTGCTGAGGCCGTTTGTTGTGTGTTTCCTGCTGCATCTGCTGCAGGAGGTTTTGCACTACTCGATGCGGCTGGAAGCGAGCTCTGCGACTCCTGGGAAACTTCTGGCGATCCTGCCGCGTAGCAGACGGCTGCTGCGCAAGGAGGTGTAGCTGCACCGCCTTCTGCGGTCTGCGCTGCTGACAGCTGCGGGGGTTGCAAACTGCGCTGTTGCACGCACTGCTGACTGTCGTCTTGATCGGCAGCGTAAGGCTTGCAAAATGTTGTGCTAGAAGCGCAAGATGCAGCCGCTGCAGCCTCTGCACCTTGCTGTGCTGCTGCCGATGTAGCTAAATCCCCCTCGCCCATAGGCCGTCGATCGCACTGCTGGAGCTGCGCAGGCTGCAGAGAAAGGCGCTGCACGCGCAGATTGGAGCTGTGGAAGCTTTCATGCAGTGTCTGGTGCTGCATCTGCATCTGCTGCATCTGCTGCATCTGTTGCTGTGTCTGGTGCTGCTGCATCTGCTGTGTCTGTTGCTGCTGCATCTGCTGTGTCTGTTGCTGCTGCATCTGCTGCATCTGTTGCTGCTGCAGTGTTGGCTGCTGCTGCTGTCGGAGGTACTGCTGCGTGTGCAGCAGCCTTTGCTGCTGATCCCTCGTTAATGGCGCTATCTGCTGCACGTGAGCCGCCGCGTTTGCATGCAACTGTTGCTGCTGCTGTGGCACCTGCAAGAACTGTCGCCGCTGCACGAGCGTCTGCTGCTGCTGCTGAGGAAACAGCGGCTGCGTGTAGGGCTGCATGGGCTGCTGTTGCATCTGCAGTTGCTGCTGCAGCTGCAGAGTCTGCTGCTGCTGCATTTGCATCTGTTGCAAGTGTCTGAGACGTTGCACTTGGGTATGAATGAGATGCCGCCTCCACAGTCCTATCTGCTGCTGTTGCATTTGCGTTTGTGGGGTCGAAGGCTGCGCCTCTCCGGTTACAGCCTCCGCTGCCGCTGCTGGTACTGGTATTGCTGCTCCTGCTGCTGCTGCTGGTACTGGTATTGCTGCTCCTGCTGCTGCTGCTATTCTTCCAGTCCTTAGAGCAGGACCCCACGAAGCTCTGCGCAGCAGCTGACTCGAGGTGTTTACCCCTGTTGAATGACTGATTCTTCGCGCTGCTGCCGTTGCTGTTGCAGCAATTGCTTCTGCCTGCATTGTTGCCGGCTGAAAAGAAATCGCTTTGCCTGAATGCTGCTCCGCCCCTGCATGCAAATTGTTCACGTCTGAGCTGCCCTGTCTCCCTCTGCGTGTTGCCTGCTGCGCTTCTGCTGCAGCAGCAGCAGCAGCAGCAGCAGAAGCGGCAGATTCGGTAGCACAGGCACCCTGTGCAGCTACCGATAGACATGCTGCATCAGAACGGAGATGTTGGAAGCCTGCAGCCATCGTCTTCTGCCACGCATCGCTCGCCGTGAAAGCATTTCTGTGGGGGGGGAGGGGGGGTGCCTCGACTGCCGATCCGTTCGCTCCTGCCGTAACAGCCGTCTCTGCTGTCTGTCTGGCATCCGGTAATACCTCCCTGACGCCTTCTAAGGTTTCTGCAAAAGCAGCAGCAGCAGCAGAAGCGCACCTCCTGCCCCCCCATTCCGTCTGCGGCAGAGCCAGTGTATCGACGTCACAGCCCTCCTGAACGCGCAGCTGCAGATCCTCCTGCTGCTGTCTCCCGCAAGCCTCCGCAGTCGCCACTCCGAGAGCGGCAGTAGAAGAAGCAGCAGCAGCAGAATTGCACCAAGGGCCTCGTTGCGGCAGAAAGGAGAACGCGCACTTTCCTCCAAACACTGTAGCAGCAAGTCGCAGAGTTGGCGCATACACTGCATACACCGGAGCCGACGCAGGCGCAGCCAGGAAATCCACGTCTTCTTCCAGCGTGCTGCTGATACTGTTGCTGATACTGCTGCTGCTGCTGCTACTGCTCCTATTCGGCTCTTGTTCCTCGCTGCTTTCTCCATGAACGCTTGCAATGCTTTGAACTGCCTCTCGCAACAGCTGCACTGCCTCATGAAGCTGCCTGCCGCTACAGGCACACTTCTCATTATACTTCCTCCGGTACATACGCGGCGGCAAAGGCTCTAACAGCATATCCTCTGCCTGCTCTTGCTGCTCTTGCTGCTCTTGCTGCTCTTGCTGCTGCATCTCTTGCTGCTCTTGCTGCTCTTGCTGCTGCATCTCTTGCTGCAGTGCCTCCAATCTGCAAAGAAAGCTGCTCTCGACTTCGCGCAGAGCAGCCGCAAACTGCATCTCCTGATGCTGCTGCTGCTGGTGCTCCCTCCAAGAAAGGTCCTGCTGCTGCTGCTGCTCTTTGTAAAGCTGCTGCTGCTGCTCTTCGTGAAGCTGCTGCTGCTGCTGCTGCTGCTCTTCGTGAAGCTGCTGCTGCTGCAGGACTGCAAGCACACAGGCAACTGTTCGCCTGGCATCAGCCGGCACAAGTTCTTTCTGCTGCAGCTGCTGCAACGCGCTTGTCAGTCTGTTTCGCAGGTGCTCTCTCCGCTGCATAGTGTCATCTTTCTGCATCTCGTCTAACAAGGCTGCTAATGCTCGTAGAGCTTCGTGCATCAGCTCTGCCTCGCTGGTGCGTTTCCCTCGCTCTAACACCTGATCCCTCAGCTGCTGCTCTTGCTGCTCCTCTTGCTGCTCTTTCTCCTCTTGCTGCTGCTCTTGCTGCTGTACCTTCTCTTGATGGCAAAGTTGCAGCTGCGTTTCAGCATCCGCCAAGATTAGTTGCTTGCACAGCTCCCTCAGGCTTCGATCTCTCTGCTGCAGCACTTGCATGGCTTGTTGCTGCTCCGCGTCCTCTTGGAAGTCTCCCCGCAGCTTGAGATGCATTTCTGCCGCAAGGCTCAAGTAGAGCTGCTTTTCCAGCTGCAACAGTGTAGCCCGTTGAGACAGCAGCCCTTGACTCCGCCTTGAGTGCAGCTGCACACGCTGTGTTTCTGCCTCTTCAAAGGCTTCCCAGGCTTGCTGAGCTTTCAGCAGCAGCGTCTGCATCTGCTGCTGTTCTTCTGAAGCATCTGCACTGCCGCTCGGCGAATCAACAGCCATGCAGGCACCCTCCTCGGAGAGAAGCTTTTGAGAGACTGAAGACAGAGTCGCAAGTGCGCTGCCGTTGCTGTCTTTGTGTTGTTGCTTATGCTCTTGCTCCGCCGAATCCTCGAGCATTTTTTCACGATCTCTTTCATGCTGCGAGAGCTGTAGCGCCACAAGTCCCTTAGTGACTGCTTCTTGGTGCTTCTGCAACTGGCTACGCTCCGCATGCAGCTCCTGGTGATGAATTTTCCCGTGCTGCTGGCGAGAATACTCCAACGATAGGGAACGTCTTGAACTCCCCGACGATTTCTCATGTTTTTGCTGATGTCGCTCAGTTGGTGCCCTCGCGCTGCTTGACCTGCTGCTCGCAGTCGTCGCCGCCTCTTGATCGAGCTGCTGCTGCTCATCTATGAACGTCTGTATCTCCGAAATCGACAGCCGGCCTAGTTGCTGCAGACTCAAGGGCTGCTTTTGCTCGCGTGGATAGAGCTTTCCACCTCTTCTTTCGGGCGTCGGGGTGCGACTGTCGCCACTCTTATCAGTGTGGAAGCGTCTGCTGCAACTGCAACAGCTGCTGCAGCTGCTGCAACTGCAACTGAGGTCATCACAGCAGGGTGTAAACGCCTCTGCTAAATGTGTAAGAGACTTCTTCTTTAGTGAGATGCAGTAAGCAAGGCCTCTGCAGCTTCTGCTTTCCGAGTGAGCCGTGGCAAAGGGAACGCGCCAGAACGGCCCTAGTGGCATTTCAGCAGAAGCGGACTCCCCTGCATCATGAATTTCGAAGGGTCCTCTCCTCGAGGCTTCCCCACGAGAGCGACTGCGCCTTAAAGTCGGCTCGCGCTGCCTCCCTACATCCTGAACAAGCTGCTGAAGACGCGTGCAGTGATGCATCACCACCTGTAAAACCTGCTGCTGGTGCTGCACTTTCTTCAGCTCTCCGTGTACTCTCTGCTCGTTCGCCTGCAACGCGGTTATCGTGTCGATGTTTCGTTGCGCTTTAAAGACTTTTTCCGACGTCTCCGAGGCTTCTCGCGCTCGCTGGAGCAGCCGTAGAGTCTGCTGCAGAGTAATCAGCTGCTGCCGGACCTGGCCGCTACATGCACCGAGAAGCAGGCACTGGCGCTGCACGGCAGCAAGTATGCCCTCATCCCTCTCCTGCAGCGCCGTTAAAATCTGATCGCGGGTTTCCCATTGACTTAAGTCCTTCGGCAGCAGCAGAGCTTCTTGCTGCTGCTGAGTAAGGGACCCCCGGGGAGGCTGCTGCAGCTCGCAAGACACTGGCAAGGAGAGCTCCTCCCGAGAATGCACTTCATGAGAGCACAGACTTCCTGACCTGACCCTGCTTGTGCTGTCAAGAGAAGCAAAGATTTCGTCAAGTGCCAGCTTGAGGGCGTTCACAGAGCAGCCCTCAAGGAGCTGACCCTGAAGATGTTCCGATGGGAGTGACGCATGTTGCAGGGGGAAGGGCATCCTGCTTCATTCCTAAAATGATCCTGCCGTAAAGCTGATAATCACGCAAGTAATTTTATTGCGAGGGACCCCGAAAGGAACACAGAACTACGGATTCCTTCAGGCGCTGGCAGGGCCTACCTGCTGCGTGGAGGAAGGCTGTGCTCTCCCTAGCAGAAAACGTCAAGGACTCGCACAGATTTGACAGCAACCTGCTGCTATTTCTTTGAGCGCTTTTACAGAGCTTGGCGCCTTGGGCTAGTGTTCATGAGCATGGCCCGGCTAGGGGCAGCACACAGATGTTGAACTTGAAAGGCAGCTGCGCCCTGGCGCAGCAGCGACCCCAGAAAGTGACCGCTAGGACAAGAAAAGAAATTAAATATGCAACCAAAACATGGGATGCGCAAAACGAAGAGAATTTATCCCGAAATTAGACAATGTAACGCCTGTAGAATCACTACCGTGACCGAAAGGACTCAGACAAAGGGCTCCCCCAACCGCATTTATACGAGGAATACTGCAAACAAACGACGTATTTTCACTCCAGGGCACCTTGTATACATGAATGACGGAAATTTTACTTATTTCGGTTTCCCCGGTTCAACAACCCCTCTGGACCAGGGTCCCCGTGACAGGGTGGTTCTTCGGTGGTGACAGAGGGGAGGAAAACGGGGGGCTGCTCAACGACGCGACTGAGCACTAGCCATACACGCAATTTAAAGTAAAACATTGCGAGTTTTGCGTTTCGTGAAAGTTTTCTTGATCAGAAGCCTGCCTAATTATACCGACGAGTGCTGCACGCACTCTCCGTGCATTTTCGCGGAAAGCGACCCAGCTGATAGACGATGCCGCCCTCTTGAATACGACTATTTTGAGTTTGAAATCCGAAAATTTTGCAGGAGACAAAGTCTGTTTCATTCCTTCTGTTGGATACGTTCTCTTCTATGCACATAGATCCCGCCTTTTATTCCTAGAAATCACACAAATTGAGGTGTTGGCACAGCTCTGGGATACAATCAACAACTTGTGTGGGTGTGGCTTACTTGCTGAAGATGCACAATTTGAGGAGCATTTTAGATGAATACTCGCGCTTCCGATTTCTATTAATGTAGTATCAGGACTGATTCCATGCCGAGGAATATTTTGACCCTGGTGCTGAGTGCTGCGGAAAGGCCTCCCCTGTTTGCATCAGAAATCCGCTGACGCGTCTGCCCTTAATCCCTGTAGAGTGTTTACGCAATCTAAGCATGTCATCAAGTATTAATATGCGTCTTGTTCACCAGTCCCCCCTTTAACCTGTCCAGTTGGAGGAACATTGGGCTGACGCTGCCCTCTCCGGGTGCCCTGGAATCCACTTAGCCATTACAATCTTGGGTATTGCCCCTGAGTTTGCTGTGCGAAGCATAGCTCTGCTGTATTTGTTCTGTGGGCCGTGCGCTTTTGTATGAAAAAGTGCAATTTTCTAGTCAAGAGTTCTCCCATCAACTGCCACGCTTAACTTCTCCCAAGTTCTACAGCCCTCCAATGTGATTCCCTGTTAATTTATAATATGTGGGTCCTTGAGCGGTTGCTGACAAAAAAAAATTGCCCATAGCTCTTGAACTACCCCTGTCACTCGATAGACCCCCGAAGATACAAGGTTTGATGTGCTCATAGTGGGATAAAGCAAGCTCGTAGGCTGGTCTGAGTTTGAAGTGTCCTGCCAGTAAGCCTGCCGATGGAGCATTCGGGCTAAGTTCTCCATAGGCAGGTAATGACTTCAGCCTCAATACAAGCCTACTAGAAACTTATTGAGTGTAGACCAAAAGCACCCCTCCATGTCCTTGCCCTCTACCGTTAACGTTTTGATATGATTTGAAAGGACCAGGAAGGATGCGCCTAGCTGCTCCCTCTGAGCACTTAGAACATTCAGATCTAGTTCCACATGGCATTCAGCACATACGGACACACTATTCTGTCTCGCTTTGTCGAACAAATGCTACTCCGCAACAGTGTAAGATGCATACGAAGCCACCACCAATAGTCAATTTCTTGCTTACTCTCATTTCAAGATATTTAGTGCAGAAAAAGTTCCGAAGTGTTAGTGTAGCCTAGCCCACTGCACTGGAGGTCCCCCGGTGTGACGCATACACTTCTCAGGTGCCGTAGATATGAACCAGAGTGAATGAACACAATATGAAGCTCCACGTGTGCGGCAGATCGCTGCAAAAAAACGTTTGGGCATAACTAGGCGGAATAGGGCCCACAGAGCATCAGCAATTAGCGGCTTCGACAAGTACATATTCATGATTCGGTTCGACGTAAACTCTGCGGCGCAGTTTGCTTGATGCTACCCAATCCTACGCCTATAATTAATCGTATGTGCAAAATCTGTACAAAGCCTTTCCGGTTTACTTTGTCTGAGATTGGAGCATTCTCACACGAGCTCCTCAATGCTTCACATTTTCTTTCGAAAAATCCATCAGGAAAAGAGCGTTGGTAAAAGCTTTGCTCGCATCGATTCTTCTTTTCTGGCTGGATTCTGGTGGTACCGGCTCGGGCTGCACCTTAGGACTTGAGCCAACACTCGTTTAAGTCAACTAGGAATGGATAGCGAATAGATTAGCACAGTGCCGCTAGTCAATGCTCAATAACTTCCCATTAATATTTCGCCGAGTCCACAGTCAAGTGCCTCGCTAAAAAGGCTTTAAACAAGAGGGAGCGAAACATCTCCTGTGTTGCTAAGGTCTGCATAGTATACCACAATGGGACGTAGACACCCATGAAGCTGTCGTCACAAAGAGCTTCCTGGCTGTGTGAACAAAAATTTCGACCATAAAAAAGGATGCATGGACATGGAACGCATTCTGCTGCACAAAAGTTCCTGCATACACAAAACAGAGCCTCAGAAAGACTGTCTCTAGACAAAGGAAACCTGCATTATAAGCTTCGATGCGGTCACATGTCCGCCACTTAGATGATGCAGCATATCTTCTGCATATTGAAAATAATGCCAGCCGATGTTTTGCCTGTTCCTTGTACCGTGTAACGACGAAGGGCTCGAACAATTTTCCAGGGATGCGGAGCCTTGTGCAGAACCCCGGATAAACTGGAACGGTTTGGTTGATGCATAAGGCCGTTTTATAGCCTGCGCACCTCTTCACCTCTGCAAGAGGAAACTGGATGAGCTTGTTAGCAAGCCTCTGGTCTTTGGTATTGAGCAGTGCCTTAAGCTCGAACCTTCACGGGGAGTTCTACTGCTGCTGGGTGCGTAGAACTCTTGCAGCAGCAAATTATCTGGGCACCCCCATCAGCAGGATTTCTTTAATAATTAAGTTAAAAACCAGGAAATTTGGTTGTATTGGTGTCTAGCAGTCTGTGCGCCGCTGTGCAAGGTAGTGAACTTCCGGACACACCGGGGGTGCCCGATCCACGAGTGTTCTCCCAGTGCATGAGGCTCCCTCTACCTACCCTCAGGAAAACGATCCAAAGGAGAGAGAGTACATGACGCATTGCACATTCTTTTTTATGCATAAGCATTTTCCTTTTTGTCTTACCTTATTCTAGATAAGGTTTTATAAAAGCTGGAAATGGTTCGCCTCGCTTTTATTGCTGTAGGTATTGCAGCGCTGTTGCGTGGTCAAGGAACATGCGCAAGCACAGGCCAGAACGGTCCACAAACAAGTAAGCTAATTCTAAGTGTGTGTAGCGTTTTGAGTTCTAGAGAGGATTTGCAGACGATGTTAGGCATGTGGTGGGTATTTCTGCTACTGCAGGTGCGCTGAACTGTCTGAGCGATATGAATGAGCCCAGGACTGCAGCCGGACTGTCTGAACTCAAGGCCCCAGCAGCGAGCACAGAGCAAACGAAAGTAGCGAACGCCCTGGGAAAAGAGGGAAAAACAGAAACCACAAAATATCTGCAAGACCTTTGCACGGACCTCATTGCGGTACGACCCGTCACAGTGGCTGTTTTTGCGCCTCTTCACGTAAAACTCCAGTTAAGGTCCGTGGCATATGTAAAATATGTAGGTGAAATGCGTGCGTATAAGAGCTCCCCTCTGTCTACGCTATGCATAGGTTAATACAAACTCGCAGACGAATCCCCCGAAGACCACCACAAAGGGCACTGTCGCTTACCACGTACAAACAGGTTCAGAAGGCAGCTGCTCTGCGGCAGTTGACTACTGGAAAAGCGGATTCTCACTGTTTAACAATCAGCTACCACCTTCTTACAGCTCAAGTAGTCCAAGCGATATCTACAAGAACGGCCAAGCCGTGTCATTTGTTGCTCTTTACAACCCGAAGCCCGGTCCCACTGCCGAATGTGCATTCGTTAAATGCCCCGCAACCACGAACACAACACCTAGTACACCGCCGTCTAGTTCGGGTGGCTCTCAAACCCCAAACTCCCAGGGAGTGAGTAATGGACTCAGCAGTCCCCAAAATCAGTCGCAAGAGGAAAAGAACCCCGTGTCATCGGCGGCAGCAGCAGGTCACAGTGTTGAACCCAGTTCAAATGAGCAAAACAGCCCTAGTGATGATGCAAATCAGGCCAGAGTCATAAGACTTGCCGGAGCTTCGGGGTCCAACGCACAAGAGTCTGATTCTAAGACCGTGAACGCCGTAGTTTGTCTTGTCAGCCCTCCGGCCTTGGAAGATGGCAAAGCACCTTTTACGTGAGTCTAAATTCTGCAGTCAAAGCTGCACCAACTGGGGAGATAGAACGTGGAGAGTTGCATGTAGACAAAAAACCTGGGGTTTTTCTTTGCTTTCAGTGTTCAACACCGGTGCTGACGCAGTGTTCTGAATTTTGCGCTTGTTCTGCTGGGGTGTACAGCGAACAGATTTGGGCTCAGATCTCCGACTCAATTATTAACGGCACTTCCAAGGCTAGCCCAGCTTCGCTTCTAATGCTTGCCGCAGTAAGCGCGTCTGCGCTTATTTTTTACTAGATCTAAACGCCGTGCTGGCCAAATGGAGGCTGTAACCTCCTTGCGGCCTGCATCCATGTGCTTTCGTGTGTTCGGCAGTATCGTAAAGCCGCCTGCATCCATGCGCTTTCATGTGTTCGGCAGTATCGTAAAGCTTGCCGCCCGCATCCATGTGCTTTCGTTTGCTCGGCAGTATCGTAAAGTAACTCTGCTTCCGAGCGTAGTTCGTTTCTGATATCCTATTTTGCATGTAAACATGGAGGTAAGAATGGTAAAACCTCAGTTCGCTGCTCTTGCATCGTAGGCAAGAGGTTCAGGAGTTTCCGTGATGTTTTTATTGCTTTCCTGCTCGACCGTTTTCTCACGACTTTCCTTAGCTAAGTGATTTGCACGTTGATGCTCTGCCCCTCTCCGTCTACCATTACCAGCCTTACGCAACTCGTGCCACGCATCCCTAGGCGAACCCCAGATAGTCAACACTACACACCAGCTCCAGCAGTACTGCCCCTGACGTGTCTTGAAAGTTGTTGGGCCTCCAGATTTCCAGAGTGCTGTTTCCCCACGTAGACAAGAAATAAAACTGACCGTGGATTGCACAAGGAGGACTCTCAGAAATTTAGTTGGCGACTTTATGTAACCTCCACCCCTTGCCCTTCCCTTCATCGCGCTTTGCGACAAATCCTTATTTGCACTCATCTTTCGGTGCTTTCCTCCTACTCTGATTCGAGATCCAGCTCACCACGCTGCTTGTGCCATGCGCACGGCTCTTTGTGTTACAACAGTTAGTACTGACAGGAAATTCAGTGCCCTGCCCAGCACACCTTCAAGATATACTCCACAAAAGCTCGTTTGAAGCACTACTTGGATGCTTTCTTGCTTTCAGATTTAATAAGCCGCAACACACAGCTTCTCTTCCAAAATCGAATTGATGGAGATGCTTTAGGAATCGCGCACGAGACACGTGTCAGGATCAGTAGCCGTACTGCAGAGCACTAGGGCTGTCTGCACCTGTAAAGCGTATGTTCATTCTCGCACAAGCACATGGCATCCACAATAATATATACACAGCTGTAATCTTGAAGACTAGAGGGGTCACGTGTCACATACCAGGGCAACTGAATACGCAGGACCTGACCACTCCCAACTGAACAACCACGGTGGATGAGGCTGTTAAGCAGCAACATAACAGCTTATATAGCCGGGTGTGGTGGCACTTAGACCCGAGGAAATGACACGCTGCGTCAGGTCCAATCACTCGAGAAGCTAGCACATCTATTCACATAGTAGTCCATTGTCTTTTTGCTGGCAACTGACAGCCTGTATGCTAGGAAAGCAAGAGGGTGCTGGCCTAAATGAGATTCAGTTTCCCTCGCCTGCCCCCACTGAATTCAGGGACTGGCGGCCCAATTGCGAGCGCTTACGTTATGAAGGAGCTTGCTCTAAGACGTGCCAGTTCTTGATGCTAAAAATGTCTGCATGCTAAAAGAGTACGAGTTGGCACTGATTGTTGGCCGGAGGCTGGCAGGTGCAAAGTCGGGTGACGCTGCGTTTGTAATCCATGATTCAAAGCGCAGGATTTTATTTTCATTGTTCACTGCTTTCGAGGCGGGAACAAGTCTCTCATTTTTTGGTTTGTCTGTCTGCCGCATTCTGGATCATGATACTACTTGAACAGGCCAGACTCCGGGCAAACACTTTCCAGTAATTAGAACAGATTCAGCTCGAGTGCCGTTCCGATGCTTCCAGCTGGTTCGAAGCTTGTTTGCAAGTGGTACGCATTCGAGCTCGATAACTTGGCATCTTATTAGCCTAATATGCTCATTTTGTTATTGAATATTGCATGTCCTGTATTCAACAGGACAGTGCTTTTACCGTTCCCGTGCAGTCTGCCCTATTGCCTTGAAATCTCGGCGGTGCACGCTTCCTTACAGGTATGGCTTCCATGCGGACTGATTGGCGAACAGCTTTGCATCTCCTTCTGAACTGTGTTGGGGCAGGGCTGGCGGGTGGGTGTTTGCAAATAGTTTCTCTCGAGAAGCGGGGTGCTTTTTTTGCGCCTGTATTCTAAGGATCACATGTACTCCCACATATTTGCAATCATTGTATTTTTATGTGTAAGCGGAAACTGACACGCTATCGCCGTAAAAAATGGGGGCACTTTGGGAGGTAGCTCAGAGAGAGAGAGAAGAATCTCTGGGGATGCTACCCACACTATGTTACGAACATTAAGGTCACTAGGCATTCATTTGTACGGATACAGAGCAACGCTGTCCTTTCTAGCTGCGTTCAGCTTTGTTATCACAAACAGTCTATTCTTTGAGGCATTTGAAGGGATCCCAAGCGGGCGCTTCAGCCGGCGAGCTAGCCTCGTGGTGCTCGCCTGCACTCACGCGACATGAAGCCTTGGCCCGTCCTTCTGCATTCAAGCCTCTGCAAATTGCTGTTTCCCTGCGCCTCTAAGGCTGGGTGGCACAAATTTGTGTGGCGCCCTCCCCCCCCATCCCCCCCTGATCCGTCTAGCGCTCCAGCCATGCAGGCTCTCCTCCGGGCTGTGCAGTGGCTGTTACTGTGACATACGCCACTCCGGCTGGCTGGCTGTGCAGCGGCGATTTTTCTTCATATTCCGGAGTAGAAGCCGAGAGGGAGGCCTTTCCATGGCCCAAGCCCCGTTAGGTTGCCGCGCGTTCCCGCATGTTTTTAGCTAGCTAGCTAGCTATCGAGCTCGCTAGGCACCAGGCCGATGGTGTCGCTATCCTCGACGGGTGCCAGCGGGGGAGGGCGTCTCCGTATGAGGGCGTCCAAGCTGCAGAATTGCACGAGGTCTGTGCACATGGGGCACGCCAAGGCCACAATAAAGCGTCGCAGCGACGCGTTGTCTCGATGGAGGAGCCAAAGAGGAGCGGCTACAATGGGAGCTAGGGGGGCAGCGAGCAGCAGCAAAAGCAGCAGAGTGACCAACTGAGCCGCTGCGACGCAAATGAGCAACACCACTAGCTGCTGGAAATATTGACACCAGTCAATTCCCCAGCGCAGCAGGAGCCTTTTGGAGGCACTGCGTTTCCATGCCAGAGGCATCCGCCTCCTGCAGGCTGCAAGGGAGGCCCCCCCCGGTGCCTCTGTGTCTTGCTCTACCCAGTCGGTGCTCTCCAGCAAGTACTCCCCCTGCCTGTATCCGAAGTGCTTCTCTGCCTGTCGCATTAGGACTTTGAGCGTAAACAGCCACAAAAGCTCCTCGATAAGAAGCGCAGCCGCGTATATGTCGCAAGAGTCTGCCAAAGACCCTTCGGAAGCCCTTGCCACGGTGGGAGCAGGCAGTTCATAGGGAGGCCACAGCTCGAGGAGCTGCCATGCGGCGACTGTGCTCAAAAAGTCTAGCAGCAGCACCCGCTTTGGACGCCTGGAGCGGTCCCGTCGGATTACCATTTTGACTGCCAAGAGGCCTAGCGCTCCCCAGCTCAGCAGTTGCCTCACACGCAGGCCCATACTGCCCGCCGAAGAGGCGCAGGCATCCGCACTGCTCAACACCTGCAAGAAACTCCCGCTTGGCTCTTCTGCACTCGCCGCTGCCGCTGCCGCTGCTGCCACTGCTGCAGTCGCCGTTGCTGCAGAACTGTGTGCCTCGAGAAGAAGAGGCGGCGTCCCCTGCACATCGCTGAGTGCCTTGGGCAACGAGGCCTCTGGGGGGGCAGGGAGATCAGCGCCACTTGCGGGGGGGGAAGGGGGGTGCTGTCTCAAGAGAAACTCTCTCTCTGCAGAGCTGCTTGAGGCTGGGGGTGCGCTAGCCTCCGCCGCATGCGCGTTGGCGGCGTGGAGAGGCTCTGCGGGGTGCTGCCCTGAAGCCCTTTCCACGAAGGCAGCGCCCCCCTCGAGACGCAGCGCATCGTTCGACGTCCACCGATTTCCTCTAAAAAACACAGGGTGTCTCTCCTGTTCCAGAAGCCGCGATAGGGCCATCTTGAGCGCTAGAGCCAGCCGTGTCGAGCCGCTCCTGCGGCAGCAGTGCATGCGCCTGGGCTACGGGCGCCACCACGGCTGCTGGTGCTTGGGGGAAGGAAGAACGAGAGGCAAAGGAACCGAGGTGGCTGAAATCTAGAGGCCTCAACTGCAGGAGGAGGCATGAGTCCTGTCCGGTGTCTCGGCAGCTCTAGGAGGAATTCGCGCAAAGCGCCGACGTTGCCGCATCGGAAGACGCCGGTACTGCTGCTATCGCAGCAGTCAATGCAGGGCCCTCGGCACGCAGGAAGCAAATCAGAGCACCCCGAATTCGCGTCTTTGTGAATGCCTTTCCCCTTGGTTTAACAAGCAGTCTGGCGAGACGAGCCCCCATGAAGCAGCACCAGCACTCAGCTGGAGGCTATGTTAAGGGCGCTCCAAGCCCCAGCGCTCGCAAGCGGCGGCTGTCTACAGAGCGGTGCTTCGGTCTGCTCGCAGCGGAGGGCAAAGAGATGAGTGAAAAGGGGCGCCTTGCTGCTCTTACCGCAAACTGCTCGCAATGCTGCGAGGAGTTGCACTCAAAGGGCCCTGGGAGGATCCGCCGCAAGATAGTCCGAAGTCCCTTAATATAAAAGAACATAAAAAGGAGGAGAAAAGGAAGAAACCTGCCACCGACTCGGACTGCTGCAGAGCTGCCCCACTTTCAGCGGCTCTTCTGCCCGCCACAGCTCCGACGCCTTTGCGTACTAATGACCCCTTGGATAAGGGTATCCCGAGGAAACACCCCCTAATTTTATGTTTTTTATCATGTATAATTTTATTACGTATCAAATGGGCTATTTCTTGCCACAGTTTCACCTAGAGTCACTCCACATTGCACCCCTAATACGCCACAGTCCGCTGTTGGTCCGGCACGGCCTGATACACTGCATTTTTTGCCTGGTGTCTGGGTGAAGGGTTCTGAAATTTTGCTATGCTTGTAGACAGAAAGTACAGAAAAGCGCTTTGAACATTTCTCTTACCGTTCGCTGCTCTTGCAAAAGCTTTCCTTGGTCTGTCTGCTTCCTGTATGTGTTTGCATCCAACACTACGAGTGCCTCCGCGTTTCCTCAGCACCTGGTGCGCTCATTCATAACCGCTCTTCTCTTGTCGGTTTCCTCAATTTAAATTCAAAAAGGCTATTCTTAACTGCTAGTAGTCACCTGTGGCACCCCCGCACACATGGGAAGCAGGGTGTGTGCATCCCTGAAAGTGCACTAGGAAAATGGCGGGTACCGCGTGCCTCATCAGGGCATCCTGCACACGGAGCACCTGACCTGAAGCCCGTGAAACGCTCTCAAAATTTTACACCGCCGCTATCCAATCGTCCCCAAGAGGTCTCCTATCCCGCCGTCCTCACCCCATTCAGCCCCAGCCTGACATCTTGAAAGCACACAGTGCTCAAGAAGCTACACCCTCTGAGCAGTCGAAACATGTGTATACAGTCACAGGCTGTGACTTGAAGCACACTGCCGTAGTATGCAGACATGCCGCATGGAGTCAGTTTCCCTATGCAACACCAGCGACCTCGCTACATTGTCCTTACGCCTTACTAAATCTTTTTGACAAACGCCTACTGCAGTAGCGATTAGAAAAACGTGGGGTAGACCGCTTGAATCAAGCCTTGTTCGCTCGCTGACCCATCTGTACAACTCTTGGAGCGTCCTTCCGCGTGTTGCATGCCATGACCACGGCCTACTCCGGTGCACGAAATCCTAAATCCTTTCTATCGATGGTGCCTGTACGCAGACACTTAGCTCCAGACTCAATACAAGCTGAAGATAAAGTGCTGGACGGTGCAGGGGAACTCCCTTCTTTCTCCTGCCCGCGCCCCTTAAAGTTCCCACATGAGGCAGGATGGGCGGCTGGGGTGCTTGTAACTGTGCCCTCTCAGCACTCCAAGCATTCACGGCTACTTTCACATGTAATCTAGCAAAAATGCACGCATCACCACGTCCTTTTATCGGTCAAATAGCACCTTGCAAAATAAATTAGGATATGCCAACCGGAAACTAAGCGGTAATTTCAGCAGTTTTACTTCGTTGAATGTGACTAGTGTAGCATAAAGTGTATGAGTGTAGCCAGGCTCACTACACTAAGTCCCGCCTTTAAGCTCACTGTTGGAAAGATGCTCTTCTTTAAGCAGTAAAGGCTTGGTACCCCTACAAGCTGACCGGTGCATACATGCCGGTAGACAGTCCTGCACACTTCGTTGATCAAGTTTCCACAGCAAGGCTTCATTATGAGTCTCTCACTGGAGGATGGCCAGGTGCGGCAAGGGATTCAATGCTTTTTCGTAATTCGACAACTCGAAAGCATTCACAAAGATCAAGCCATACCCGAGCCTGTTATAAGCGAAGCCTCGGCACCATCTACTACACCAGTCATATTCAACTACGAAATATAAAGGGTTTTACCACTTGGCTTGTCTGGTCTTACGTCCCAGGTTTCGCACACTAGCACAAGCTTAGTATGATAGGAGTCAAAGTTGTGTGCGTATGTGCCAAATGCTAAGTTCAGCTAGCCGTGAATGCTCGGAGTGCTAAAAGGATGCAGCTACTCGCATCCTAGCTGTCTCTTTCGCCTAATGTCTGTAACGGTAAGGCGAGCAGTAAGGAAAAGCGGGGTATCGATTTTAACACTTTGAGAACTCTCTATTAAGCGTGTATTGAGTCTTGACTTAAGTGTGTCCCTAGGGAGACCTTCGGGGGGGCGTTGCACAGAGCAACCGGGGGATGGGATGCTTGTATAGTAGCAGACTGTAGCTCTGTTCAAGTTAAAAAGGTCTATTAGATTGTCGCTCTCCACAAGGACACCCTAGGATGGGCTTCTCAGGGGTTCAGCGAGACGAGTTGAAGAAAAACTGCGTGGGTGACTACAGCGCAGCTCCCTCGAGTTCCTTCAAAGATCTTTAAGCTGCAAGCACACCAGAGGGGACGAGCTGCAGCACGCGAGCCTTCGATTCTCCATGCAAATTGCATATTACAGGTTTTGATCGTTTTGGCTTGACCCTGTGTTGTGAGTCGTCGTTGGGGGACTGTCCGATGTCAATTCATGCTGGTTGTACGCCCCCGAAGTTTCCGTCTATCCTAAGAGAAGTCCGCTTGTTTGTTCGGCCTCTAGGCGTAAACGCACGACTGCCTCTCATGCAAAGGGCCCTCAGAAGTCTGTCCGTCCTGACAGATGATTCTGTGTTTGTCCACTGAGCGACAGGAGGAGTTCCCCGTGCACCTTTTTACGAGAAGCGATGGTCAGCTCCTGTGCTATTCATAAATCGTGTCAGACTACGATGGTGTAGTTAAAAATCGTACGTCTATGTGCGAGTTTTTTGGAGTGCCACGAAGGCAAGCAACCCCACCTGCATGAACACGGTGGTCGCCACGGCAGCCGCCCATTCCTGCTGCAACTCCCCAGCGCCCCTTTTGCCCCCTCTTTTCAATGCCCATGTTAGCCTGAAGCCCTATACTGTAAATGTAGATTCTCTTTAGTGTCAACGACCGCTTCCAGGCCGCCTTAGTGTGAGGGGGGGCCTTCCACCTGCACCGTGCGCCGTTTGCTTATACACCCGAAACGGTTTCTCTTGGGGGCAGATCTTTGTCCTTCAGTCATTCCATCTATATTAAACCTACATTATCGCGCTCTCTTCCATTCCCTGCACCAAAGCTCCCGCCCACAACCTTAATTGAACCGAGGAAATCCCGCCCTCTCCCTCCCTACTTCCCTCCCCTTGATCCTAGGCGTTCTTCGGTGGAGTGACTGCCCACGAGTTGCCTCCTGTCATACCGTGCCATGAGTCTAACGACCGCTTCCCCGGCGCCCTCCTCGGCGGGCTGCCAGCGTGATGCAGATCCCAGTAGCGTGGGCATGATGGAGGGGGCCTTCTTTGTCAGCCGCACGGAGCTTTTGGACTGGGTAAACAGCACTTTGGGCCTTAGCCTCTCTCGGGTGGAGCAGTGCGCATCAGGCTGCGTTTACTTGCAGGCGCTAGACTGCCTCTTCGGGCCAAGAAGCCGCGTCGCCATGAGCAAGGTGAAGTGGGCTGCAAGGCACGAATACGAATTCGTGCAGAATTACAAATTGCTGCAGGCGGCGTTTGATGCTCATGACGTGCACAAGCACATAGAAGTCAGCAGGCTGGTAAAGGCCAAGTACCAGGACAACCTCGAGTTCCTACAGTGGCTTAAAGCCTTCTGCGATCGACAAGCCTCCGTCTACGCCACAGACGTTCCGTATGATCCAATAGAACGCAGGCGGGTAAGATTACTGAGCCCTATGCAGGCAAAAAGAGGTCCCCACGGCCGATGCGTGTTCATGCCTTGGGTGCTTGGGGTTCGCGTTATACATCACAGATGCTTCGGTGCTGTCTCTTTGTGCGTGCGCGCTTTCGGCCAGTTTTTGCCAATTTTCGTGCGTATCTTCTGCGTCAGCGTGTGGAGGGAGACGGGGGAAAAGAGGGGTCGAAAAAGTGGGGGAAGCACAGAGGGAGGAAGGGGGGAATATGGGGCGGAAATAGAGGGAGGAAGCGGGAAAAACGGATGGGAAGAAGGGGAAAGATGAGGGGAAAGACGCTTTTTTGTGGAAATACTGGCATTCTCTGGTCGTGCAAATGTTGCATTTGGCCCCCAACGCCTCCTCCGGCCATGGTCTATTTTGCATGTATTCAGGTGCCGTGTGTTTGTGTTTGTGTGTTTGTGTGCGCTCTTACAGTTGGGGGTGGGGCCCTTCCCTGCGTGGGCCCCAGTGGGCCCCGAGGCAGCACCCCCCCGGAAGCCTCTTGCAGCGTTTGCCTCTTCGACTGCAGCAGCGAAGCCAACGGCATCAGCGAACGCACTCAATCGGTGCAGCGTGCTGCACAAGCAGCAGAAACCAGCAGCAGCAGGAGCAGCAGCAGTGGGCCACTCCAGCGGCCCTCTGCAGAAAAGGCAGCATCTGCAGCAGCATGAGCAGCAGCGCAGTAGTAGGGGCGACTCTGCGGAGGCAACGGCAGCCGCTGTGGCGTCTCTGCAAGGCGAGCTTCAGCAAGCCATCCTAGAGCGCGATTTCTATTACAGCAAACTCCGGAGAATCGAAATCTTGTGCGCTACTCCCGGGCAGGAGACGCTGAGTGTCGCCGAGGTACAGGCGATCCTGTATGCGAAAGACCATGAAGAGACCCCAGAAGCTTAGAAAAGACGCACTGGCGTTAAAAAGGAGGAAGCGCGGCGGCGCAGCAGAGGGAAGCCTCACTGCGAGTAGCCCACAAGAAGGGGCCGGGGAAAAGGGAACGGGTGAAACATTTCAGTTCTGCATGTTACATTCGTCTGACAGTCATCTGCTGCCCTTTGCTAGTGCAGAGGGTGCCCATAGGCCCGCGCTAACATACATGCACGCGTGTAGCTACATGCGCATACATCCTATGTATATCGATCTGTATAAATAAAGGCTCTTCAAAAGCCCCAAGGGAGTACGAAGAGTTTGAACGATGCGCTAACGCATGTATGTAGTACATGGATAAATGGCGTTTTCCCGCACTCATCGGTGAGACTCCCAGTTTGCGCGTCCTTCCGGAGAGGCTGAAAAGCCTCTGCTGCATACCGCCGCCATGTCTTTTGTTGCTATGACGGCAGCAGGGGCGGACTGCGAAGCGGCTGCCTCTGCGTTCGCAGTGAATGACAGCAGCCTCGACAGCTCTTAGGGTGCTGAACCACTGCCCTTTCCCCCCTTCCTCCCTCTCCCTCTCTGCCCCTTTCCCTCCTCTCCCCCGTTGCAGCGCATCGGAAGACTCTCGCCTCGATACCTCCCATGGAGGCTTCGCTCAAAAGAAGGCACTCCTGGCGCCGGGGTAGGTGGTGCTTTCTTGGTCTCGGTCGTTTGGGTGTACAACACTGTGGAATGAAAAGCGCCAAGAGGCAGTGAGCCGCCGGCTCTGTTCAAATAGTTCAAATTCGAGAATCAAGACGCTTGCATGCCACACGCGGGTACCTCAACTCACTCTTACGGGGCAGGAGCGACTGACAGACGGGCGCAATGATCTGCGTTTAGGGTGTCTCGCTCCCGCAGTGTGCCCGTGGATCTGTCCCCCTGTGTCTTGGCAAGTTTGCGCGAAGCACAAAACCGTTCATGGGGGTCTTTTTTGATAGGTAGTCACGATCTGCATTTCAAAAAGCGTCTATAAAACTGCAGGTGCGGCTACAGCCGTTGCCGTTCTCGGGTCGATCGGGGGGGGAGGGCCCCCTGCTGAGGGGCCCCTCACTTCGAAGGGGGCGAAGGCGTGAGGCGGCGCTGCTGGGGAGGGCATGGGCGAGAGGACCGCGATCTTGAAGCGCGGTCGAGCGGGAACACCATCAAAAAGCTTTAAAAATTAGAAAAAAGGGTTTTAAAAGAGGGTTTTCCTCTCGCACTTTACGCGCTTTCTAGGCAGCGGCAGATGGGAAGCATTGACCTTTCGCTTCCCAAGGACCGGTGGGTGGTGGGAGCTCCTTGCGAAAAAAGTACAGGCCGTACAGAGACATGCAGCAGCGAAATAGTGCGCTGTGTGGCTTACTGCTGCTCGTCTAAAGCACTGAGAGAAGAAGACTCGACAACAAGCAACAGCAGCTGCAGTGCGTTGCCACAGCTGTTCAGCATCGACAGCGGCCGCAGTATTTACCCCCAAGCCCAACGAGCACCGTTACAATGCGTGTATCATGTCCAGGCGAGCCGATAGCGAGAACTCAAGCTGCAGGGGCAGAAGCCGCAGCGGAGGACATGTCGAAGCACCCTTCTTCGCTGCATCCATGCTGTACAGACTTCCTGCCAAATGTAGCAGTCGCATCAGCAGCAAGGAATGGCGGCTGGCTCGTCCTAAAGCCCTGCCTCAGCGGTGACAGCAGCAACAGCAGTGACAGCAGCAACAGCAGTGACAGCAGTGACAGCAGCAACAGCAGCAACAGCAGTGACAGCAGCAACAGCAGCAACAGCAGTGACAGCAGCAACAGCAGTGACAGCAGCGACAAGGAACATGCTAGCATCAGCAGCAACAAGGCGGGCCGTACAGGCTCTTCTTACAAGTGGTGCTGGACGGACTTTGCAGCAGACGACGTTTTGAAGACAGCGCCGTCTTCCCAACCAGCCACTTTAAAATCCCCATCATCAGAAACACCGCCATCAGAAACATTAGCATCGGAAACATTAGCAGCTCAAGCAGAAGAAGCAGCACTGGAGGGTCTTGCTGCGTCATACTGTGCGCACCCTGCCGCCTTGCTGCATCGCCAGGCGTTCGGCGATTATCTGTTGCTGCTGCAGCAGCAGCAACACCAATGGCTGCAAGATATTTGCAGCTGCTGCCACGCAGGCAGAGAGACGCAGCTATGCGAGCTGCTGCAGCATGTGCATGACGCGTTCGCCTTCACGTTTTTCAGGGAGGCAGCGGCAGCAGCAGCCGCAGCTGCTGCAACGTCACCCCGCCTAGCAGGAGAAGAGGCTGGTGCTGAGGACAGAAATGATGCAGAAGCCTCTGCTTTAGCGGCGGCAGCAGCTGCAGCGAGTGCTGCTCACAAGGCTAATCGTGCCCCTCCACACGGATTTCTCATAGAATGTGGTCCAGGCAAGTCTCATAGCAATCAGGTGTCCATACACACATACATATACAAATATATATATTACACATATACATAGATTTATATACATACATACAACCGGCCGGTGCGGTTGTGTAGGTGTTACTGATGGTCGAAATTTGTGAGATGCTGCATGCACACTTCCATACATACATACATGCATACATTCCCCCTTCCCACTGCTGCTGCTGCTGCGTCTGTTGTTGAGAGTGCTAAGTTCTGCTTCTCGTTACAAAAACTGCTCCTGCTGCTGCATCCGTTTTTCTTTGCGAGGCGCTTGGGATTGCAAAAAGCACTCCTGCAGATCTGTGAGTTTTGGGGGTTTGTTGTTTTTTAATGGCGGTGCAGGTCAAGGCGTGCGGCACTTTTGTCGCGCCATAGCGGCTCACGCGCCTTGGCTGCGGCGGTCTAAAAGGTTCCCTGCTGCTACGGATGCAGATCAAGGCGATGCAGCAACAGAAACAGCAACGGAGACAGCAACAGCAGCGAAAGCAGCAAGAGCAGCAACAGCAACAGAAGCAGCAGCAGCATCGTCGTGCGAGACTTGTGGATCAGCGGATGGCGGCGGCGCGGTCATAATCCGCATGAGTCTGTATGCGAGCCGCTCCCTGCCCCCCATCAGCAGCAGCAGCAGGAGCACGAGCAGCAGCAGCAGCTTCATTCGCGGAGGCGGCTACACTCAGCAGCTGCCGGAGAGGCAATTGCCTGCGCTCCGAGAGGGGCAAAGCGTTGCTTCGACGCGGCTTTTTTGCTGTGTCGCGGAGGCCCTTCGTGGCAGCCAAGCTGCCGCCTCTGCTGCCGCTGACGCTGCTCCAAAAACTGTTGCATGCGTCCAGCTTTCGCTGCAGCAACAGCTCTCAGCAGTGCTTGCAGAAGCTCGTGCGCGGCAGCTTTTGTTCAGGAAGACCCTTCGGCGTCTGTTAGAGCCGCCTTCGTGCGAACAGCAGCAGCTGCCGCAGCCCCCTTTGACGCGTCTCCAGTTGAGCTTGCTGCTTTCTGCAGGCGGTGCTGTGTTTGTTGTGCTGGAGGGCCTTGCGTCGTTTGGACAGCTGCAGCAACAGCTGTCAGGCAGGAGCAGCAGCAGCCGCAGCGGCAGCAAAGGGGGGGGGCGGGATGTGTCGTTACGGAGCGTGATGCTGCAGCTGCTGTCCTCCTTTGCTGCAGCATGCAGCAGCGAGGGGCTTATGGTGTTTGTGCTTACGCCGTTCAGTGCTGTGGACGCTGCTGGCACCATGCCTGCTGCGCTTTCCACGAAGGGTTTGCTGCCGCTGCGGCAGCGTCTCGGAGAGCTTCTGGGGGAGGATATGCTGCAGCCGTCCCTCATAGAGGGGGTGCTCTCGCTGCCTTGTACCTTGTCGGAGGAGCAGCGCGCAGACATCTTGCAGCTGCTGCTCCGGCGGGTGTTCTCCGCAGCAGCAGCAGCCCCTGCTGCAAAAGCCACCGAGCGTCAGATCCGGAAGCTGGCACGGTGAGGCTTTTGAGGCTTTCGTGCTGACCTCGGCCTGTCTCTGTGCTACTACGCACATGCAGCACTCTGGCCAGTCAATAGTTGTGGTGATGGTGGTAATGCTGCTGCTGCTAGGGCATTATTGGTGGCTTGTTATGAAGGGGGCCTGGCGGCTGCATTGAACTCTTCCGCTGCCAAGCGAGACGCTCCTCCTGTTGGCACCTTGCAACTGCCACTAGCTTTTGCTGCTTGCGCTGTGTCTGCAGCCTGGGAGCCCTATGGAGTTGCGGCTTCTCGGTAGCTGATCTGCGCTGTCTCGTGAGTGCCGCTGTATCCAGCTGCATGCAACAGCAACTGCGCAGCGGCGGTGCGGGCAGCAAGGGCAGCAGCAAGGGCAGCGACAACACATGCAGCGAGTGCAGTGGCAGCAAATGCAGCAAATGCAGTGGCAACAAGAACGGAATGTTGAGTGCTGCAAATCTCCGAGAGGCGTTGCTCTCTGTATGCCCATCCGCCGTTCGGCTGATGCACGTGGGGGCAGTGCAGCGGGTATTCCCGCCGCTGTCCAGCCCGCAAAATGCGGAAGACAATGAGCTTTTTGCAAATTCTGCAGGATCTCCCTCCTCCGCTGCACGGCTCACTTATTTCACGTATACCCGCAGCAGAAGCTGCAGCGACACCTCCGGATACTCGGACACGTGCAGCAGCAGCGATGCGAGTGGAAGGGCCAGCGATGAGAGCAGCAGCGACGGGGAGCAACTCAGCAGCAGGAGGCAGTGCAGCAGGACGAGGTGTTGGTGTGGGAGCTGCCGTTTGAGAACCTCTTTCGGTCTGGCAGCCGTCATCGGGCAGCGCCTGCTGGTGCGGCGGCTGCGAAACGAAGTGATCGAGCCCTTTAAGCGTCGAATTCGCCAACTCTCTGATGCTGCTGCGCTTCCTCATGCTGAGCTTGCGACAACTCCACTGGGGTATATTCTGGAGGGACCTGCAGGGGCTGGTAAGGATGCAACTGCATCGTAAAGCATGCGTGCGATGATCTTCCCGCCTGTCCAAATACGTCTTCCGTAAACGCTTCCTAGGCCTACCAGTCGCGCTGCTCGTCACCTGGTCCTATTTTCGATGAGACACTCCCTAGCGCAGCGGCTTCTGCATTGCTGGGCCTGGCTTGGCTTCCCTACATCTCTCTATATACATATATATATATATATATATATATATATAGATACAGATGTAAAATATACACAATGGACATCTACATACGTATATCTATATATATCTACATCTATATATATATATATATGTATATATATATATAGATGTATGTAGTCTTTTCTGGACGTTGCAACGGCCCGTGTCACCAGCCGTCATGAGAGTCTGTCGCCGTGTCTCTCTCTCACTCTCTCCTTGTTTCTCCTCAGTACAACTAGAACCGCTATGCCGCTGTTTCTGCTGCAGGCAAGTCCTTTATCTGTGGCTGCATAGCGCATTCTGCGGGCGCTATTTTCGTGCGGGTGTCGGCGGCCGACTTGCTGCGAAAGGAGGTGGCGGCTGCAGATAAGCAGCTGCTGCGAATTTTTGCTTCCTTGCGCTCATGCATCCCTGCGGTGCTGCTCATCGAGGACATCGACATCCTTTGCAGCAGTGATGGTAGCAGTAAGGTCGCAGGAACGCTTTTGCAGCAGCTTGATGAAATTGCACTTAGTAGGGCCTTTAGCAGAGAGGAAGGGTCAAGGCGAGCTGCAGCAGGCGTGCTGCTCCTTGCCACTGCGCGAGACGCCACGCGGATTGATTCCAGGCTCCTTGTTGTAAGGCTTGCTGCTTGCGCGTGCTTGCTTCTTTGTGACGGCTGTGTGACGCTGCTTCTTTGTGGCTGCGAAGGCGGCGGCTCAGCGCATGCCACTCCATCTGTGGCCTTTTACGTGCCGGTTCATGCGCATGCGCTGCAGCCTCACCGCCTCGGCGGGATCTTCACGTTAGAAGGCAGCAGCGGGAGCAGCAGCAGCGACGTCGCTTCCGCAGTTGCTGCGGCGGCAGCATTGCTGCAGCGCTGTCTCATTGGTCGCTGCAGCCCCTCCATCCGGAGGCGAGACTTGCGGCAGCTGATGCACGAGCTTGTAAGCTACAGCAGGCAAGACCCCTCAGAGGTAGCGAGGGGAGAGGTAGAGCCTCTATCGGCCTCCTTGTGTGTGTCTTTATGCCAAGAGGCCGCTGTCGCTGCAGTAAGGCGGCAGCGACAGAGTGCTGAGCAGCAGCGCGGTGTATTTATTGAGCTTTGCGACCTTAAAGAGGTAGTTTGCCGCTACAAGTTACAAGCGCGGCGATGATGAGTGACTGCGGCTGTCTGTCCGCCGCTGGCCCTCTCACTCCGCGGGTAGCTATACGAAGGACAGAGAGAGAGCGCTACGATTGCTGCGGGAGAGTCGAACTGCGCTAAGACAGCCGCCGCATGCAGCGTAAAGCAGTGCTGCCACGGGAATTTGGCTTTTTCAATGTTGCTTCTGCGGCCTTGCTGGCCTTACGTATCCCTAATGCGTTCGTTCCATACTGCGCTATATATTACAGATATATACGAAGCTCTACTCGGGGTTGCGGTCAAAGTTACATACACATATATATATATATATATATATACATAAACATATACATACACATACACACGGGAGAAGCAGCGTAACAAAAACAACTTTCCCTGACGAGGAGACGCCGCGTTCGCGGCATGCGGCTTAGGACCTGTGGCCGCAAATAAAAGCGCTGATAATTATTCTCTTTCGAATCGCCAACAACGCCCTCCCCGTAAGCGTCTGCTTGTGCGTCCTCTTCGGCGGCTGCAGCGGTTGCTGCTGCTTGCTGCTCCTGCAGCAGTGCAGCGTGCTTCAATAAGCGCCCCCCTCTGCTGTCCGCAGGCAGCAAGCCTCTTCCCCCCTTCCTTGCAGCAAATCCTGCTCAGCAGCAGCCGCCGCAACGGCCGCGTGACACCCCGCCAACATGATGCCTGAGACGGGGCATACACTTTTTTCCAATTCTCCAGCCGCTTCCATGCGCGTGCAATGCAAGCCGCACCAGTGCAGCTGACCACTCTCAGCCCACCGATACACATCATCGCCTGCAAAAATCACGCTGCAGCGCGTGCCTGCACAGACATGGCTCGAGGCTGCTGGGCCGCCCAAGAGGGTATCTGCTGCCGAGGGAAGCGCAGAAGACGCTGAGATAGCCACATTGGCACAAAGAAAGACGCTTACTGCAGCCGCCGCACGAGCCTCAGCCCCCGCTACAGCTGCCTGCTGCTCGGGGGCCTATCTCTGCATGCTTTGCTGCTGTAATTCACGGCCAGGCTGCTGCTGCGCCTCCTTCTTGCTCTGCAGCTGTTGTTGCTGCTGCAGCTGCATGGCTGCCTGCATTTCTGCGAACTGCAAAACGGCTTCATCGACGCCACTGCCGCCGTTGCTGTGCTCAAGTTTACGCTTTTTCGGGATGCCTCCTTCATGAGTCTGCAGTTCTTCCGACCGCAGGAGGGGAAGCAGCCCCTCCTGCTGCTGCTGCAGCAACTGCGTGCGAAGCTTCCTTCTCTGCACCTCCTTCTTGCACTGTGCAATAAACGTGTGCCTCGAGACACTCCTGCAGCTACCACCCCCCTTAGCCTTTGCGAGAGATGGCTGCTGCAGCACCCTTTGCCACAAGTAGGGGCTTTCGGCGAGCCTGCGCAGTCGCTTGCAGACGAAAGGAACGACTGCGGCCACTTCTAGGGGAGTCAGCAGCTGCAGCACTAAAAGAAGCAACTCATCACTCAGACGTTGTAGGAGCCAACAGTGTGAGCCAGGAACTCCTTCTTCTGCAAAACTGGAATATTCGCTGCTGCCGCCACTGCAAGACCCTCCTAAGAAGCCCCTATTGCTGCCGCTACCGTAACCCCCTACATATCCTAGGCCGTCGACGTCCATCCTCATGGAGCGTTCTGCGTTTCTGCATGCGCGGAGACACTGTGACTCTCTCTCTTCTGCCGTCACTGGGAATGCTACGACATCATCTGCCTCGGTGACAGTGGCTGCTGCCTCGTCGGATGCCGTTGCTGCTGCGACCTTGCTGTAGCATGCACCTAGCCCGTTAAGCAGGCAGGCGGCAGCTTGCCGCAAACTGGACCGAAGCAAGACTCTTCCCACACAAAGAGGCGCCGGCTCCGCACTGCGATGTCTGCGAGAAGGCGATCCGCAAAAACTAAGGGGAATTCTCAGGCACTTTTACCGGCCGTATGCCGCCTTTGATCCAGCAGCAGGAGAGCCGCTAGACGCACAGCAGTGCCGTGCGAGGGACTCGTGGAGGGCTAAAGTAAGCGAGCAGCCGCCCACGAAGAAGAGCCCGATCGGATTCTGTAGGACACACTAAGTGCATTTAGCCGCTTTCCTAGGCAGCATGCCCAGCAAGACGCTGCGCATGCAGCCGGAGAGTCTTGACCCGGCTGCGCGCTCTGGAGGGTGCCGCTGCCGCGGTAAAATCCTCTCGAAGGCGCAGCAGCGACCCCAAGAATGTCTGAAAGAACTCGAAAAGCCAAGTCGAAAAGGAGGAAGTGTACACGAATCGTTTGTGTGGACATCTAGAGGCGCGGGGGGGGAGTCGCAGCGGTAGATATAAGTGGCTGGCAGCGGACTGCCGGCGGGGGGACTCAACCCCAGCAGGGGGAAGGAATTCTCATAAGACGCAGCAGCAGTAATGCTTTCGGAGTCTCTTGTTCACTAGTAGGAGAATTGCGCGTTTGTATGCATACATATATGTGTGTGGTGCGTGCGGCCACATGCATTCAGATCCATGCATGTTGATGTAGGGAAGAGGCTTTATCCAGTGTGATCGCTCACACGGCAGCAGCAATATACGGAGAAAGAACGTACGGACGCGCAGCAGAATCCTGAGACCAGGACGGCTCTTCAGCAGCTGTATGCAGGAAGCACCATGAAGGATTTCGCCTATTGCTTCTTGCCCTTTGGGGGTTTACTGGCGGCTTTGCTGATTTTCGTGCCGACAAGGCGCGTCCATAGGGGGTGTGTATCGCTCTGCTGCCTACACCTCCAACTGGGGCCTCTGCGCATTGGCATTGCCGCTTCCATATGCTTGTATTCGCTGATCCGCCTCAGCTTCACCGTCATCAAGCTGCGAGAAGTGTATGCAGCCGCAGCAAAGCCCGAAACTGCCGCAGCCTTAGCAGCGGCGGGGATGCCTGGCAACGTCGGTGCTGTAGTGAAAGGATCTAGCAGCTACCAGCTGCGGCATGAGCGGAATTTGTGGATCGAGTTGTTCTGTCTGGTGCTGTGGCTCTTTGTATGGCGGTGCGGCAAACTTTTGGGCAAGCAGTGGCAGTGTATCGACGCTCTTAATGCTGAGGTAGTCCTCCTCAAGCGAAATCTGGAAGAAAGCTCTGCAAGCGAGACACGCCCCAAGAGCTCGGAAAACGCCAGCAAGGAGGGTGGCAAGGAGGCAGTTATCTGTCGAGAAGCAGACACTACCACGCATGCCAAGTAAAAACACACAAGCTGTACTGAACGAGAGAGAGGGAGAGCTAGAGAGAGAGGGAGAGCTAGAGAGAGAGGGAGAGCTAGAGAGCAAGAGAGAAACAGAGAGGGAGAGAGAGCTAGAGGGCAAGAGAGAAACAGAGAGGGAGAGAGAGCTAGAGAACACCATCAGAAAAAGCATACCCCATCACACCATCAAGACGATGTGTGAAGCATTTGCCTCTTTTTGGCTAATGTTGCCGTCTGTCCTTCGCTCGAAGCAGCCACCGCTTCTCCCGTGCCTGCATTTACCGCGCTGCTCCTGTTTACAAGACTCTGAGCTCGCCTTCCACATAGTCTGCCAGCAGCTTCCCACTGCCTCGCTGTGTATGCGGCGAATGCCTCTGCGCAGGGACAGAGGCAGCATCGAAATGATGCGCCGGAGGAAACCCGTGGTGACGGCGGCTGCGGAATGAATGACTAGAAATGCATCCTTCTCTGCATGCGTCTCGCGCTGGCTCCGGCTGTGCCGTGTCTCTTCTCAGCATTAGGCCCCCCTGCTCATTTTTCGCGAACCACCACCCTCACACGTGCCCCCTCCTTCCCGTTTTCTCTCCGCAGTAGGCTCCTCGCCGATTCCTACTCGCTCTCTTTTTCAGCCTTTCGCAGTTACCTGTCACAGAGGCAGGCAGGCGCTGCTTCCTAGTTCTCATGCCGGTGCTGCTGCAAAAGGAAGGGGCACGACAAACAACACGTTGCTGCTGATGTAGGCAGGCAGGGCTTCCTACATACTTCCGCGTTGCAGCAACAAGGGCTGCAGCAGCTGCTACCACTCGAGAGCGCAGCGACGCCTCCTGCCGCTGCAGCTGGAGAGCGGCAGCGTGCAGTTGCGGTGGCACTTGTGGACTGCCACTGCTATTCGTTAGCGGGAGCACCATAGGTCCTTACTTGCATAGCTTGCACCTTTTGTAGTACGCCTGCACCTTTCCGTATGCTTTTAACCAGCAGCTGCTGTTGTAGATAGCTCTTGCTGCTGTTGTAGATAGCTCTTGCTGCTGTTGTAGATAGCTCTTGCTGCTGTTGCTATACACCTCTTGCTGCTGGCGGTGGTCCTTAGCGAACCTTTAGCTGGACACGGAGAAATGTGTACCTGAAGACGTTTCCGTGTAGATACACTGCAGTGCAATAAGAAGATACTTGACCTGGTGCATCAAGAGCCACCGCACAGCACTGCCTAATTGCACTGCGGCGCAACAATCGCACACGGGCCAGACGTTGGGTAGACTTCCTTGGGCAAGAACCTGTAGAGGGAAGAGGCTACAGGTGGCCTCTCCCCATTGCTTTTCTTCTGCGGCTAAACAGCAAGCCAGATAAGGGCGCACGGCCATCAGTAAGCATGCGTGGCTGTGGAGCTCTTTATGCGGAAACCATGGCGAGGGCACCATCGTTCGGCGCATGGTGCTTCTAACGATCTATCCAAGAAAATCAGTGCTTTTTGTTTCGCTCTTTCTCCCCCCCCCCACACACACACAAACAAGCCTCACTCTGACAGGCCACTTTTGAAGTACTCACTTAGAGGATAGCCTGCCTACATCTGACAGCACTGCAAAGGGGTTGTTAGGGGGTATGTATAGGCTTCGTTGCCGTGTAAAGCGTGTCACGGGAAGAAGCAGGGGTATCTCTCTGCTGCAGATGCGCGTGGAAATCCTGAAATGATTGTAGGAACTAAACTACGAGAAAGCCACAGAAGAATCATTGAAAGTGGGCCTGTTTCATATATTTTGACACATTTTTCAAACGAGTGTTCTATTCCTCTCGGGCTATGAAATGAGTGCTTGCCCTGCTAAAGCTTTCTCAGATCGCCCCGTGTATGCTATTTTCGCTCATCTCGGTGTTCACCAACGAGCAAGGGAGTGTATGAATGCCTGAACTGCAATTGTTCCTGCAGGCAGACAACTTGCCCTAATTTAAAAGACCTATTTTTGAAGTGCTTCCTCAGTCATACACATGCCACGCGGAGCACACGTTTCACTTTATCTAGGGTTAAGAAGCGAGGTACATCTTAAGCGGCTGATGAAATATTCGAGTTCTTGCTATACTTAAGGCCGCCATTCATTTATGCTGTGCACAGCCTTATCCACTCACCCTAAACATTATATTGGCTGACGCTTCTCGCCTTTCTACCATCTGTATACCTACTGTATTCACATCAGCTTGCAGGCTAGCCTACCCCGCCCCATCAGCTATAGAAACAGCGTGGACTATTACCGCCAGAGGTGTTCTTCCGGACTGCTGCCAAGGAAAATCACGAAAGTCAATTACCAAATACCTTGCCCAAAGCAGAGATGGGTTATAGGCAAAATCGACACCCACTGCACCCAGAGCCAGTGAAGGAGCGGGAAACAGTTGTGCCGACCCACGCGGTGCTTCCGTATGTAATACTTTGTTAAAGGTCTCAGTACGAAGAGACTCAACTCGAGAATCAATACAGAGCTAATAGAACGCCATGGAGGTTTCCGAAAGAGCTCTGTCTCGCTCTGGTGGCTAGCCTTAGAGTTTCTGGCAAGACGGAAGAGAGACAGCTCTTGGGAGTGCAGCTACACCTTTTGAGAATTCCGAGCATTCTCACCTGGTTCCATGTAGTAGTTGCTGCACACACAGACAGCACTGTCTCCTTGTATCAAGATAAACCCAGTCTGCAATGATTAAGATATACAATAGGACAAACCAGTTAGCCAAATTTTTCATGCGTAGCCAGATAGAACGAGTGGAGCAGAAAGTGCTGCGGTGTAGTTTAGCCCGCTTGCCAAGCCAGAAAACAGGTGTATAGAGACAAGATATCCCACTGCATTTACGTTTAGCCGATGCTGGTAGAAAGGCTGCATCGACTGTGAGGTGCTTCCTTGTGTAGCCCTCTGTGAAAAGTCTCCACAAGGAGCCATTCCAGGACTATTCATTGAGCGTGTTCGTGCCCAGAGTTAAGTGTTCTCCAAGAAAGCTCTCTTCTTTCCATGCCCTCGCATCTCAAAGCTCCCGAAGTGAGGAGAGATGGACAGCAACGGCGCGCCTAGCTGCACAGTCAAGGCACTGGGAGGATCTACAACCGTGGCACCTAGCATCAAGGGCAGGGACGCGCACACCGCTAAATACTTAGCGTATTGAGCAAAGTACACTTTTTAACAGATAAGTTGCATGAGCAGCCACACCAAGTAGTCAACTGTTGGCCAATTCCTAGTTTAATACGCCTGTTTAGTGGATCGTGGATCCCTCTAGGGGCCATACATCGGGTCGCTTCTTAGCTCCTTTTCTAGAATTCCCGAGCTCAGGAAAAGTTCATTAATCATTTGTGCCGCAAGAGAAGCAAAATTTTGACGGAAGAAGGCCCACAGTTCTCTCTTTTGCAAACACTTTCTTTCGGCTCGTGTGTGGCGGAGCCCCATCTGCCGACTATTGATCGCCCCGCGAATCAAATTTTTATCTGTCGGTGGCCCTAAAATTTGTTGTGCGTTGTGCACTGTATCTTCTGAAGACGGGGAATGAAAGGAAGGATTTCCTCTCTCGAGCAGAAGGCGCGAAGGACTCAGAGGGTTGCCTCTCTCGGGATGGTTGGTGGGAGGGTGGCGGTACGAAGGCCCGATGTCACCTGGAGGTGGGGGAGAGGGGGAGTTGCAGAGGAAAATAAGATTTTGACTCCCTTTTGGGAAAGGCAATGCTTAAGGTTCGTGCAATTCCTATTTCAGCTGATAATCGCAGAACAGAAATACATGTATTGGTATACTTGTGGATGTAGGAGCTACAAAACGGATTTCCGTTTCCAAGTGTCTTCGAGCGTCGTGCTTCCCGGCCCCCTTCCTTCTCTCCGTTGCACAGCTGCCAGTGCCCACTACGCTATTTCCCACCCTCTTTGGTATTTACGTGTCTGTATTAATGCCACTTGCTTCTCTTCGTCCTCGGGAGATTTTCTTCACGTAATGCAGCGTGCGTCATTCGTCTTCTGAGCTTCTCTCAAAGGTGTTGGTGGGTGGTTTATCCCCCCGTGGCAGCCCTGTCTCTGCACTGTATTGCTCCGCCCGAGCACTTCCAAGGAGGCCTCCTTCCCAGAAAGACGCACAGGAGGCGCCTTAGTCCTTTTCTGTCTGTCTCTCCCTCCTTGACTTTGCCGCTTAATTTCGACACGTCCTCGAGGTGCTTTCCCTGGCCTTTCTCTGCCGCTCGCTCGCTCGCTCTCTTCATTTCGCCACAGCCATTCTCCCGAACAGTGCGCCTCCATTTTTAAGCCTAAGCTTCCTTTTCTTTCTGCTGCTCTGCTGTGTGGTCCCCTTACCAGTCCCCTTCTCTTCTCAGTCGTAATGGAGGCGCAGAAGCTGTTGGACGGCAGCCTTGCCGCTGCGATTGCTCGGGGCTTTGCTGGCCGCTCGCGGAAGGAGTGCACGCCTGAGCTCGCGGCTACTCTGCTTGAAGAGCAGAAGATGAAGCTCACCGAGGGAGAGCTGCAGAGAGCCAAGCAAATCGTACTAAAGATTGTTGATGAAGTGGTGCGCGGCCCTCAGAAAAAGGAAAATTCAAGCGCAGATGAAGTGCAGGGGGGTTCGGGGGGGGGGACGTAGGGGAGGGGGAACGTCTGTCGCATGCGTAAGAGGCGTGTATAGTCTCGTATACGTGTACCCATGTATGCTGAGCTCCAGCTCCCCCGTAAACTCGTCCTCGGTATTACGCTGTCCTTTCTATGTGTTGCGTGCACGGCTTCTTCCATGCGCCTCTAATATGCTCTGTCCATCAGCTTGCCAAAGACGAAAGCAGGGAGGCTGTGGAGGCGTGGGCTGCCCGAGTCGAAGGTCAGGAGAAGTAAGTCAGGGTGTTTTCCGCCTCTTTCTCTCTCTCTCTGCTAGCGTGCAGCAGATTTTGTCGCAGTCTTCTTATCCATCCTTGGGGAGCTAGAGATCCCAGCGCAGGGACGTGCTGGCGAGTTAGGACTGTGCACCGCATAGCCTCCGGATGGCAGAATGCACGATTTTTTTAAGGTGGAGGAGGACTCTCCAGATGAGGTTCTTGACGCGGTCTGTTTCTGTGTGTGCATGCAGCCCCTTTGAAACCCCGGCAAAAGCGGTAAGCAGCTTGCTGCACCGTCTTTTTAGCCAGCTGATGCTTTCAGTGCTTCCAAATAGACGGTGCTCAACTGCCTGGGAATGAGAGTGTGCGATGTCTCGATGCGTCAGGAACAGAAAACGAATGACGATGACTCGGGTAATGTAACCAACGTGGCAACGAAGGCGCAACTGCAGGCCGCTGTGAAGACGCTTGGCATGGGGTATATCGACGGTGTACGGCTGCTCCTGCTGCTGCTGCTTTGCATGCGTGCATGCATGCATGCATACACAGCTCCCTAGCATAGGGTCCGCTGTGAGGCCGCGTCTCAGGCCGACTTTCCTTTGTTTTTCGCTTAACCCCGGTGTCTGTTAGTCGATTTCCAGAGGGCTTCAAAGAGCCGCTGTGCTTCCGCTGCTGCAACCCCACAGGCCTTCCGCTTTCAAAGGACTCTCTAAGGAGCCGGATGCGTATTGCAGTGTACGTGTGGGGTGTGGGTTGTGAACTAGCGCTGCTTGCGCCGCTGAACAGAAGCGCTGCACAAGGCAGTCGAAGCGCAGCCGCTTCCGCATGCGCCAAAGTTCAGAAGCGAGTCGTGCGTGTGTCTCTCGGGGTGGTGGTGACGCAGGAGCTTCAAGCTCGCATCTTAGCCTTCATTGAGAAGTCGAGCGGCGAAAAGCACAAGGCCCTTCCTACTCCCGAAGAGGTGAAATTTCCAGCCGCTGTCGCCAGTGCTCGCGCTGTCCGTAGAGGGGGTCAGGGCGCATGCATCTCCTGGAGAAGCCTTCTCTTTCGATGGAAATACGGACTTCTTTCTGGCTTTGGCTTGTGCGTGGTGCAGCTTGCTGAGCTGAAGAAGGCTGCAGAAGCGAAGAAGGAGTTGTCTTTCCTGGATGCATCCAGCATCATTGTAAGCACAGTCTGTACTCCTTGGCCTCAACTGTATGGGGGGAGAGACCTGCGATCCGGCGTTATCTTCTACGCCTCATGGCTAAAGTGCTGCCTCCTGGTAGATAAGGGCCTGCTTCGGCGTGGCTTTTGCATGGGGATTGCGGGTTATTAGCCCTCTGAGTTTCCCCATAGGCGTGCATGTGAGGGCTTGGAGGATTTTTGAACGGCTGCATCTATGTGCGTGTGTGGATGTGTGTATGTGGACAGGAGGGGAGACCGAAGCGGCGCGCAGCTTCTTCTGCTGCCGTAAGCTGCCCCTGCTTCTTCCACAGAAACAGTGCCAAACAACGCTCCTTACTGGGGGGTTTAGAGAGGCCCCTTCGATCCTGTAGGGGTGTACTCTGTTGGGCTTGTGCAGGAAGCGATAAAGAGGGATATTGCACGTGACCTGGAGAGGGAAGCCGCGCAGGCCGCCTCGGAACCGCAGCAGAAGAAGGCGAAGGTCGAGAAGGAGGCTGGCACTCGTGCGTCTGCAGCTCCTGCGGCTGGTAGCGGTGCAGGGAAGCGAGGTGGCGATGCGGAAGAGAAGCAGGAAGAAGAGGAGGATGAAGATGCAGAGGATTCTGAAGACAGCGACGAGGACGAGGACGGAAGTGAGGACAGCGAGGGGGACAGCGAGGAGGACTCCGATGGCTCTGATTCTTCGGAGGAAGACGCAGCGGAGGAAGACGAAGACAAGGAGGAATAGGGGAAGGGTAGTCGTAAGACTGAGGGCAGTGCGTTGGTGATAGTGAAGCGAGCTCGAGTGGCTGCGACGGTGCTGAGCGGCTCGAGCGGTGCTAAGAGGGGAGGCTTGAGGAGGGCCTTTGGAGGTTGCCATGTAACGAGGGGGGGGGTGACCGGAGGGAGACCCATGGCGGCCATGGAAAGCGTGCAATTGTTTTCATTCTACGTGGATATTAAGGCCACTTTTTGACGTAATAGGAATAGCTGCTTCGTAGTGGTAGTCCGAGCGGCCCTGCAATCCTGGAAGGGAGCAGGCGAGACAGCTGTTGCCAGGAACTGCACCGCAGACGCTCAAGCAAGCGCCTTTGCTGGCCTCGCTGTGTCATAAGATGGTCTGACTCGGCGCTGATCTGTTGCTTGTTACACGACTGAAACCCGTTGTGCAAGAAGGGGCCCTGGTCGGTGTTGAGAGCCCCCGCAAGATTTCCTTAGGAACGAGGGTGTGCAACCATGTCTCACGAACTGCAATAGCCCTTCTCAATGCCGAAAGGGTTCAAGGTGTAGCAGATAGGGATTAGGGCAAGAGAAGCCCTCGGCTGTGTAAAAAGCTGGTAGGAGCAGCTGAGAGTAGCAAGGAGTTCCTTGCGCGATTTCGTGTTTGAGGTCTAACGGAAGCAGGACGTAGACCATGGAGGCATCCTTGGTGGCTGACTTTCAGATACGGGCCTTGCCTATAGAACATCCGTCTCCTACGGAGTGCTGTGGGTAGAAGCACCTTTTATGGGCAGGCAAAGTGCTATAGAGGCACGGCTCTTCGGGTGGGCCTGTGTTCTGCTGCAGCCTTCTTTACACGAGCACTCATAATTCCCTGGATGAGTTCTGCATAATGGACAGTCACGGCTGCGGCATTTGCAGTAATGGCAATGCATGCCTGTACGTATGGGCTTTCTCCCTGCAAGGAAGACTCTGATAAAGTTCATTTGGCCTTCTTTAATCCCCAAGGCAGTCTTTTGCAGGGCGGAGGCTCGTGCGTCGAGTGGCGGCTGGTGCAGCGCTATGAAGCCTCGAGTTCATATGCACTATGTGAACTCCGTACTTCCGCATCACCTTTAATGAGTCTGCTTGTTTGGAATCATGTAATATCTGTCCGCGTTGCGCGGTTCGCTCGTTCGTTATGGAGACGACGCCCCATGCAGCAAGCTCGTTGGGCAGAAGAACCTAAACTTTTGGAGAGAAGAATGCAGAGTCGCAATGGGAAGCCAAGAGGACAAGATAAGGAAGTTAAAACGTAATTTTCTGGCGTTTTCAGCGGACTCCTATTTGTGAAGATACTGGCTCTGCCTCTCGCTTATTGATCACCGTGCGAGGATCTGTTTCTCGCCAGATTTATTCGTGCCTAATTATCGCTAATTTGCAACTTTACGCCTGAAATAAAGCCTATTATCGTTTTCGTAGCTCTCAATTTTGATGGGATGACGCGGAAAGTAAAGAAATGGTGGTGCCAGATAGGGCGAGTATGTCCTGTGGGAAGTGCAGCGAGCAGTACCGTGAAGTGAACACTGGCCAACCTGCAGAATAATTAAAGAAGTACCTCGAATTAAGTTTAACATGTTTTGTGCAATTAAATTTAGAAAAGACAAGTGATAAGGACATACGTATAGATGTATGGACTTTTCAAATATATTTGTATTCATGGTTGTACGGAAGTTCCTGCTCCAGGGTCACCTGGCCTTAGGGGTTCGCGTTCTGCTAAAGCGGGGGCCCCTAATCAAAGGTGTTTAGATTTTTGGATGTATCTCTTCTACGTGCATCTCTGTATAGGTGCTCTTCTAGAGTGTGAGCGCTTCCTGTTGCTCGTGTTCTGCCGTGCATCGCGGCCACCTCTCAGTCTATTGCCCCTCTTAGTTCTCCTCCAGACATATCTGCCCGTCTCTGCCTCTCCCCAGGTCTCAAAAATTACCTTCTCCACAGCGAGCCCTTCCTGCTGCTGATGCATTATCCCATGGCGTTTCTGCGTAGGGTGATGAGACCCCGCTGAAAGCCGGGGTCTTTCATGGTGCTGCAATGCCTCTCTCCGCCCAGTTCGCCCCTCCTTTTTCTCAACTGTTAAAGCCGACGCATCCGTGCCTCTGTACTCCGACCATCACAGGACAATGACGCTGGGGAAAGTGCATCTTGTGCGCATCGCCCTAACTTGTGCCGCCGTGGTGGTGCTCATCTCAGTGTGCGCCGGGCTTACGGCATATTTCCTGAAGGGAGGTAACAGCGAAAGCACCTGGAAAAGCTTTGGGGAACATGGCGAGCTTTGCACCGCCCTAGGCCACCTGTCCACTGATCCGCAAAGGAGAAGATGTAAATTCCCTTTGATTTGCATGGTGCAGTCCGCTCACGACGAGCAGGGTGAGCTTATTCTCACAGTCGGGCTGTCTGCATTCCCAAACGAGCCTCCCTCGGGCCCCAATACACCTCCTTTCTGCCCCGTTCCACTTTTTTCTCGTAGACTTCATACTGGCTTTGCCTGCTAGGTGCCTCCTCTCTGGCGCCTCCCCCCATAGAATGCATCCGTGTCTCTGCAACTCGATCCACTGCTCTTTCGTCGCTTGACCGCAGGCATCTGCGCTCTCCCCGGAACAGTCCGCTCCGGCGAGTCCTGTGCCGCTTCCACCTTTGCTTGCCGGCGAGGCCTCTTCTGCAGCAATACCTCGCAGCTTTGTGTCGCCCCGCCTAAGGGCCTTGCAGATCCTTGTGACCCGGCAGAAAACAACCCTTGCGGCCTGCTAACCTGCGCCGCAGTCAATGCGTCGCGTGAAAATAATCCTCAAGGAACGTCTCCAGGCCATTCAAATCCTCCTACGCTTTCGCAGGCACTGGGCAAGCCACAGCATGAGGGACGTGTGGCAGCCTTGCCTTCTCCCACACCAGCTGCTCGCCACCTGCAGACAAGCCAGAGTGGGGGCCCCTTCCAAGTGTCCCCGAGTGCCCTCCAGAGCCCTCGTTACATTTGCACGCTCCCTGAAGGCCTCGAAGGCGATCCTTGCTGGGGCCCTTTCCAGTGTCTGGAGGGCTGCGGCGCATGCGTCCAGGGAATTTGCCGGTCCTTCCTGCCTGAGGTGCCGCCCAGTAGGCACTCCCGCGACGCGCTGACAGCCACAGGCGAAGAGAACGCACACAGTGCAGCAGCAGCAGCCGCTAGAGGCGGTCCAGAAAATGGAGCTCTCCCCCAGAGACAGCTTGCACTTGAGCATCAGCAGCGGCCGCCGCAGGAGCAACGGCGGCGACAGTGGGAAAGCAAGGCGCATCGAAGCGACCTTGCCGCTTGGAAGGAGAGCGCGATGGAGCTTTTGCACGCGCTGCGCGATGCCGAGGCTTCGGCAGCCGCAAGCGAAGACCAGCAAGACCCCTTCGGCATTCCGCTGAAAGAGGAGGCCCTCACAGAGCTTCGGCTTGAAGTCATGAGCCCCGAGGCTGCCCTGGGTGCCGGGATGGCCGAAGCCCCCATTGAAGCCCTCTCGCTCAAGCACGGAGCCGCTGAAAAGAGGCCCCTCGTGGCTGCCAACGCAGTAACCTATTGTCTACCATCGGGGGAGGGGGCCCCCGTCGGGGCCCCTTGGGCTGCCTCCCTTTGCATCCCTCAGTACCCGTCGCCCCCCGGCTCCGTGGGGGCCTCCTCCCGCCGGCGGAAGTGTGGAGCGCGCTGCAAAGCTGCGTGGAAGCGCGCAGCAGGATACACCTACGACTACAGCAGCAAGACCTTTCGAGCACCCGTGGCAGAGGGCCCTCAAGGTACGAGTGCCCTTCTGAAGCAGCGGGGCGAACCCCATCTCAGCGGCATGCTTAAATTCCAACAGGCGCCGCCGGGAATCGTTCTCTCCGGAACGGCCGTGGAAGCCTCACGCCCTCTCGTTTCCAGCGGAGGCGTAGTACACTCAGGGACCTCGGGGAAAATTTCGCCTGCTGCAGAACAAGCTGCACCCCAGAGACACACTCCCTGGCCACAGCCTTTCCAGCCGCATCCGCAGCTGGCGCTGGAGCGGCAGCCGGATACGGCCCACGCTTCTTTGCAGCAGCAGCAGCAATGGCAGACGGCACAGGAGACAATGCCCGATGCGCAGCAAGTTAGGCTGCAGCAAGCGCCAACACCTACAAACCCTACACAGCTGTTGCGGGAGGGAGCTGGGCGGGAAGCCCCGTGGCAAACGCATCCGCGAAATCAAGCAGAGGCAGCTCCGAGAGGCGCGAACCCGCAGCAGCATCGCCGAGGAGAGGAGGACACAATGATGCCGCCGCACCAGCAGAAGGAGAAAACAACTGCTGATGAAGCCTTGCAGCTACTAGAAGATGATGCCCCGGGCTGGCAGGAGGGTCTCAGCGACTTCACTCAAGGGCACTATCCACCGTCAGCAGAAGAATTGCTTCTGGAAAGCACGTCCGATCTCTCTAAAGCTGCCGACTCCTCAGGAGGTGCTGCTGCGCATCCGGCTGAAGTTGCGGCTCTCTTGCAGGCTACCCCACAGCCCACAAAAGAAGAGCTGCCTCTTGCACAGACACAGCACCTGCAGCAGAAGGAGCGCTCTGATGAGGCAGTTGCATATCCACAACCACCCAGCTCCTCCTTGCATGGACTTGATCAGGCAGCGTCGAAGCCATGGCCATCTCACAAGCAGCAGCATGCGTCGGAGGCCTTGCAGCTCGCGCAGGAAGAGGAAGGGGGAGCCGATGAAGGCATGGGGTTTGAGTGGAGAGACACACGCGACCGTAAGTTTCCCACCGACATGAGCGCGTCCGGTTCGATTGGAGGACAGCCAGCAGAAACTCAGGCTTTGAGCGCCTTTCAGAGCGATGAAGAAGACAAGACCCTTCCCGAGGGTGCGGTCCTGCGAACCAACGATGAGACAGAGGCACAACGCACTGAAAAGGCCCCTCCTCTGCTCGCTCTGGCGGTAGATGATCCTCCTTTTCCACTAGCAGAGAGCAGTAGCAGCAGCAGGACCACCACCACCGACAGCCAGAACAACACGACAGGCGAGGCTCTGCAACGCAGCATAAGCGCAGGCACACCTCTTGAGCCTACACCCTTCAGGGTGGGGGCTGGCCTTATCCCTGCTGACTTCATGGAGGCGCCAGCGCGTGAGGCCGTCGCTCCCGCAGAAGCTCCAGCCAGCGCGCACGCCGACTTAGCGGACACTCCCACAGGCAACCGCGGAAGCGGCAGCTCTTTTGCGACTTCAACCTCAGAAGAAGCTGCTGCCACAGCGGACGGGGGAACGCCTGTCGTGAGGGATACCGCGTTAGTAGTGCCATCAGCGGCTGCCCACGCACCGGGATCAGCAGGCGGAGGAGAAGCAGGCGTAGAAAACGAAACAAAGACTGTTCCAACGGCACAACAGGGGCTGCTGCCTGTGGCTCATGGGGAGGACGACAACGCGTGGAAGGAAGCAGCAGCACCTACCGAGGCGCCTCCGTTTACACGCGTTGCAGCAGATGCCACACCTGCATCGGAAGGAGTCGCGGATGCAGCCTCAGCTGCACAGCCTCCCGCAGCAGCCTTCGCTCCAGCAGTAGACACAGATCTTCACCCCATGTCTACGGCAGCTGCTGACGAATCTTCGGGTTTTCTTGGTGAGCGTGAAGAGGGCGCCTCCGTCGTCTTCGCAGCTAGATTAGACCAGAGAAAAGCAGTTTCTAATACCCATTCCTTTCGTCTGCCGGAAAGCGTGGCTTTCATCTGCTGAAACAACCGCTTTGGGAAATGTGTTCCTGTGTTTGCAGATGCTTTGGGGGAGTTCGCTGAAGGCATCGAGTGGCGGGAACGAATGCACCACTCCGATGTGCGCGTGAGTGGGGGGGCCTCCACACAGGGGATTTCGCTTGCCGCAGCAGCCCCAGAAGAAGGTGCGTCTCAAGCCGCCACGGAGCTTGTCAGTCGCGTTGCTGAGGCAGCAGCCGCTCACCAAATTAGTTCCCCAGCAGCCTCCAGCAGAGCGGCACGAGAGCCGCTGGAAATAGCGCCACCCCCCCTGCCACAGCACCCGCCATCGCGGGCAGCAACAGCCGCTGCGCCTCCAGGGTCTCTCGAGCACGAGGCTCTTCTATCGGGATTCACGCAAGATTTTGAAGCTGCGAATGCAGGACTGGCAAGTGCAGCAGGGACAGGGGCCGCTCGAGGGGCAGCTGCAGTTGCCACTGAGGCTGATTTAGGTGAAGCTGGAAGCACAGACGTTGCCGCACGTGCAGCAGGGATAACCGCAGACACGAGGTCGGACATAGCAGGTCTAACAGGGGCAACAAGCTCCAGCTTGCCAGAAGGCTCTAGCCACTCCGGCGCTACACCACGCCCTGTCCGTCGGCGCGGCCGTCTGCCCGATCGGGGAGAGGCAAGCCGTGAAAAAGCTGACGGAGAAGGCCATCTTAAAGAAGAGGGGGCTGGCCAGGGAGAGGAATGGGTTGCCTGGGAAGAGATGCCCTGGGGGACAGATGAAGAAGACGTTGAATGGGTAGTAGAGGAAGACAACGCCGACACACCTAGGAGCAACAGCGCTCCAGACGCTGCCCCTTCGTCTACTTTGTCCCCCGCACCGATTGCTGGAGGCGGCTCTGTAGCTGCTGCCTCAGGGGCTGCCCCCGTGCAGCTTCCACTGGCGCCACACAGCACGCAGCCGTATTCGCCTCGCCAGCAGCCGCGGCAGCAAACGCAAGGTCAAGTCCGGCAGCAGGTGCAGCAGCAACAGCAGGTGCAGCAGCAACAGCAAGTGCAGCAGCACCAGCAGGTGCAGCAGCAACAGCAGGTGCAGCAGCACCTGCGACAGCAAAGCGAATTGCAGCAACAGCAGTGGTTGCAGCAGCAGCAGTGGATGCAGCAGCAACAGCAGTACATGCAACAGCAGCAGCATGGCTGCGATTTGCTGAGCTCTGCACGCGACGAATGCATGGTTCCTTCCCTAGGTGGTTATTACCACGCACAACAGCCACAGCAGGCTTTGCAGCCGCCGCAGGAGGTCCTTCACCAGCCCTCCAACAACTCGCGGCTGCATATGGCACCCTTGCTTGCGCGCTTGAATCCGAGGGGGATTGGCGGATGCTACAGCACCTGCTGTCGAGAGGTGTGTGCAGGGGGACCTCTTCTGTCGATGCACGCCTTCACCCTTTACTATCATCACGTGCAGGGTATCCACCAATCGGTGCTGTGGCAGCTGCTGCCTTGCAGTTGCGCATACGCGCTGTACTTTTTGCGTCTTGCCAGACCCTCCAGAGGTGCTTCTGCTCCTTGTTAGAGGGAGGCCATGCTGCTCCGGGTAAAGTGGGAGATATCTTTCGGTGCGAACAAAGGCACGCAGTCCATCGCGCGTTGTGCTGCTGCTCTTGCGTGTAATGCTCAGGGATTCTTCTGCTCGGTCGCTGGTGGGGGCTGCTCTCCTCAGCGGCGAATGGGTGCAGCATGCCAAGGCTTTGCCGAGTCTGAGTGCCAGGAAGGGGCCGTCTGCCTCTCTGGAGTCTGCCGTCTGCCCTTTTCTGTGCTGCCTGCGGCAGCGGCCGCCTTGTCTGAGTCGTCAGGAGCAGGAGAGGCCTTTGCGAGTTCTGAGGACAGGAGCTCTACAGTTCTCATAGGACCAGCTGTACCGCCACTTCACGTGTGTGTGCCGTGGAGTCGGCCTGTTGTGCTTGGCGTAGACCCTGCACCTGATCCTACCCCATCATCGCAAGCAGCGCCTCAGCAGCAGCAGGCGCTTTTGAGGCTCTCGTGTGAACCTTTAGAAGGGCAGCCCTGCACGCACGATGCGGAATGCTGGGGGTTTGCTGTCCCTCTGGGGTATTGCGATCCGAGCGACAGCCGCTGCAAGGCTCCTGCGTATCCAACGTGCCTTCCTCTGCTGCAGAAGCTCGTGTCTCTGCAGATTGAAGCTTTCAGCCGCTCGGTAGAGGCGCTGCGGCGGCAGAGTCCTCATCAACGCTCGCAGCAAGAGCAGCAAGAGCACAAATCCATTGAGGTCATGGTGCAGCAGCAAGCTCATGCCTTTCTCTTTGCTTCATTCCCGCAAGCGACAGACTTCTATGCTGGCAGTGCACGCGGCGTCAAAGGGAGTCCTTTTGAAGCGCTTTCTGGGGAAGCTAGGTTTTTGGCTGCTCTGCGAAGGCAGAAGCTGGATCAAGAAACGGAAGTCCTGCAAGCTGCGCTTCTATGCTGCATAAAGTTTCATGAGGGCAAGCAGTGGCAGGACGGCAAGAAGGCGCAGATGCAATCGCATGGGCTGCTTCTGCAGATGATGGACTTAGGCGAAGTTAGCCAAGCGGCACAAACGGAAAGCTCTGAAAGTGCTAGTTTCGGAAGCCTGGAGGGGTCTCTCGAGCCAGGGAGTCTGGAAGAGCAGCAACAGCAGCTCCTGGCGCTTCAGCAGCAGCAGCAATGGATGCTGCATCAGCAGCAAAACCTCGCGCAACAGGCGGGAAGCCTTGCAGGTTTGCAACCGTGGGGTGGAAGTCAGCTCGCGGATTCCTCAGTCCCCACAACTGGCCGCCAGTTGCACCCTTCGCACGGGGAAGCAAGACACCCCACGCTACCCACGAAGGGGCCTCGTGCAGCCGAGGATCTGCGCAAAGGGGCCTTGCGCCTCCAGTGTGATGCGACAGCCTTGGAGGGTCTCCTCACATCCATTCGAGAGGAATTCAGAGTTTCCTACCACCCGGCTCTCCCACAGCGCGCATCTGCACCCACAGTGACTGACGAATTGGAGGCTGTGTTTTCGGCACATGCCGCAAACAGGAGTCGGCAGCAAGAGCAACATCGAAATCACCCGCAGCCACAACCTTCACTCCTCGAAACTGAGGCGTTGCTGCGACTGCAGCACGAGGAGCAGCAACGGCAGCAGCAGCTTTTGCTTCAGCAAATGGCCCTAAGCAATGCCCAAAGACAGCAAGACTTCCTGCAGCAGCATCCAGAGGGGCAACATGACTTCCGCTCAGCTGCGGCGTCAGCTGGAGTACACCCTCAGTCCGTCACACCAGGCGTCCTAAATCCAGCCTCGGCACAAGAGCAGCAACACAAGCAGATGCTGCAGCAGCAGCAGTTGCTGCAACAGCAGTTGTTGCAGCAGCAGCAACAACAAGTACACAACTATGCGGGGGGAGCCACATCGACGCACCAGCAAGTGCCGCAGCACACGGTGCCACCACAGCCTTCGGAGCAGGACAAGGCACGAGCTGCAGCCGCTGCCTCTAGAGGCATTGGAGAAACAGTCCCGGCAGCTGCCACAGAGCCATCACAGAAGCAGCGACAAGCCGAGTTACAAGCAGCAGGAGCCAATGGACTGCCCAGCGGTGTATTGTTCACTGGACATCCACGTACAGATGCAGAGATCCAGCAGCACGCTGCTCGAAGGACGGCACCAGCTCTCGGAGATGAGCTAGACGCTGCAGAAGAGGACGCAGCTACGCAGCAGCCGTCAGCAGCCGCCGAAAAGCGACGTGAAGATCGGCAGAGCAGTGGGCAGCTCGATGAAGAAATATCCTGGCCTTGGGATGCTGTGTCTGCGGCAGAGGGTGCTTCAGACGCGAGCGATGCGAGGGGGAGACCTCCTCAAGCTCCTAGAACTGCAACTGCAGCAAGATCTGCTGCTGCTACCGACCCTGTTAGCGGACGGTCAAGACTCTCGACGGAGCAGCGGCAAGAAGCAGCTCGAGATGGAGGAGCTACACAGGAGATGCAGCGGAGGGCAGGACAAGGCAGTCAGCGCTACCAGGACGCAGCTCGCCAGCCGCAGCAGCAGCAGAGCAGGGGTCGTCAGCAGCGCCAGACACCCCAAACGCAGCAGCAGCAGCATGCAGCAGCAGCAGCAGCCCCGCACGGCGCAGTCAGTGCGCACAATGCCAGTACTGGCTCTGGAGGCAGCAGAAACGGGAGCAGCGGACGTGGCAACAGCAACGGTGGGCCACAAACCACCTTGACATACCAACCGTCCCGCCGCGAGCGGCTGCAGCAGCAGACGCAAGCTGAGCAGGCAGCCGCAGCAGCAGCGAGTGCTGGGAGGCGAAGAAACGTGCAGCATCAAGAGCTTTCGCATCAGCAAGGCACTTCGATACGGCCAGCGACTACAGCGACAACAGCAGGATCGCAAGGGGCAAGAGGCTCTGCACGAGGGGCTGCCCCAGGAACGACCTCGCCCTATACAACGCAAGGCCGACAACAGCAAACTGCTGGCAGCCGATTAGATCACCGCCCGCAGCAGCAGCAATTGTTGCTGCTACAGCAGCAGCAACTGAATCCTCAGAGACCCCCACAACAGCGCTACACGTCCGCAGGTGCACCAGTTATTTACTCTGCGGCAGCTGCAGAGCCAGCGGCTGGGTGGCCGTACACTTGGACGCTGGCGCCCTTCTCTGGTGGGCCTGCTATCCAGAGCTTGGGAGTGTCAGACAGCTCTCAGGAAGATGCACATGCGCCTTTTAAGACCTCCGAGACACACACGGCCGCTTCTGCTCGCCGCCTTGCAGAAAGCAGCGCTCCTGCGTCTTTCGTCGCGCTGCTACTGCGAGTGAAGGCCCCCACCAACAAAGTGGGTGCTGACACGGAAAGACACATACTTCCTTCGTAAAAAATACCCACCCTTGCGTTCGCGCGGACAGAAAGTTCTTAGCCAGATAGATCAGCTTGTCCATCTAGGCGAACCCCTTGCCAGATGGCCTGGGGCTCCCTTCTGTTGCATTCTTGTGGGGGGCAGAAGGACTGCTCGGGGAAAAGACTCTCTACAGTTTGCTAGCCCATAGGCTACAAAGGGTCTCTCTCAAAGCGCATGCGTACAGATGTCGCTCCTGCAGGTGCAACAAGAATGGCAGTTCTTTAAAACGGGCCTGCTGACGGTTATTCGTCAGCAGCTGGCATGGAGGATTCCTCAGGAGAGCCTCGACGTGCACCTGCCAAGGCTCACAATGCAGAAAGACACAGTCAGCGCTGTGGTTACAGCATCCTCAACAGCTGCTGCCGGCGCGGATGCAGCTGCAAGCCGAATGGTCGTCTGCTCGCTGGCTGAGGCGCTTATGGCCAGACCAGTCCACGCGTTCCTCCGTAAGCCCGTCCTACAATACTGGCCGATTGTTGCCGGCACCATGTCTGCCGCCGTCTTGCTGAAGCTGGGGGGAGTGCTACGTCGCAGCTGCTGGGTGTTATTTACGCTGTAGAGACTGCTCTGAGGGCTACAGCTCTCAGGAGTGCTCTCGGACTCTTTTGCTGCCTTCTCGTTGCTGCTGGTGCCGTGAGTGAGTACTGCGCTTCGGGGGGCCGTCAGACTGAATGTTCTGCTTTCCTTTCTGCTGCTGCTGCTCGCAACAATTGCTTCTGCAACTGCAACAGAGGCCTGGGACGTGCAGGGCCCCGTCCAGATCTATGGGGGGCCCTCCTTGGACACTTGTTCGAGAGGTGGCACTGAGAGGGATGCACTGCAGTGGGGCCACTTGCTTATAGCGCCGCAGCTGAGCGCTTCGGAACAAGCATTTTTATCGGCTTTCCATGACGTTTGGCTGCGCATGCACTCAAAGGGTCAAGCACTGCAACGGCAAAGCGGCGCTGTGCAGGCCTTGGAGCAGTGGCTGGTGCAGCTTCAGCTGCATCAGCATCACCAGGGGGAGCAGCATGCCGAGGTTCACAGTCTCCTCTCCGAGATTCTATCCCTTTTGGGAGCCGCTGAGGCTCGCAGTCTGCTGGAGGAGTCGACACGGGAGGGGGCCAAAGTGGTGCGCCCCTCAGCGCTGCTGTTCTCGATGCTGCGGCTGCTGCAGCTGGATGAAACTACGCCGCAGAAAAAAATCTATGCGGCGGCTGCCGCTGCAGCAGCCCATCTCTCCCCCCTTCTCGCAAGACTCTCCGAAAAAAGCCTTAAAAAGACCCTCCCTCAAATGGTACATGGCCCTCATGGCCCCCGCGACCCCTCCTCCCCCTCCTTGCGTGCAACAGCACAAGGGCACTGTCAAAGCTTCACTGTGGCTCCTCCAGCTAGGCTAGATGCGTGAGAGGACACCTCTAGAGTCCTCTGCCTGTACGCGCTGCGGTCTGGGGTTTGACTAATATCAGGGTACTTGAGTCGGCCTACACAGCTTTTAGACAGCCCTGAAAGGTCTTCCTCGCATGCGCTCTGTGTGCCATGTACTGGGCAGTCCTAGAATCCATGCTGTAAAGGGGGACAGATGGAAAGAGGGCAATAAACGGCTGGCAAGGCACCCTCAAGGGGGGAGGCGTCACTGCGGAACCTAAGGGGCACCGCGATGCGGCGGCTCTCTCCGGTCTACTGTGTGCCGTGTGCAGGAATTCATTGAGGTGCTCGACGTCTACGTGGAAGGTCCCTATCTTGTACTTAGCCTTTTGGTACGGCTTTTGTGTGTGTGTGGGCCCATAGCCCCTGGAGTGCCGTCAACCACATTGAGGGCTTTCTGTGTGGGGAGTTTTTGCGCGATGCTGACTAGGAAGCCGAGCACGCTAGTCAGCCCGTCCGTTGTACGGGAGTTGCTAAAGACTTTTATACGCTTCCCCGTCGTGCTTGCGTGTGCGGCTCAGGGAAGCCCTTCCTTGAAGAAAGAGATGTATGGACAGCTGGAAAAGACTGAAGTAGCCTTTGCGAGTCCTCAGAAGGATATCGAGGCTCTTCTGCCCCCTCACAGCCTGCTCTCGTATTTGGTTCCAAACGAAGTACAGTTTGTTCATGGATGTGAGCGTTCAAGCAAGGACTCCCCGCCTGCTGCTGGTGCTGCTGGTGTGCCCCTGATCCTGCAGTCTCTCTCGCTCTCATTCGCATTCTCTCTCTTTCTTCCATGCGCCTGTACGCGCGCTGCTGTTTCCCTCCACTGTTCGAGAAGTGTGGGGGCCTGCGGCTTGTACCACAGATGCGTCTCCACCATCGACTGAAGTGAAAGGGCCCCCGCGGTCGCAGGCTGTCCACTGCATTTTTAACCAATTGCTGCTCCTTGACGTAGACACACAGAAGCAGCAACAACAACAGCAGCAGAAGGGCATCCAGGAAAAAGACGAACTGGAGGCTGCAGGCCTGACGATGGGGGAGTACCTCTCGGCGGCTTGCGAAGACGCTTGCTTTATAGAAGAAACGGGAAGAATGGATACAGCGGAGGTTGCTGTCTTTTCGTTTGTTGTAGGGAGGCCTTCTGATTTCCCTTCTCTGAGTTGCTGACTATTGCGCTTCTAGGCGTCAGGAAGCTTCTTTGGTTCTCTGCTTCTATGGCTTGCTGCTTCGACTCTCTGCTTCAAAATTCTGCTCCAACTGGGTTTCCCACTGCGCATCTTCCTCATCTCAAGAAACTTTGCTGAACCGGAAGGCACACGCCGCAGCGTCTCCAGCTCCTCCTTTAGTCTCTCTATGCCGAAAGGCGTGGATTTAGCTTGCGCTTGGGGCCTTCCTGCCTCCACTGCTGTAATTGGGTAGCACTCGGTGCAGCAGCTGTTGCGTTGCCTACCCTTACCTCAGGCCCCCTCTTTGCAAACTCTTTGCGTGATTGTGCTGCTGCAGGCTGTGCCCCACGCGGGAGTCACAGCGGAGGCCCTGGAAAAGGCCTTGCTGCGGATGGTGCAGCTCGCAGTATTCACGGAATCTCCGGTGTATAGGCTGCTGCCCTATGGCTCTGTGGTCGTGAGGATCCCTCAACGCTTTGCCATGCAGCAGGCACCAGAGCCCTAAGGACCGTCTGTGTGCCGTTCCGAGGGAAGCTCAGCCGAGGGAAAGTCTCACCTGCCAGACATCCTGCCTCCTAAATCACTCACTAAGAGGCCTGGGGATGGCCATGCCCCCCGATGCCGCCGCGCGGAAGGGAACGCAGACCAGACCAAGCAAAAAATAGAGATCTAACAACAGTCCGTCGTAGACGGCCCAGGGGGGCCCCGACACGGAAAGTCGGGTGGGCCTTTTGTGTCTCTGAGCTATGAGAAGAGGTATCATTATCTCTTTTCTCCAGTTCCACAAGGCTTGTTTATTTGCCAATTCAATTTAAAAAGATGCTTTTGGAATCTTCGTCTCGGTTGTGCTTCAAGAGGCAACGGTAGGGTTCGCAGCCTCCCAAAACGCGAAAGCTGGGCTTCTGCACGCTTAAGGTGTGACGGGCTTTGAGCCATACTTACTCTGCACTGTTGGTCGCAGGGGCGAGCCGCATGTGGAAACTTTCTCAACTGGCTGGCGCAACGAACCTAGCTCGCAGCCTTCTCAGAGGTTGCAGGGGAACATCCTTACACCCCTTGCATGCAGGCGCTGCCTACCCGGAAGAAGCCCGTTCTTGCCCCTTCTCCCTTTACCCCCATGCCATCAAACAACGCCCCCGCTTGGGGTTCCCATAAGTCATTAGGGCCTGTGCGAATGGAGGTGCCCTTGCCTCCCTGAAGCAGCGCCTAACGTCCGGGAGCGTAAAGTCTTCTAAATCCCATGGTACACCATGCATAAGCAAACAAAAGGGCTATTTAAGTCCAGGGTCTGTTTGATTACAGCCAGACAGTCTGCCTGTTATTCGCACATCTAACGATCTTTTAACCTCCCGAAGCCAACCGCCCGCTGTAGTTCTCATGAGACAGAAGGCGACAGGGAGGATGAAGCCTTCCTACGAGGGGCACCAATGCAACGAGGGACTAGCAATGGAGACAGACTGCGAAGCTAAAGAAGATGATGACTAGCAAGACCGGAACATAGATTGCACCAGACACTAAGAGGCATAGGGAGAAGAGAAACAAAAGAAACGTGGAAAGGGAAACAGGCGAGAAAGAAGATTGAGCAGGCAAACGGACGCCACGCGCGTAGCGTCACCCCGCGCTCTATTAAGACTTACGCCTTTTTGATGTACCTCGCATACACTGTAGAAAAGACGAAACAGATAAGCAGCATGACGATTAGCAGAAGAATTAACTTGCAGCAAAAATTCGAGGGACTCTGTTCCTTCAAGAACTTCCTAAGCCTAGAATCCAAATACTGCAGCTCTGCAGCCGCTTCGTTCGTCTGATGAGTCAGATCCTCCACCAAGTGGCTTTGCATTTCTGCCTGCGCCCCTATAGTTACTGCAACTTCAGCTGTACCGACACACCCGCAGCAACATTGGTGAGAGGCGCAATGTGCTGGCCCTAGCTGCCATATCGCTCGTGAGCGCAACAACTGCAAAAAGGAGCCCATCCGCACGACAGCAAGCAGCAGGGCAGCCACCAACAGCCACAAAAAAAGACAGGCGCTAGTGGCTAGCACCTAGGCCGCAGCATCAGCACGCAGCATCTGCGGCAGTCAAGAGTACCAGGGAAAGTATTACCAAGAAACACTAAAAAGAGGCATCACGAACAGCAAAAGTCTCAGAGACAACGGGATCAAAAAGCACGCGAGCAACACCGCGGAGCCAAAAGAACAGCACATGCAGGAGAATGCTAGCTGCGTTATAGATCCTGCATAGAAGAAAGGGGCGACACGAAGTTATTCGTACCAATCCTGTCAATGGCATCCCCAATCTGCGCAATTTGCTTATCAAACTGTTTGTCACGTTCCTTCCATCGCTCCAGCACGATCTTGTCCTCCTCCGTCAGCACTTCAGGCTGGGGCACGAGAGAAACGTCGGGGTGGCTCCCATAGTCTTCCTTTACAGAACCGCGAGATGCCAGCTCTGTCAGCGTCATCACGGATGGTCCTTGAAGAGAACCAACAGAAGACAGCGCTGCCCTCTCGCCCGCTGATCCCCGTTTGCTTTGCCTGTGCACAAGCTCGATCTCCCTGCGAAAAGAAGATAGAGCAAGCGCAAGCGCAGACAGAAATTACACGCACACAGAGGAGCACTAGCGAAAATCAGAGGCTGCCTCTTGCTCGAAGCCTCGTCTGAAGAATACCTCCCCAAATGGAACCCCCAGAGCAATAGCGGCATCGGCAGCGTCAGTCGCTGCAGCGAGCGCCGCCCTTCTCTGCGCCTCTGCGATCCCTCTGTTTTCGCTGCGTGAGATTCACTCCTACTTCACGCTATCTCATAGCCTAGCTGGTGAATTCGTCTGCCTCTTGGCAAACGCCACACCCCACCCCCGTCCGTTCCCATCCCCCATCCGAGTGCTCCACCGCGCCTCTTGGCAGGCACCGCCGCATCTTCATACGCACAAGCGAGCAAAGCGACACTTACTTCAAGATGCAATTGATCTGCTGGTGCCTGCTTTCCAGTTCTTCTTCTGACAGATTCAAAGCTTTTCTTTGTTTGTACTGCAGGGCGTAAATCTCGCCTAACTCGTTAAACTTGGATTTCAAGTACGCCATGTTGTCGCTGATGGCACTTCTCTTCGCGATAGACTCATATGTTGTCCCTTAAAAGAACGAAGCAGAGAAGGAGATGGAGGCGATGTGTGGTTGCGAGCAAAGCAAGAGCACTGACCAGAGAAGCAGCGACGACACTCAGACGGTTCCAGGCGGAGACAGTCATTGCATACTAAGCGGATAGCGAGAGGCACACACACACAGGCAATCACATACAAGCTACGAACTGCTTACCTTTCGTTTCCAAGATAATTCTGCGCTGTTCGATGAGGTCCCTTGTTTCTTCTATAACATGAAGAATCGCGCCTTTGCATTTGCAAAAGGGGTCCTGCTCCGCATCTGCGGTGTCTTCCTTTTCCGGGTCCAGAAGACACTCTTCCTCGATTGTTTTTACCACTTGAAGCAGCTCCTCTAGGATGCCTTTGGTGGACGCTGGCTGAGCAACGGCCTTCTTGCCTCCCGCAGCAGCTGCTGCTCCACCTGGTGGGGAACCTTCCGGTGGAAGGAGTCTAGACAGACCACTGCTCAAGTCGCCGATGCCGCTGCCTCCCACAAGCCCCCTACTTGTCTTACTTTTCCGCTTCCCCCCCCTGCCCCCCAGGGAGCCCAAAGTTGGAAGACGAGGAGCATTGGCCTTGCGCTTGCGCTGCGGATCTAAGGAACGCAGAGAGGGCAGCTGAAACTCATCTTGCGGCACAGGGGGGAGGAGACCTGGCAGAGAGGAGGGAAGCATACTGTTCCCCGCGCCAACTCTGTCTCGTCGTTTGCTGCCGCTGATTAGGCTGTTTTATGCCCGCTGACAGGGTTCAAGAGAGCGCAAGAAGATGAAGCCAGGGAGGCGCTGGGGCCGTCGGAAACAGCGAGGTGGTGGATGGCATCAGCAGTGTTTTCAACAGGACAAAGAGGAGGGAGACCAAATTCCGGAGAGGGGGAAAAGGTGAAGAATTGGACAGAAGGACGGAGCAGATCTAAGCCAGAGGATGACGATGCGAGCCCCCAAGTGAGAAGAGGCTAACGCATGCGACTTGACTTTTGCTTATTAAGGGAGAGAGACAGATATTTCGCAGTTGTTGCGCCTTTGTTTCCGCTTATTAGGGAAAAGCAGCCGTCTCGCAGTGACGCTGCGGAAGAGTCTGTACAACGCAAAACCTGCTTCACGGATTCGGTGTTTTTGGTGGCCATGCTGCAGGAAAAGTTTGGAGCAAAGAGTAGGTTTGTTTCCCTTTTTGTAAGAATGGTCGTAGTTCGCGGGTCACAAAAGCCTTGAGTCGCATGCATTGGCAGCCGACGGGCTCGAGTGAATATACAACTTCGAGAGGAAACGCAAGGACGCCGTTACATTGTTGTCCTCACCTTTAAACGCAGTAACAGTTTATTTTTTGCTTCTCGTTGCTTTTGTTCATGACGGGGACCTTCGTAATTCCAGGATTCCAGTAGTATTTGATTTCAAAGTTTTGCATTACGCAATTAGGCGTACATGGACCACAGGTTTCCCGTGCCCAGGGGCAAGCAATGAGTTACCACCACAGGGCAACCCTTTCCTCTTATGCTTCTCTAACATGTCTGTGAGCCTCACTACTCTCCTTAAGAAGGAGGTGATACCATGCAGTTCACCTGCTCACCCCCTGTTGTGCCTCGTCCATGCACTTGCCTTAAGACATGCATTCATATCGCTTGTGTCTTCTCCCCCCTCCTTTTTTATTCAATACTTGTGCCACCTAGTGCCCGGGAATTTCCAAAGTAACGGTTCTCGATCCTGTCCTGAAAAATACTCCGAGTGCACAGTTGTACATATCCACTACCAAAACTAACTGGCCGTTGTCACGTACAATCGGAAAACCAGCCATTCTAAAGCTTGCATCAACGAATTTGAAAGACCGCTTTCGCTACTCATCTAGCAGGAGAAGGGGTTCACTTGCTGCTGCTATGTGGAGAGGACTTTAACTAAGTTTGTGGGTCTAGGCTGTCTACTCTCTCCGTGCAAAACCAGCAGGCCGCGTAAATTAGATGCGACAGTATCATCAAGCCCAGAAAAAGCTATGAAGAAGGTATTTTTGATGTGTACTGGCCCTACGTACCACACTAAAAGGGCTTGAAAAGGCCTTATCGCACACCAGACAAAAACGAATGTTAAGCTAGTTCACCTCTGTTCCACAGTAACCTAAGATAAAACTGAAAATCTAGAGAAAAGACACGGGAAGATACCAACCCCTGCGGTATGGGCACGGTGCATTCATCAAACATCTGGCCCAACATCCGCCGCGACCTTCATGGGAAAGTTTAATACAAGCATACCAATTTGAGGTTTCGTCTCTAAATTGTAATGCCCTGCTTTGAATTTAGAATCCCTTGCTCCAATAATGCTGCAGAGCTGTTCGCTGTATTATGGGGTGGCACGGAGGCAGACGGCACGCAGTTCGCTCTTTGCGGTGACACTTTTCAGACCGCAAGAAGACACGATAATCTTAGCTTCTTCTTATATACAAATTCCAAATATGTGGTACCCGCGGAGTCGGTTCGTCTACCCACCTTTGAAAGCCATATTACCTTAACAAGGAAAGACCTTTCGCTTGCTTTATTCTGCTTTGTATTTGGGCGGATATAATTAGGGTGACACTTCTTTGCTTGTTTTCTTCGCTCTAACGCAGCCTCCTCTTTGCCAGCTTCTTACTTTTCGGACTTATGCATTGATTGAGGGTAAACTTCAAGGCGTTTGCTCTTTCTCAAGTTAATTGAGCTTCATATAGTGCAGAAATTCATCCCAGTCAACCTGCAGATCAAACCTCCTCAAAAGAAATCGAATAAATGGGCACAGAAGAATACAAGACGCAACCTGGCAAGAGCTGAATAAGCTGCAAGGAGTAAGTTTCAAAGAAACACCAATGCAGTACCTACTCACAAGTGCAGCGCGGCAGCAAGCACTTTCAAAGACAGCCACCCTAAGTATAGCAGCTTGCAACTCAAGAGAGTCGACAAGACTAAAATTTCAGGAGAAACAAACAAGAAAGGAACAACTACTATTCGGGGTTGCGAGTTTTTCCTATGCCAGTCGATTCCCAAGAAGCCAGAGTTGCAAAAACGTCCACCATTCAAATTTCTTTTTAAAATACCTCAAACATGCATGCGTGAATATGATAAGCCCCAGAGCAGTAAAGCAAAATAAAAGAAATAGGAAAAGAGCGCAGACTACGACGACTCTACCAAACATGTCAGTGGCGCTGAGATCTGGCACTGTGGATCCGAAATGCGAGAAATGAGGATATAAACGAAAAGTACAAACCTGTCCATCTCCATTTCTGTCAATTTGCGCCACGAGGGCTTTAACTGTATCTTTCGGTACTAGGCGGTAGTCGTCACCCCCAAGAACTGCTTCAAATTCAGGTACAGATATTTTGCCATCCCCATCCTAACGAAAGCATGCGCATCGGATTTCGACTATATCACAATTTTGTGCATAAAATCATATGCCAAAATTTGCAGATATGTCAGTTTCTGCCCCTTCAAACATACAAACATGCGTTCTGGTGAAGGCATTAATGGCAAATGGACTAGAATGACAAGTTGTAATGAAAACACGGCAGCAAGTAAGTACGAATAAATGCCAGTTGCAAAGTGTACCTGCAGGGACAACCTACAATAACAAATGGCTAAGAAACAAGGAGACTACCAGCAGTGCGTGGAAGGAGGGGGCCTTACAGAAAAGCCGACAACAGCACTTGGCACACACAACTGCCAGCGACAACTAACAAGAATGCAACACAGAATGACAGCTCCGCCATTTCGGAATATCAGCGGAGATGAATTGCGCGAAAAAGACTAAGCACCTCATTCGAGACATTCGCACAAACCATAAAAGTGTTGACCAAATGAGAAAGCAAAGAACAAAGTCCGAAGGACAAAAAAATCTGACTCCTCACTTTGTCCATCTTTTGAAAGGCCGTCCATATGACATTCAGCTCAGACTCCTGCCACGAATAACAGGCGGCTAGAAACTCTGTAGACATGCAAAGTTACAGGCAGGAGGCAACAGCCAAGCGCAAAGATGAACAGTCAGCAACCCCCCTCTATAGTTACTTCTGTGTCTCGCTCTGATTCGACAGGCACATTTGCTTTCACTGATACCTCGAGCTCGTTTGTACAAAAGATTCAAGCGGGTATCTCTGTGCGTGCATTTAACCTTAAATGCGTGTAATTCGCTCTTCTCCCCCGGTCTACTCCCCTGGCGCGGCACTAGTAGGGGCGCCTGCATTTTTGCGATCCTCTGAGGCATACCCATCTCATTCTGGCTGCTGTTTTCTGTTTACATGTTGCTTCGCCATTGCATTCAGCGCAACCCCTCATACCTGTTACCTCATAACTTGCCTGTGTAAGACACGTTCCCAGAGTCGTCAACATCAACCGACTGAATAATTCTATTGATATCCCATTGAGGCAATCCAACCTGCTCCAGACCTGTCCAGTCAACAGCCACATACGCACCAGAAAAGGAGTTAGGTCTTGCCGCCAATGAAGTGAGACATAGGATTTAGGTCTACAGGGTTATGACTCTAAAACTGACCCTCTGTAAGCTCGGTGTGCGAAATTGTTCCGTCTCCATCTTTATCTAATTGTCTAAAAATATCGTTGATCTGTCGAATTTGAGGCCCTGTGACATTGAGCTGATGGACCATCATGTTCACCAGCGCATTTTTCAGATGCGATTGACGCATGTATTTCTGCAACAGAGAAGGAGCCGAAGACGTACGGGTTGACGCTTAATACGTCCAGCGAGTGAGGCGATGTGGCACGCGACCAGCCACAGGAGACAGGCGAAAGGGCCAATTTCCGGAAGAGGCAGCAGCGAAAAAAGTCAATACTTTTGCATCGGCAGCGGCCTTACCTGGCTTGTATGCTCTACCCAAAAAGCCCTGAACAACTCTTATGGCATATTTGCAGTTTCCCTTCCCCCTTTTCTCTTACCAAAGACCTGCTTTCTAGGGACCTTCTCCTTTCCTCACCTTCATGTTTTCGCAGATAAGCGGTGAGATTTGAATGACCTTGACATTGGCTTGATTGAACCAGGGATGTTTAAGGACCTCGGTAGCAGTGGGTCGTTCGTCCTCGGGCTTTATCAGCATCCACTTGAGCAGAGAGACAGCCTCCCCGGTCAGATGGGCGCATTCACGAGCGTAGTCAGGCTCAGCTGAAAGGCAAGGGAGAGGGACAGGACACACACAGAGAAAGGCAGACATCAACACAGAAAAGGAAAGCGCAAAGAAAGGGAGGGAAAGACGCAGACGTTAGCACGAGCCACAGAAGGGAAAGCAAAGAGGCAGAGCCAGAAATAAAGACGAAAAACGCCTCTCAGTACAGTTGCCGTCAAAGCCCTCGGTTGCCGTCACGCCCGCCTATGGGGACCGAATCCAACAAAGCGGCGAAGGCACGCAAAGCAGACTGACACTCCACATAAGCTCAGGACTGAGTTGTTGTGCTGGCCTCAAAGTCTTTAGCTTGCTCTCAATTAACGAAAACGGGAGCAGCAGCAGCAGCAGCCCGAGCCGCCGCGACACCCGAACGCGATCGATCAGTGCTCCTCTACAGAACCGAGGCAACGAGGCAACCATTTGGCGCAAGTGCCCTACATCCGTGCTGTTTGATAAGGCCCACACCCATTCAGCTCTAGGCTAGAGGACTCCAAGCAAAAAAGCTCCTGTCTAAGTGCAGACAGCAGTTCACGTACAGTTGCACACTTTGTCCTTCACCTCCTCGATTGTGTTTCCGATGAAGGGCAGACAACCGGTCAGCAGAAAATACATCATAACTCCTAAATCGGACAAGGCAGCACATGCACAGCACTGGAAAGCCTGAGATCAGGGGAAGGGAGAGGCGGAGGGAAGGAGAGACTGTCACTTCCGCTACATACAGGAGATGCAAAAGAGCTACTGAAAGCGCTGGCCGCAGGAAAGTGCCGGGCAGCAGGGAAGGACAAGCGAGACGTCAGAGGTGGGAGATGCAATGAAAAAGAGCCAGTACGTGTAGAAAGAAACCTAATACAATGGGCAGAATGGCACGCCGACAGAATACTTTATAGCGGAGAAGCCCCGGATAAGGGAAGAGAGCGGCAGAGACGGTAAGCAAGTTGAAAGAGGCACTGCCGCCCACGAACGGAAGAAAGGCGCAGTGTACGAATGTACGCAAGAGACTTAGAAGCAGAGAGAGAGAGACAGAGAGAGAGAGAGAAAGACAGAGAGACAGAGACAGAGAGAGAGAAACAGATCATTACAGAGAGAGAGAGACATCAGGAAGGAAAGGCTGCAATGCCGTTGAGAACAAGACACGGAGTCACCCTATGGAGGAAATTGCGCGCCAGCTCCTTTTTCAGCAAAATACCTCCTCTTTGACCGAACTGGAAGCCACGCCCAGACCCACTGCTCAATGAATGTGTCACAAAAAGGTGCTACAGCGAACGCGAGAAAAGGTGGGTATGAGGGAACGCATGTTATAGGCTGCTATGATTCTGGCGCTTCAATACTAAACTCAGCTGTGGAAAAGCTCTAACGTACCAGCCGACCAGATGTCGCATTTGAGAGAGAGATACCGCATGAAAACTTCTGGGGCCATGTACAGCGCGGTGCCTACGAAATTCCGCTAGACATGCACTTTCGACTCGTATTGCAGCGTCCCGGTATGAGGAACCTCGGCCCTTGGCTATAATGGAAGGGGCGAGAAAGCAGCAGGGGCAGGTCGAGCGCAGGGTATTGCATAGCAGAAATGTACGTTAACACCAACACGATGCAGAGCGCTTAGAGAAGCCAGTACAACAAAGGAACCACAGTATGCGGCGTATGAGAGCAAAGCCCGGCGGAATGCCTTTAAAAGTCCGAATAAGTGCCACAGGGTCTGTCTCCCTCACCTGCGGCGTTTTTACTATGTGCATCGGTCTTCTCGAACAATTCTGCCAAGCCTACGGAGTAAGCGAAAATCAGACGTCCTCGCAAAGCAAAGCAAGCGCCGTTAGAACATCAGATAATCGTTGAAAACCCGTGAGAGCGAGCGCCTCGGGAGCCGCCCTTTCTGTGAACTAGAAGTTCAACGTCATTCCTACTTGTGAAGGCGGTTGCTCTTGCAAGGCCGCACAAATGAAAGGAGCAGAAAGGGGAAAAGGGCACACTAGCCAACAAACGCTAGGAGAATCATAGACAGCCGGCGGGAAGAGGCCCTCGTACCGAAATCGATGACTTTGATGGGGGAGTCCGGGGAACTGTCTTGGAATAAGACGTTTTCCGGTTTGAGGTCTCTGCATGCAAAGCATCAGCTTTGTGTGGATTCCAGGAGGCTCAGCAGTTAAATAGGGTGCAAGGAGTCCACGCACGTCCCTTTGCAGACCGTCTGTTGCCACATCTTGCGCGAGCCGCGATCAAGTCTGGAGGTCAAGCACTCCGACTGGCGCTACTAAAATCCCTCTTTCCGCTTCGCCCTTACACCATGTTGCCCTCTTCACAGCCCTGGAATGGGCATCAAGACGAGGAGGAGGGAAACATAGAGGAAAAGGCAGAAAAGCGCATCACTCGCAACACGGAAAGCAGGAAAAAAACCCTCTGACTGGTACCCCACGTGCCTACTTGTGCGCCACATGCTTGGAATGGAAGTACGCCAATGCATTCATCAGCTGTCTCATGATCTCGCTGACAGACTTCTCCGTTAAGGCGCTTCCTCGATTCTGAGCATCTATCAGACGTTGCAGCAGCTCGCCGCCCTCACACGTCCTTGAAGCACAGATACCAACGAACGCATCGGGATGAGTCAAGCACAGGTGTTGTGAGACTCGAAAAGCCGCGCATGTAGACAGTTGCCAGCAGAGATAAGGCAGCTGCCACGATCAGCTCTTGGCCTCGTGTATGTACGCAGTGCTTCCCTTAAGCGTTTCCCAGGAGGCCCCCTGGAAAGAGAGGGGCCGCCCTTCCTTTTAGGGGCGGCAAAACAACACTTTATCAGCGAAAATGCAAAGGACACCCTCTGAATACTGGCTGCCTTCGCGAAATCCCCCCTCTTCGTAGCCTGGCTGTTAAAAAATGTGTGGCTTACTCCATGACGATATACACATTATGGTAATCATCAAAGACTTCAAAAATCTTGATGATGTTCGGATGGTCTAACGACTTGAGAACTTCAATCTCCGCCTCGATCTGTTCGAGAGGCACCTGACTTCTGTCTTTGTTTATCGTCTTGATGACGCGTTCTAAGCCACTGCTGGAAGCACCCAAGCAGCCGTAAACACACAGCGAAGCGAGAAAGTCAAAAGGAGACTGAGTAGCCTCCAAAGGCGCCCGATATTTTTTCTGTCTCTGGTTCTCTAAGCCGCTTGCTCATGTGTTTTTGTTTATTAAAAAGCGATAATTCGGACTTGCCTCTTTTCGATAACGCGGTGGACGTCCCCGAAAGAGCCGGATCCCAGCTTCTTCGCGAAAGTGAAAAGATCTGCGATCACAACGGCAGCAGGGCACAGCCAGCCAGCAACATGTCTCCTGTTACGCTGCCTAAAAAAGGCCGAGCACACACAGGCTCACAGGAGCTTCCCCCAGCAAAAGTGCAACAAGCCTAAGGAGAATACCAGCTCGCGCTGCAAGCACAAGGCGCAGTTGCGTGCAAAAACGCGAGTCTCACCCGTTATCGAAATTCCTGCAAGAGCCAGGTTCCGCCGGCCAACAAAGAGAGAGCGACGAACCCGCATCTGCTTTTCCGGGTAGTACTTTTCCCTTATGCGGCACAGTATCTCCCAGTACTGCAAAATCAAGAGAGGCAACCGTCAGTCGCGAAGGTCAAGCCATTCCTCTACCAAGCAGAAATCCACAAAAAAGCAGCACTGCCTGCGTCGTGCCTCTCCTCTGGCACCTGCAAAGCCCCTGCGCTGCACACCGCCCTGCTCAGCTCACCATCATACAGAAGTCTTCAAGCTCCAAACAACCGCTACCAGACGAATCAAACGCATCAAATATCGTCCGCAAAGCAGATTCTGAGAGGACACCAGGAGAGGGAAACGCACAAGGGAACAGGCACGCTTATTGTACCTGACTGTCTTTCAACGCCGAGGGGCAGTCAGCGGGGCGTTTGCCTGCCATTCTGCCACAAGCGTTTCTGAAAATCCCTCCCGCTGCCCTTACCGTCCACTGGCGGAAGCTGCAGATTGCTGCACAGCCTCCTCACGAGGGCTGCCACGTCGGAGAACCTCAAGACGCCCGATCCAGATGTGTCGAATTGTCTGAGAAAAAAACTCAGCAACGCCTCAACGCGTGTCCTCGCTCGCTTTCCCGTTCGAGTTGGCCTGTCGGCTTTGCGCAGGCTACCGACTGTGTGAACCTCTTTGCATCGGGGATTTTTCCAAGTCACCACCAACAAAGGTTGGGGCAGAAACGCCTTTCTTTCAAACAAAAAGATGCCCTTCCGCAAGGATCGCATCTCCCTTTCCGCTAAAAACGCTTTTCAGAAATCCTAAAAAACGGAGAGCCTCTGCTCTCTGCGTTCGACTTGTTCATGAACCTTACGTGCGCAGGCAGAAAGCGCACATGATCTGCCGTTCCCCTACTTGTCCCTTTGCGGAATCGCCTTCCAGTGCCCTCGCCCCGTAAGGACTTCCTCCCTCTCCCCCCCTTAGGCGTCCACTACGGCCCTCTTCCCCGCCGTATTCCACCCAGCCCCCGCTCCCCCTTCCCTCCAGCTTTGCACTTTTTACCTGAAGGAGGCAGCAGCGCTTTTCCTAAAGTTCTCCCTGCCGTGCATCACCTGCTCCAACTTTCTGCGGATCAACTCGGGAGGAGGATTCGACACTGAGAGCGCAAATGAGCAAAGGCGACACCATGCATTCACATACACGCCGCCTACATACCCATGAGCGAATAGTCCTGCTGCTGTAGAGTTTCGCCCATTTGGCGGTAGCGGCAGCAGCATCAGAAGTCAGACACCACAGAACCAGGCTCCAAAGGGCCGTGTCCTTTGCCTTATAAAGAGCAGAAGCTACTGGCTAAAGGCGGGGCACTTAGCGCCAGAATACCTCGAGGTCTAGGCTCAGCCGCCACAGCACCTGCCCTTTGAGAGACCGCCAAGGACTGCCGCAGCAGGTGCTGCTGCTGCGCTGACTTGTATCTTCCGGCCATAGCTGCTTCAGCTAACAAAGCTCCTGAGACACTACCAAGAAAAAAAACGCTGTTTAAGGCGCTAGTGCTTGTGCGTTCTCCGGGCCCCCTTCTCCACGACGTCTGTTCTCCCACCAATCTTTGTAGCTGATGCTTAAGCCGAGCCTCTCTCCGAGTGTCTAGACAGAGCCGCAACCTGTTTGTTTGGAGCGCCACACTTCGGGAGCTCCTCTCTGGATTTCTCAGGAAAAATCTAGAAGAAAGGATATTAACGAGCCTCTACGTCCGCTTGTCGCTACAGTGGGCCTCAGCCTCGTGAGCACCGTTCTGCTACTGGTGCTGCCTCCTCCTCGAGATGGTGGGTGCTGCCTCTGTTGCTGGCCTTGAAGGAATGATAATGCTATTCCCCCTTAGCGTCTGAATGCATCTGTCCGAAAGGTAAAGTATCAGCTGTCCTTCTGTTGGGCTCCACGATCACAGTTTCTGTGGATGCCCCTCCTCCTGGCCTGGAGGCGGTAGCAGTCGAACTCCGGAGGCTGCAGAGTGAGCCTGTGCTGGAATTGCCAGCAGAGCGACTTATAAAGGGAGGGGCAGCCTCTCTAAGGGCTATTAGGAGGCTGGAAGAATGCTCGAGCGTGGCAAGGAGTTTGCCCACGCAAGGGGAAAGAAAGCAGGCAACAAGGCTCAAGAGCCGTGCGGAGCAGGGGCAACGCGGTGTTGGACCTGAAGGAAAATTACGGGAAGGTTTATGGAGGGAGGTAAGGGTCGATCATGCCATCGTCGTTCCCGTGATTCTATAGAAACTGTGTAAAGGCGGATATCTCAGGCCCTCGAGCCTCAGGGAGCCGCAAACGCGGGCGAGAGGGAAAGCCTATAGCTGGGACACGCCAAAGGCTGTGGGGATAGAAGGAGGAAGAAAGCTTGGAAAGGAGGGGGAGGTGTGGTAAGAGAAAGCCTCCTCCTGCTGGTTACACCGATGCGCACAGGAGGGGGTATATAAGGTCACCTGCCTCAAAGGCCTTCGTTCTAAACAAGCTTAAATCAAGACTTATGCCGGTAGATCAGGTTTTTGATGAATAATCAGCCAGAATCTTTCACAGACCGCCATGACTGCAGCCCGCTGACCAGTGGATCGTCGCCGAGGTCTGCAGCGAATTAACAATTGCTCCCGTTTTCCTTCGACGACTTAACTAGTGCTTTCCAGGAAAAGAAATGCAGGACAGGGCTTTGGAAGCGTAGTAAAAGAGAGGGAACGGCAAGGCACCCTTTCGCGGTTGGCAGGGGTGAGAAGGTCCGAGGCTGGTCAGAGCTGACACTCAACAGATCGCAGAAATGTTAATCAGGTCGTTTGTAGCTTTTCCTTCGCCTGTTTGAATGAAACGCTGAGTTGTAGGATTTAATCGCGATTTAAGTTAGGATAGTGCATTGCTATGAGATTCACAGGAGCCATTTGCAGAGGCCATCCGCTTTGTGCCAGCTGCCTTCACCTGCATTATACAAAGCAGATGACCAGGGCCTCTTAGTGAGGGCAAAAGAACACGTATTCCTGTTTAAGAAACGCACGCTTCAAGCAAAGATGCACTACATGTCTTCTGGAACATAGTATACCACGAATCTCCATCGAAGCCAGCCAGGCATTTGCCCACAGTGCAAGCTTTCGAAAGGCCCAAAGAGCTCCGTACATTAATGGCGTCGTACGGAGGCAAGCCGATGCTATCAGGCACGCATATATATGCATATGGCACTCTAGGGGGCTTCTCCCAACTGCAGTTACCCTAAGGGAACAAGAATTGACATTGACCTCACGATAAGCGAACGGAGGGAGGGGGATCACGATAGGCTGCTCTACTCGCACCAGGAGCTCTGCTTTACGAAGGTCCTGTTTCACCCCTTTGGCTACAGTAGTGCTGGGAAGAGAGGGACTACGACATAAGCAGCTACTTCGGCTCCAGTAGAAGGCCTTGCTCTCTACAACCGGCATAGCCGACGTAGAATGGCCGCCCCTTAGGTGCAAAGACCTTGCAAGCAATATGCCTAGCTAGTAGAATGCAGAAGAGACTAGCAAATTTCTCTTGAATTTGAAATCTCTGAGACAGTGTGGGAAGTCGTTGCACGTGATGGCCATGGCCAGGCCAACATTGACCGTTAGGAGGAAGGGACGACAGCACCCAAACCACACAACAATCAGACAGCGAAGATCAACCGGAGGAAAGCGGCAAGCAACCGAGGTGCACACCCTCCGAGAGAGGCCGGACGATCCCGACCAAAACCAACTACAAACTTTCAAACTGCAACACCTCGAATATGCGTTTTCAGAACTGGAGTCACCGTAGGTGCCGGCACCAGACTCTCCCCCAAATTCTAGAAGTCGAAACCGGCCCAAAAGTATGTAATATCGCACCTGCCAAATGAACTAGCCCTGAAATTGGATAGGCCGCTGCAATGAGTTACCAATACTAGGCCAGAACCGCCAGTGTGTGCGAGCACTGAACTTTGCGCGGTGATGAGCAGGAAGACGTGGGGATCGTGGCAAGTTAACAAGCGTACTCTAGCGAAAGATATCTCTGAGCATCTACATATATATATATATATGTGGATTCGTCAAAATCTAGCAAATCGTCGCTTGCCGTAGCGCAGCGAGACACTTGGGAAGCCGTCGGAATTCGGACTACGTTCTTCAAAGTGGAAGTAGTAATCTACTTGTGCTAGGAAGACGCTTCCCAAAAAACACGGCTACCCTGTCCTTGCTTCCCAATGAAGCCACATACCTAGGTCTCCCCTCAAGCAAAATAACTGCCTTACCCACCTTTGCTAGTCGGTAAAGTGACTATGCAGGAACCTTCAGACATGTGTATCTATAGTATATCAGACTTTTCAGAGGGTCCAGCCCATCCATCAGCGCTCCATAGAACATTTGTAACAGAACTCGTGGAACAACCGAGAAGTTTGAAGAGCTACCAACCTGTTGCCACGTGTGAAGAAAAGCTGCTGTCGTGAAAAACAGCAGGGTCTTCGGTGAAGTTGTACTTTACAGCGTAGGGTTTAAATCTTTCAGTAAAACCCTTGTATCACACAAGGGAAGCACTCAAAGTTCCCGCTCCCCGCCCACCTCCAGCCTTCTCTACAGAATCTAGATATATCGATATGCGGCAGTGAGCTCCAGGGTCACAGTACCCGGAACATGGTGCAAACATGCAGTTTGCTACTTACTAGCCGTCACCAGCTGCAGCCATCCACCGCTAGCTCCAGCTAGCTGGCTAGCGAGCACGGTACACCTGTCTAGCAAGATAGTCCTCGGCAGCATCCACCAAGTAGCACGCCAGCAAGAAGCACCCAGCTAGCCACGCAGGTATCCGCCGCCAGCCCCTACACGGCCAACGGGCCGTTTGCCCTCATAGCATACAGCTAGCCAGGCAGCCCGATACTTATATCCCCAGCTTGCCAGCCAGCTTGTAGACCAGCTAGCTAGCGTTGCAGCTAATTACCGTTTGACAGTACCAGTTCTGAAAGAGTTGAAGTCTGGGTGGTTTACATGTGACTTTTTAAGCCATTCTTCGAGGCGCATCATCTCGGCTTTGAAGAACTGTGAGCGATCGTCATTGCCTGATGACGCACCAGAACAGAGGTAGCAAGCCCCGCGATTGCCACGCAACAGCCTCGACAAGCGCAAAAAATGCTGCGCTGCACACGGAGCATCCTATGTTTTCTTGACAGACTGACTGGGGGGGCCCTACATCGATAACTCCGAGCGCCTGCCCCCCTGCCGCTGCACCGGCCAAGTGCGACTCCTCCCAAGAAAAATGTGCGACTGCTCTCTTGCATATCTATGCGCTGCCCTGGAGCCCCAGTACTAACACCCAATGCGCTACCGGAAGCGGCATTATTCATAAGCCGTTCAAAAAACTGCCCGCCGTGCGTGCGTACCCGACGATAGCCACTCTTGCTGCCCCTTACTAGCGATCACCGCGAAACGCGCCAGCGCGATGAATCGATCCTTCCCTTTTTCTCCGCTTTGCAATTCGCCGACCGTTCCGCCTGTCGGCAGCGGCCCTTCAGCACTTCTGTGCTGCTGCTGCCCCTTGCAGGCCTCCTTCTTCGCATCCTCAGCGCCATGCTCTGCGCAGCAACCCGCCGACCTCTGCCCTTGACGCTTCGGACTGCTCTCGGCAGCCGCAGATCTGGGGGAGGCAGTGGCATCGTCGCTCGCAATGGCATCGGGGGCGCAGAAAGGCGCTTGAGGAGAGGCAGTTAGGCGCAAGCGGTAGTACACTAAAAAGGACGGCGCGGGAACCTTGCAAAACTCGCGTTGTATCGCCTGCCAGTACACGCACAGCCTGCAGGCAAGAAGAAGACACACAGACAAACAGTCAGACAGACACACAGGCAGAGTCGAAGCGGATGCGGGAAACGGCGAAAAATGCAAGCCCCTGACATACGGCTTCAGGATTTGAACTAAGCCCCACTGTGACACGCAGAAAGCGCGCTACGAACGAATGACACTCGAAACATAAGCCCAATGGGCCTTGTCCTAAAGAAACTGTATTCAACAGCGCCATGTACGGTTCCACAGCTGCCCTAATCCCCCCTCTGTGATGGCTCAGCCAGCCTCTTATCCACATGCATCAAAAATAAAGGCACCCACTGCAGAGCACGCACACTAAAAATGCAAAAGCAGCTACGCATGAATGCAAGCGGCACTGGGGGAGGTGGCACCGGCGCGCGGTGGGAGAGACCATATGTCAGTTTGTTCGCATGTGTATGCATTGGCCAAAAGGCCTCATCGGTAGTGACGAAAGCGAAAACTCATCACAAGATCTCTTCAGGCACGCAGCAGCACGCAAGTGCGAAAACACCAAGGCGATAAAGAAGAAGAGCAATGACCGCAAAGGCAACACCATGTCGCATACAGAAGACTTCCCAGAAGCATAGGCCAAGAGAAGTGCAGCATAGATAGCAGCGCACCCCAAAAAATGCTGCAAGCACATGTATAAGGCCTTTTGCGGCGTCTTGCAACAGTTCTCGGCACAGGCACACACATACGCCCAACAAATTACAAATCATAGGGGTCTCAAATGCAGATCGGAAGCACGGTGTGCTAAACGACAAGACACATATGCACCCACATTGAAATTCCGCATACAGTTACGCAGACGCACGTGCAGCCAGGGGCAACCCAATTCTGTATGAAGTTGCGCATGTCCATACACTTGAACGCGTGATACTATATGTAGATATAGATGCTTAAATTCATGCTTGGAAGTACTCAAGAGAATACTCACAGCCGCTGAAAGCGCTCTATAAAAGCAAACAGAGACATGCAATGAAGTGCAGATGTCTATACACCTGCATGGAGAGCGGACGCAAGCAACAGGTTTTCCCGACCGTTGCACGCGTGCATGAGCGACACACGCGCACAATCATGAAAACTGGCAAATAGGCCGTTTAAAATGTGTATATACATAAAGATACACATCACCGAATTTCGAGCGATGTACACGGATGCAAAATAGTGTGTAGCCGTATCATAGCGATGTCAAGGTCTTCCCTCAATATTTGGTGCGAGACATACACAGACAGTCCCCAGACACACGAACACCCATGTATGTGTGGAATGCATGGTTATATATCTATATACAAATGCGCATTGTGCAAGGCACTGGGCTTGAAAATACTACGCACACAGATCGCTTGGCCAGTCAGTTTGTTCGCATGTGCAAGCATTGCCTAGAAGGGCCTCATCGGTAGTGACGAAAGCGAAAACTCATCACGGGCTTTCTCATGCACGTGCTAGCGCGCAAAGTGTACGATCCGCGCCAGCGGGGGCGGAAGAAAAGGCAGCCAAAAGGAAATTAAGACAGTCGTAGATGCGTAGAAGACACCCACGGCGAGCAAACAGCGCACTGGAAAAGTTGATATATATGTATATATGGATATTGGAGGCATCATCCCGCGAATCGAAACAGAAGCGCTATAGTATTGTTTTAGCGCAAAGGTAGTAGACACCTGGACTGAGAATAGACGCTTCTTCACGGCGCTCCAACACCCACTGCACAAGCCCATCGCGGCAGCCCTTTTTGGAGCGCTGTTTGCATGCCCTCTGTGAATGGCGGAAAGCCTATGCGTTTTTCAGCGGACTTACCATGATTCATCGGAGAGCTCTTCGGAAGATGAGCAAAGGAGCTTCAGCTGCTGACTCTGAGTCACCTCGGCCCCCTGTAACAGCTGGGTGACCTGTTGCGACAAGGGCCGCCTTTGATACGGCAGGCGAACCTCCATATAGCGGAAACAACCGCCGCAGCCTGGCCGCGTTGTTGAGGTGTCTTCAGTGGTGCCGCTCCCACTGCTGCTGGAAAAGTCGCCTTCTTTGGGCTCTGGCTGCTGCTCAGGCTGTACCTGCTGCCGCTTCCTCGGAAACAGATGGAGGGCGGACAGATAAGGAACATAAATGACATACGCTATGCGCTGCTCTTCGTCCAGCAGAGGCACCTCGAGGCCGAAGGTGCTCGCGTCGTCGAAGGAGCGCCACAATTCGCTCAAGGGGAAACTTGGCAGCCCCTCTTCCTCTTCGACCTTGCTTCCTTCAGCTCCCACTCCTGCTTCCTCCGCTGGCGGGCAGTCAGCACGTGCATTCAGCAGTGTGCAGGCCGATGACGAGGCCGCTCCCTCGCCTCCGCCTCGCCCGTGTTCTTGCTCCCCAGGGTTGCTCAGCACTGGCGTACACGCGCTGCTACGCACTGGCGCCGCTGCACCGCCGTCGTGGAGCTGAACCGCGTGAGCCGTTGTTCTCGCATCCGCTGCGGCCGCTCCCGAAGCCTCCCTGGCTGGTGTGCTGCTCGGCTTGGAGCGCCGAAAACGCCGCGACACCCGCACAGCGGGAGTAGTCGCAATCAGGAAGGAGGTGAGGTTGAAAAGGCCTCGTGAGAGGCCCTCCTCCTGCGCCTTCCCGATATCCGAGAAGAAGGGTTCAGCGCCACCCTCGCCTTCGCTTGTCGGCGACTGCACAGGGCATCCACTTCCGACCGAACAGGAGGCGGCGTTTGCCGCGAACTCCGCCTGAACACCAGAGGCCGACAAGCCCCTTGCCGCCAGTGGTGCGACAGGAGGCGACCCTCCCCCCGTGGCAGCGGCTGCAGCAGAGGGGGCCTCATCAGCCGCACCGGCCCTGTTGCGGGAGCCGCGGCAGCGCTGCACCTGTGCTGAATGTCTCACCGCGTCCTCATCTCCCCTATCGGCGAAGGAACTAGACTCGGCGAGTAAGGCTGCAGAGTTGTTGGAGTCTGCGGGGGCTGCAGCAGCTGCCGACACTGCCGCTCCCCGACTTGCCGGATGTAGATCCGTGGTCTCAATCCCAGCAGCTGCGGCTTGCGCGTCGAGACACTCTCCCTGGCGCGAGCGCTGCTCGAGAGGAACGTCCCCCTTGCAGCCACGGCCCTCCCCAGCCGCAAGAGAAAGAGAAGACGCCGCCTCAGATGCCTTCTTCGCTCTCCCTAGTGCAAGGGCCGACTGACTTGCTGAAGGCGGGAGTTCCCTAGAGGGCAGTCTGTCGGAAAGCTGACTATCGTTGTCGGAAGCCCCTTTGCTGAAGCTCGGCTCCGACTGAAGAGAGGAGGTGCTCAAAGGACTGCGGCAGCAATCTCCAGAAGCCCCGCTGGCCGCCTGGCTCCCCATACTGCTGCTTCGCTCTTTGGAAGCAGGATCCTGTGCCGCATGCTGGAGCTGCGCTTGCTCCTGCCGCTGCTGACGTTGCTGCTCTTGCTCTTGCTCCTGCTCCTGCTGCTGCTCCTGCTGCTGCTGCTGCTGGAGGCCTTCCTGCTGCGGGTAGAACGGCTGCAGGTGGGCGTGCGCCTTTTGCTGCTGCCGATACTTTGGCTGGACGTACAGACACCCCTGCGTCCTCCTCCCGTAATCAGCCGCCACCCAAGAGCCCTCGGGAGGAGGCGCTGATGTCGCAGATCCCTTAGAGAAGACACCCCCCCCGTAAGGCCGCTGAGGGCCAGTCGAGTAGGGGGGAATACACTGTAAGGACGCGTCTCCACATTCTGAAGCCGCACGAGGCCCCAAGGAAAAATCCCCGCTGTAGCCTCCCTGCAGATGACTTTGCAAGCCGCCTGGGTGAGCACCGGCAACCCCTGCGCTGCTGCTCGCGCTGCTGCTGCCACTGCTGCTCGCGCTGCTGCTGCCACTGCTGCTCGCACCGCCACTCTGGAGCTTTTCCGCGACGCGGCCCCCACGGAAGCGTGGCCCCTGCCGAGGCTCTCCGCGAAACTTCGTGGAGACATCTGCGTAGCCTCTGCCATGCGGCTGCTTGAGCGTCGTCGCGTGGTGCTGCTGGTGTGACTGCTGGGGGAAGGGTGCGACGGGGAACGCAGGAGGCCCTCCCTGCTGCTCAAACAGCCTGTAGGGGGGCTGTTCATACAGCTGACGGCTGTGCTGAGGCGGCTGCTGATGCGCGCTGTAGCTGCGCGCCTCAGAATGTCTGCTGCTGCGACCTCGATGTCGCCCCCCCCTATCACATCTGGAGGAAGAAGCTTCAAAAGCGGCCGCGTCAGCGTCCGCTGCTGCGGCAACGTCACACGTCGAGAAGTCGGAGCCGCACGACAAACCTGGGATCTCCGCGGCTGCTGTCGCTGCGTGCGCCCTGCTCCAAAACTCCTCCGCAGCGTGCTGCTTTTCCCGCGAAGGATGCAGAAAGTGACTGGCTACGTAGGGAGGCCGTCCACTACTCGGCATGAATATCATAAACGGCGGAGGACCACCCCACAAACGCGGTGGATGGCGGGGAGCTGCCCTGTACCAACTGCTCTGCTGAAAACCTCCATAGTCATGACAGTCCTTCTGCTTCGGAGGCAGCGGCTGCTGTGCGCTGTGCTTTTCGCCGCTAGCCATTGGATGCGGCAGGCCCTGCTGCTGCTGCTGCTGTGCTGCAGAGGCAGCAGCAGCAGCTACGGCCTGCTGCTGCATCAACAACCTGTGCTGCTGATGCAGCAACAAGCCTGCAGGCTGCGTCATCGGCATCCAGCCGCCAGACACGTACCCCATGGGGCCCTGCGCTTCCCCCCCTCCCGCTGCCGCCGCCGCTGCTGCTGCTGCTGCTTGCTGCTGCATCTGCAACAACACATGGGGATGCAACATGGGCTGAACCAGCTGGTGACTGCTGCCGCCAAAGTACGGCACCTGCTGCTGCCCATACACGCTCGCATGCCACTGCTGCTGCTGCTGCTGCTGCTGCCGCTGCTGCTCCTCTTCCTCCTGTGGGGGATGCTGCTGCAGCCGATGCAGCAGCAGCACCTGCTGCTGCTGCTGCTGCTGCAGATAGCGCTCCTGGGTGGTGTGCTTTGGGTCTGCAAACCGAGCCAACGCCTCGTGTTGCCTAAAGGAGGCAGTGCGCTCGTCTCCGCTGCATCGCGCCTCGGCATCGCTTGCTGTGTCTTCTCCTGCCTGCTGCTGCTGCTGCTGCCACCGCTGCTGGGGAGCCGCTGCCGTGCTGCTGTCGCTGCTGCTGCTCGTCTGCGGCGCAGTATCCCTATCGCCGAGGAAGCCCATGTGGGGGCCCCCCTCGGGTTCTCCAGGGGGCCGCCACTGCCTCTGCTGATACGCGTGAGGCTGCTGCTGCTGCTGCTGCTGTTGCTGCTGCTGCTGCTGTTGCAGGCCGGCAGTGAGCTCCGAAGAGACGGCCACTCCAACACCCGCAGAAAAGGCGCCCCTTGATCCGTTGGCGCTACCCGAGACAGAAGGCCTCAAAGACTCCCCCGCTGCAGCTGCTGCATGGTGGTAATCGAGCAGCAAGTCTTCCGAAGGAGACGCACGCCTGCGAAGCCTCCGCCGCTGTGCCTCCATCTGTCCATGCATGTGGAGGCCGCCCCGCCCATACCCGAGGTGCTGCTGCTGCTGTTTCTGCTGCTGCTGCTGCTGTTTCTGCTGCTGCTGCTGCTGCAACTCCTGCTCGCGGAAGGGCCCCTGTAGATACACTGGATAGTGCTGATGGGCTTCCCCGTGCACCTGTTGCAGCAGCGCAGGATGGGGCATACAATACGGAACGAACGGCGGATAACCTACAAGCCCAGGTTCCTCAGAGGCAGCCCCCTGAAGCCTCCCCGCCAGGCGTAGCTGCTGCTGGTGATACTGATGCAGCTGCTGCAGATACAGGTGCTGCTGCAGCTGGCGATGAGCAGCCGCTGCAGCGGCTGCTGCTGCTCGGTGGCCTCCCTCATGGGGGTAGGATTCCATCGCCCCCGACGAAGTTGCAGAGGTGTTTTGGTGCTGGTGCTGCTCCTGTTGCTGCTGCTGTTGCTGCTGCTGGTGCTGCTGGTGCTGCTGCTGCTGCCACTGACGTCTGCGCAGCATTTCCTGCTGGTGCTGCTGCCAGTACTGCTGCTGCCAGTAATGTTGCTGCCACAGCTGCTGTCGCCACAGTCTGTGTTGCAGGTGGGGATCTCCGGATGCGATCTGCGGCCAGTAGAATCCCATGGGATGCACGTAGGAGGAACAGCCCTTGGGAGGTTCGGAGGCTTCTTGTCGCGCGTTCTCGCTTTGAAGCTCTCGCTGTTCATCTCCGCTTTGCGACTCTTGCTGCTCTTGCGGCTGCTGCGAGTGGGGGTGCTGCAGAAGCAGCTCTTGCTGCTGAAGCAACTCCTGCTGCTGAAGCAGCTCCGGCTGCTCAAGTGTCTGCGGAAGCATAGCGTTCGGTAAGCCATTCAACACCCTTCTCTGCTGCTGCTGCCGCCTCCTCCTCAACACCAGTTCACCTGTTGAGGCCCTCCTAGCACGCGCAGTCGCTAATGCTGCTGCTGCTTCTGCTGCTGCTGCTGCTGCTGCTTCTGCTTCTGCTGCTGCTGCTGCTGCTTCTGCTTCTGCTGCTGCTGCTTCCCCTGTAGTTGTCGGTGCTCCAGGCGACAAGTGCACAAGCCCGGGTAAAACAGGAGTCACCAACTCATGGACTGTCGCTGGCGCTGCTGCCTCTGGCTTGTTGTGTCTGTTCCCACTCCTCGGTGCGTCAACCGACTGAGCATCCTCCCTCAAGCGTCCTCCCCTCTCCCTGGCCTCTTCCTCTCTCTGCTGCTGCTGCTGCTGCTCCTCTTCCTCTTCCTGCTCCTGCTGCCAAGCCAGCAGGGGTGCCTGCAAGGCCCCCAAAGGCTGTGCCGTCCGTGCATCCGCCTTTTCGCCATTAGCTCCCTGGAGACTGCCTCGCTCAGTGGCTTGAACGGGCAACCCCACACTTAAGGCCCCCGTAACACCCCCAGGGGGCCCCCCCTCTGACCCTTCCGATGTCTGCTCCAAGTGCTCCTCACGCGTCTTCCGCAGCGCATGCGCGCACTCCCAGGCGATCATCGCGTCCGCCAGGGCAGCTGCAGGTGCTTGCGGATGCTGCTGTTGTTGTTGCACAGAAGAAACAGCAGCAGCAGCAGCAGTAGTACAGGAAGGGCCTTCTCTTAAGGCTGTTCTAGCCAAATATTCATGAAGCGTCCCCACTACCAGGCCTAAGAAGACTTTGAGGCTTGGCGCTACTCTCACTCGACAGAGAGCAGCAGCTGCTGCTGCTACAGGAGCAGGTGCTGCAGACAAGCGTGAGGCAGTCCACTCCCTGCCTCGCGGCATGCCGCAGTTGTCACGAGCTGCAATGCCTGCTTCGCATGAGCTGCCGACCTCTTCCCCTACAACAGAATCCTCAGGGTCCGTCCCGCAACGCATTCGATATTCCACAATCGGCAGAAGCAGCAAACAGCACAGCAGCTCACTGAAGCGGCCGCTGCAGTCTACACGCGCATAAATCATGCCACAAGGGCTTACACTACACCAGGTAGAGCAGGAGCAGCAGCTGCTGCTGCCGTCGTTGCAGCTGCCGGGGCTGCTGTCGTTGCAGCTGCCGGGGCTGCTGTCGTTGCAGCTGCCGTTGCTGCCCTCTTCACATCTCTTACCATCCTCTGAGTCTCTGTTTTCTGTCTTGACTACAGCCCGTCTGGCAGTGCACCTGCGGCAGCTGCAGGTACACTGGCGAGTTGCCGCTGCTGCAGCAGCCGCCGCTTCCGCTGCTGCCCTCCCTCCAAGTGCCAGCATAGCCACGGGCTGCCGCTCATCTGCAGGCGAGCGCCGCGCATGCAGCAGCAGCAGCAACATTCTGACCCTGCTATAAGGCCACCTGTCATCCACGAAGGAGGCCTTGCAGCCGTCTGAGACTGCCCTCATCGCAGTCTCTGCCCGTGCAGCTACCGTGCTCACGGCATCTGGAAAGTCTCCAGCCGCGGCAGTAGTGGCACATGGCAGGGGTATCTTGGCCTCCTGCAGCAACCCCCCCTCCTCGCATCCAAAACGCAGAAGCAGCAGCTGCGAAGTCACGCCGTCGCTCGTAAGCCTCGCTAGATTGCGGCGCATTGGACCAAGAAGCCTGCTGCAAAGCGACTCTTCCTCTGGCGAGTTTGGGGGTGGCTCAAGAGGGCCTTCCGCGGAGCCTGCCGCTGTGGGGAGGCGGGGGGAGGAAGCAGCCCCTTCCCCCTCTGCATGCGGGGGCAAGGCAGCGCTGCCTGCGTTGCGAAGCAGCGCACCGGGATTCAGCGCAGGCGAGCCGCAGGGAGACGCCCATACACTGCCGTGATTGCTGTTCGCGCAACTGCTGCCTTGGGGGCTGCTGCTGCACTCCGGGCAGCAGCTGCAGCAGCCACAGCCGCTGCAGACAATCTGTCTGAGCGCCTGTAAGGCATCTTCGCAGTCCACACACGCCGTGCTGAGATGCAGCAGAGGTCCCCCCCCCACAACGGCAAAGCCCTCCTCCGCAGGCAACGCGAGAGCTCCCCACTTGCACTGCTTGAGCGCTGCTTCTGGCGCGAGCACCCGCCTGAGACGACCTTTTCCCACGCCTTGCCACTGCCCCTGAGAGACGGGAGCTGCTGCCTCACGGCTGGAAAGACGGTGCTGAGGTAGCTGCCTCCGAGGAGGAGGGCGAGAATGAGGCGCTCGTGCCAATACGTGATGAGGCCGCTGAGTCGGGGGGCCAGAGGCTGTCATTGCGTCTGCAGCTTGCCGCTCCTCTGCAGCGCGAAGCCTCACTCCCAAGACGCCGCTGCTGCAACTGAACTACACACACAAAGAAGCTGCTGCACGTGGCATTATTCGGCGAACTCCCCTCTCCTCTTCTCCTTCCCTGGGAGGGCCTCTGTGTCTACGCGGAGAGAGAGTGGGGAAAGAGGGGGAGAAGGGGGAAAGGCCAACACGCCTGCGAAGAGGGCCTCGTAGAAAATAGCCTACGATGCATGCACAAACACGCGAGCGAGAGGAGAGCGCCCGCTGTCTGCACACAGTCCCCAAAAGGCAGAAAAGCTTCAGGCCAGATCCTGTCAGTCCTACGCAAAGAGGCTGCGTTGCTGCTGCTGCTGCGGCGGCTGCTGGGGCTGGATTTTTCGGCTTATGAAGTGAGGCTTCCAGCAAGAGCTATCGCATGCAGCAGCAGGCCTGCGCCCGCCACAGCATGCGCCATGTCCCACCAGAGTCTCTGCACTGCCTGGCGTGCTGCTGCTGCTGCTGCTGCTGCTCCTGCTGCTCCTGCTGCTGCTGCTGCTCCTGCTGCTGCTGCTCCTGCTGCGACAGCGGAGAGCGGTGCTGGTGCGAGGTCCCCAGCCTCGAAGCCGCTGAGGCCCGTGTATTGAAGAGATGAAGAAGACAGGCTAGCAGATCGTCCTCGCGAAGCGTTCAATTAATTTGTTGCTTCTCCTGCGGGTAAGGTTGTTGGATTGCAGAGGCAGTGGGCGGTGGCTGGGACAGGCATATGCTTCCCTGTCGATGCAGCGGCATGAGGAATACGATCCTGTCTGCCAGTGTGAAAGCCTAGGGTCTTGAGAAAACAATTGCGTAGCATGGACGGTGCAACCCGTGCGACAAACAACGCTGCTGTGCCTCTGATCGGCCTCGGCCTGAGGTAAGGAGCGCAAAAAGAGAAGAGACTCAGCGAGGGTAGATGACAAAGGAGCTAATGAATCTCATAGAAGAAACTGTCGGACTGCGATTTGCGTTCCGCCGGCTGTCTATTGCTCACTGCCAGCAGAGCGGCGGCAACGGCAGAGAGAGCCACAGGGGCCAGCGTGGGGTTTGTCTGTTCTTCCTTGTGATCGCAAAATGATATTTCACACGAAAAGTCGGAAAGCGAGATCATCTAGAGGCAATAGCTCCTGCAGTTGGCTCAGGCATTAGGGGCTGCAATGGGACTTTGCACACCATGATTACCGGCCGCGGGCTGCAGCCCCCCTGAGAGTTGCCTGCGGGAAGAGGAGGGACAAAATAAATTGGTTATCTACGGACGGATTCAAGTGCTTGCTGAGGCGCTCATGAGAGAGAGATGAAGTAAGCGCGCCAGATGTGGCAGGGAGTTCACCGAGTCAGCAGTTCATGCCAGGCAGGTTCGGCAGTCGGCTACGGACTGCGTTCACGAAAACTACTGCGTGCGCTTTTAAGCACCATAGGGGCTTATTGGGAAACAAGTACCTAGAAATTCACCTGCGAACTACGAAAAGCAGCCCTGAGAGCACCCAGTCTGCAAGAACGGGGGCAACAAAGCCGATATGTGAGCTGCGGAACTGATAGATGCAACTGGGTCTGCCACAGGTTTACCCAAGGGGAATGCTGGGATACCACCAATGGCGCCAGGATGAATATATATATATATGCTTATGCGTTAAAGCTTGGGGGCCCCTGATATCTCCGGGGACGGTGAACGCCCCAAGGTCTAACTTTTCGTCAACCCCCCAAGTGCACCCCGAACATTATAGTGCGCTCTCACAGCCTCTCAAATATTCGTCTCATGCCTCTTTTCCTTTATTTGTCCTCTCTAAGTACTGTGTTGTCTTTAATTTCGGGTTCAGCGCATCTGGCACGTTGTGTTTGCTTGTCCTGAGAGTGGTAGAATTACCAGTGACTGAGGGCAACTGCTTACGTCTTCCTTAATTAAAGCTTATCGGTGCATCTCTTGTTAGGGAATTGGCTATTTCAAAATTTGCGTGTTCTTAAATACGCCCAAACAATAGTTGGTGCGTCGCACCATGTGGCTCTAGTACCAGTCCACACTGGAAGCTGGGACCTGCCTTTTGCGGTTCTGCACATTGTAAAGTTCGTGCAACTACCATGAGTAATTTAAGCTCAACTCTTTTCCTCCTGTCTGCTACTCGGTATAGAGAAGGAGGAAATTTACCTATGTCGACCTGGTGTTAATGGTAGCCGCAGCTAACCAACCAAGAGGAGACCCCATGACGAGCTGTTCTAAAGCGACCATTACTGTCAGGGTGACACTAAACTCCAGTGCCCCTATATGATGGAATCGGCTGGGCAGAGGGGTTTTAGTTGTAGCCATCGAAAGTGCAGTGAATAGCTCAAGACGGACCCGCTGTGGAATTGCCCTTATTGGGTCTGCCGAAGTACGTTTCCTTTGGTCAACACTCCATGAACTCGTTTAGCCTTAGGCATAGCTTTAAAGTCATTCTCCTTTCCTTCAGCATAGCCAAGGCGGGCACCCCTAGAAGTCCCCACGGCAAGCACACTTATGCCTGGTGGGCCACCCGGGCTCCCCATTCTCACGATAACTAAACGTCTGAGAGCACTTTAATGATGCAACTATTAGGCCCTAGGTATCTACATTCTATGCATTGGTGTGAAGCTTATAAGAGCGCTCAAACCCAGACTGAAAGACCACGTCGGTCTCATGCAACAGCGTTTGACATTTGTAATCTCAGCCTTTTTGACGTTCATCGCAAGGGAGGAGGCCAGGAAACCCTTTTAAGTGCTCATTTTTCCCATAATAGCATACACAGCACGTCCGGTAACTGATTCTGTGAAACGGAAAATGCGGCGTCGTCATCATTAGCTTTGGGCACATGCAGTGTTGTATCATAATACTTCAACCCACTGCCACAAGTCCCTGCAAGGGGTCCCTTCGTAAAGTAACACAGAGCGACAAAATACTTCCGTTATTCTAGCTGTAAAACTTGCAGTCACAGCGTTTCGTGTGGTGAGGTGCCACCCACACGGTGCAGTTCGCAAATTGGGCGCAAAAGGTACAAACCGTGAAAGTGTATTCTACGGTGGCAAACACGCTAGCCTAGTATAGCTAACCCGACCATGTAGGGCTCTATGTTGCGTCCTGTTGTAGAGCTTCAAAATTTGTCCACTTTTGGAAAACTGAGCTTTAGGTTTTGCACCGAAGGCGGAAAGGGGCTGCAGCCAAAGAAATAAAATTCTGTTTCGAAGGAAGCTTCAGGACACCCCTGCATATACCATCTCGTTAGAAGTACAAGATCGGAGTAACTAAAATGTAGAGGCCGAGAAGCAGTGAAAAATGTTCTTACAGGTGCAGATTTTAGACGAATGCGATTTCTACATAAGTCGTGCTTCAGGCGGCCGTGGCGTAACAGACCTACATCCTAGGAGCAATCACAGACCCATCTGCCCGCCTATAACAGCTAATGGCTACTGTTGCATTGGACTTAAACGCACGCGGTCGGTCCTTGGAGCCTGCGTCACCTACCTCATTGACGAAAAGCTACACCTTTCTTTGGTGAAGATCAGCAGTCCCTCGTATGTGTGCTATATTACAATTCGTTATCAAGCATCGCTGTAACGTGAAGGATTTTGTCAAGTGATGTTTCACGCCGACATATTCCTGCCAGCTTCTATCTAGCCAGTTTGCAAATTTTGAGATCAGCTCCTGTTATGTGAAGCCACTTTTCTCCTAGTAGAAGCTAGCGGATTATGTAGATTACAGTATGTGCAATCCAGTTCCCACAACTGGTTTGCAAGTTCTGCAACAGGACTCAGCTCTACATGGCTGTATTTCCTGCAACACTTTAGCTTGGCGTTCCCTTTCAAGCGTACCCGAATCCTGGACGTTTGCATTTGTTGGCACTTTGACGCAGGAGTTAAGCATACTGTCCACTGAGCCGAAGGAGTCACAAACAAGTAGCAGGCTCAAGCACTTAATGGCCGTGACTTCGTAAAAATAAAGCGGCAAAGTTTGAGTCTGGCGAGACATCTAAGTGCAAAAGTCTTTTCTGGAATTGAAAATTGCGGATAGCTATGCTATCCAGGAACTTTGATGAAATCTGTTTGACATCCGTTCGATATAATTTCAGTTAAAGGAGCTAGAAGGACAAAAAACAGTGAATCATTTTTCAACCACAAGCCCCCAAATGCCGATCCCACCACCATTGTCCTACTTCTATTTTCTCTGGCAAGTACGGGCTGCTTAGCAAATAAGTTCTTGGTCGTAGTTGCCAATGTAGGTGCTCACTAACGACCATACGGATTGCCAATTTATAGCCATGACAAAGAAGAATCATTTGCAGGCAAACCGACGATGTGACAGCTATTTGACCCGCAACTCCACTCCACGTTTCAGAAGCCTTAATGCCCCCTCTACTTGGAACACTTCGATGTTCGTTTGGTCAACTACCTGCGTCAGAAGCTGGTGAAGCATGGCTGTTCATTACCTCTCTTTGAACAGGACTTGCGCTTGCTGCACTGCTTGGAGGACCTTATTCACTGCGAGCAGGCATCAATAATCCTGGTTGAAGACAATTGGTGTAGGTATTAAGTAAGTGCACTTGGTTTAAAAGGCGGTTGCCGAGGTCAGTATTAACTCATGGCGATACGTGGATGGTCTGTATGTAAACGTGTAGACTTGGTAGCGAACCTGAAGGGTGGCACTGGGTGAATGTGTAGACCAGTGCCGTTCGCTGGCCATTTTGGAAACGAATAAAAGGAAGACAGATCGCTCGTATCCATTTCGCCAACTTTAGTCGCAGTCTTTCCGGTGGGGTCCTGTCCGGCTGCATTTCCATGGTCCATCACTAGGGCTGCGGAAGGCGTCCCGTCCGCGACCCCAATGTCCACCTGCTTAGCAAAACTCTCCGCGAACAGCATTTCTTTAGCAGTTGAAACCTCTTCCCGAGCTTATGCCTTTATGGCTACTCACCGCCGTTCTTCTGTCGTTCGGCGTTCCATGGAGACGCGCAGGTGCAATACGTAGAACGAAGAAATTTCTGATGCCTGCTAGTTCAGCCGTAGAATGTTGCACACTGTTCATGAGAGCAGCGCTGTAGGCATTTATCCTCCTACCCGACCCGTCCAGCACACTAGGCATCCGAGATTCGTCAAACTACTTTCTAATTAAAGCACGAGTCAATAACCAACGGCACTTGTCGTCACATGAGTCAATTGAGTAGACACTGGATGAAAACCTGTCAAGTGTAAATGGTCCCTCTCGAATCGTTCAAAGTTGTGATAAGCGCGCGTGTTTTTCGTCATACATGGGCGCGCATCGGCACTCGCTGTACTTCCTTTTCCAAAATCACACTGCACTGCATATACTAGATCACTTAATCTGATAGATGTGCAGAGTACGGATGTTCCTCTTCTGTGTCTGAGCTTTGTAATTACTGAACTGTTACCTACTACGGTCAGCGCTCTGTTGTCGGCTGCAAGTGTTCCGGCGGTGCTTTTCGTGTTGAACCCCGTTCGCCGCATGGGGGTAGCTGGTCACATTGCTTGCTGCAGATATAGTAAAGTAAGAGTGAATGTGGTGGCCGCAACAAAAAATGCCGAATTCGAAGATCACGACCAATCTACATCCTTCAACACAATAGCTTTATATCCCACGCTCTTGCATAAGCAGTCCCGATGAAGCCTCCCTCGGCAACAACACTAGAGCAAGCCATTGCACGTTCGTGATCAAAAGAGGAGTGACCATACTCAGTAGAAGAGTGTGTAACCATCCTTCAAATTGTTTTCGCGCTCCTCATGCGCCTGCCTGCTACCAAGCCCATAGTACTTCTTTTGCTATTCAGGCATCCTGCCCCCAGCCAGCTGGCTTTTGTGCGTTTGACCACGGAACAAAACATGCCATTTTAGCAATTTAAAACTTGTTTCCAAGGTTCTGCCGCATTTTCCTAAGCGTCACACAATTGTGACAAACACAAGGGGTGCGGTATTTACCGCCATGGAGGCGCGACCCCTTTTCGTCTAAGTGCGTCTCACCCTTAAATTTCAATCAACACAATCCCACCACGCGTGGCCAGCCCTCTGTGGCTATATGCCCTACAGGGTCACGAGGACAGCCCTTCATGGTCACAGGGAAACAAGCACAGGGGCCCCTCTTCTCACGCGTTGAGTCCTTCTGGGCCCCCACTACGTACTTTCGCCAGTGTAATAATGAAAAGGTTTTTCTCTCTGACTGAGGGGAAAAACAGGGGGATGCAGTTTCCAGTTGAACACAGATGAATGGCCACGCAGAAGTCTCCAGGTGCGATGCCTGCAGAGCAGTCAACTCTTTTCAACTGCTCAGACGTGTACAAGACGTTCTTCACGGAGCTCAGCTCCACAACACGGCTCTTCCTGTCACAAGAAAGCTCGAGAGCACTGTTATTTGCGGTCAGTTTCACCTTGCAGTCCAAGCGAGACTTGTCCTGCAAATAAGGACAACACAGAAAAACGGGGAGTCAAATGGGAGGCAAAAGGCTTGGAGAGCTATAACAGGTCCAAGCGGGAGGAACTTGACAGTCATTCTGAAGTGTACACGTACGCCACAGGAGCTACGCCTGCTCATAGACCCTAAGATTGCCTAAGATGATGATCATATATCGTATACGCGTGCAGCCTAACTGCATATATGTACCACACAAGACGTGAGAGTGTTCTCCTCTTCTATAGGATCTAATGGATCTGAGATGCCTGGGCAGTGAGGTCACAGCTACTTTTCTCCCGCTACAAGAGCTAGCGAAGTTATGGTGGTGCACAAAAGATCCTAATGCCTTTTTGCTGACAAAAGACAAAAGTTTAGGAAGCAGCACAACCACATCAACAGGCCCTAGCTCTAGCCTCGTTACCTGGAGGATCAGTCCGACTGAGAGCCCTTCGTGCAGAAGGTCCTCCATCTCTGGTTTGAACAGTTGTACGAGCGCCTCATTCGTCCCATCCAGTGACTCTAGAGATATCTGCAGGGGATCCTCACTGTCACCGCAGCACCCACTGCAGGAGTTTCCCATTGTCGAAAGACAAAAGCGGATGAGCCAACTGCGGACAGGAGAGGGCGGACTGCGAGGCACGCAGACGGAACCCCGCGAAAGAACTCAGAACAAATACGCGGCAGGGAAGAAGGAGTGATTAGGGTGTGAAGTACACAGGAAGGCAGAGGGCCCCTGTGCTGGCCACACTGAATAGAACCCCCGATGAGGCGACAACCGACAGCGTGGTAGCTAAAGCTACGAGGAAGAAACCTTTGAGCGGCCCTGGACAGCCTAAGCAATGTGCGAAGGTGGAAATTCAAATTGCGGTGCCTTCCTCTTCCGCAGGTCGTTTTCCCCCAGAATGCCAGCAGAGGACGTGTAGGGGAAGATCGCAGAGCCGAAGACTTGTGGAATGACGAAGAATAAGGGACTCAAAGTATCTAAGTCAGTCCTATAAGGGAAGATGGTGGCGCAGAATACGTTCTTCTGCTCTTTGCTCCACTCCCGTGGCTTACTGCAGGCCGGCACCCTCACAGCAACGACCAGCGACACAAAAACACCAGAAACACCCGAAACTTCGTGCGGGCCCCCTTCTTGTTCTTTGCTCTTTAATACTATAACCCCTTCTCCTTTATTTCCCGTCAGAAGGAAAGTTATCCTGGGGCTGAGGGACCGGCCCGGCACCGCCTGGTGAGCTACGCTGCGCCTCTGGTCCAAGCACCCATCGCCTGGCACTCATGAGCCCCCATTGCCAAGATGAGGAAAAGCGGGATATAAATCATTTGTATGCTGGGAGCGTAAGCGTGAGGTCAATTTTTCTAGGGTTCTAGGGTAAATAAGGTGGAAAAGGCGCAGTGGACTGCTCGTGGTAGATCTGCCCACTAGTACAAGGATCGACTTTTCGGGCTCTACTCAACCAATTGGGTTCCCTCCTGCAACATGCGCAGAGGAGCGAGAGATTTAATTGCGGGTCATGACGAACTGCGGAGCTCGCGCTTTTCACTGCGGTTGTTGTGGTGTAGCTCTCAGCAGCCGTGACTTCCAGATGCACACCACCATAGATGCCTGAAGCAGCCCTCAAAGTGTGCTTTTAGGAGACAGCTCCCCCGCCGTAGCTGCTGCAAGGTAATAGAGACCGCAGCTTACTCTGGGAGTGCCCGTTTGAAGCAGACTCCGGGTCACACACACACACCCGCTCATACACCAAAATGCACAAGGAAGTGCCACGACCGCCCGTAGCTCTTAAAATGCAATACGCGTAAGGTTGTGGGATAAACCTCCAGGCCTAAACCAATACCCGTTTCTAAAGGGCACCTTGTGGTCTTGGCAACATGAGGCAAGAGTTTCCGGGGATTTGAATCCCTTAAACGATAGCCCTCCAGGCGCCCTCAGGGGCGTATACCGCGCGATCTATGGCGCCCACCGCCTTAGCCCTAAGCAAACTATTTGATCTTTGCAAACAAAGTCTCATGCTTCAGTCAAAATTTCCCTACCCTAGTACATTCCTCCCGCCACTGCATAACGAAAACGGAGCAACCAACTTAAAGATACGGGATGAGTTATTAGACTCTGCGTTTCCCAGCCAAACTGCTGAGTTCGCAGCCAGATCCGTGTTTCGTGCATGCCCTGGGAACCAGCTGCAGGCCTAAGCTCCAGCCGCAACAACGATAGCAACAATAACAAAAGTGTATACTCATGCCAGGGCGTCAAATGTCACAAACGGCGTAGCCCCCGCCACGCCTTTGTGCTGCACTGCGGCCTACGCCCGTGTAGCTTAAATGCACATACAAAGATGAAGCGGGCTCCTCCTTATACAGCACAAAAATACATAGTACATGGTCTATGTTTATGTAGTCCTGGCTGCAAGCTGCCCAGGCCGCTATCGCAGCACGGCCCCAGGAAAGTAAATCAAGCGGCGCAGAACACAGACAGACGGTCTCCGGCTCATGCAATGTTACAACCCCACCGAGCTGTTCAGACACCACAGACAAACACGGCGCCACACGGCGGGATAGTCGTGTTAGGAGAGGAGGCAGGAGAGATCCTGGTCGGATCGACACTCCCAGCTAAAGTGCGAATACAGCTGAGACCTTCTTGTGATTCTGCGGCGCAGGCCTCTCGGGGCCATTCACTGCAGCTCTCCGCCACGGAGAAAAGCGGGAAGCCATAAATCGTATAGGACAAGACATCAGTACATACCGTGGGCAGGCGTTCACGATGGACCATCAAAAGGCGACAAACCAAATGTGTTGTGTGTGGGAAGTACATTCAAATAGGAAAATGCAGAAAAACCGGAAAAAGGTTGATTATCATACGAATTTCGTATAGTATATACCGCTGATGCACGAACATCAAGAAGAAAGATAACATGTGTGCAATCTGACAGAGAGCACTAAGTGGGGCGCTATTGAGGTCAGGTGACGCCCTTTCAGACACGCCATAAACACCTGCTATGCCCCTATTCTTCTACAGGCTCTAGAGAACTATCCTATCCACTCAATTTCACGCACAGGGACCGCCACGCCTCGCTGTCCGCCAAAGCCTTGGTGCTCCGACGAGGCCAGGCGCACTCGATCTTCTCGTACAAGGTCCATCTCGCTGCTCCTTTTCTTACAAGGGGGCAACAGCCCGCAATCCAAATTCTGCACCTTCCACAGGGCTCTCTCCAGATAGAAGCTTCAGGCCCGCGTGACTATCAACGGGATGCTGCTGTTGCCGCTGCTGCTGACGGCAGAAAGCCTGTACCTGCAAGCCTCCAGGACCAACTGGAGCCAACTGCATGCAATCCGCAGTGCTCCAATCTATCTGTGCCGGCGCGGCGGCACTTCTAGGGGCCCCCGGACAACACCAGGCAGTCGCACTGCCACTAGTGGAAGTGCCTGCAGAGGCCCCTGCTCCTGTAGTAACTGCAGCCTGTGTGCCGTGTGGCTGCTGCCTGAGTCCTCGAAATCTCCGCATAAGCTTCTGTGCGATGCGGCTGTGCTGGGAAGTGTGCTGATTCATGAGACTGAAGCGGACAACATCTAATACCGCCTCCCTCTGGGTAGTGCCCGCTACAGCCAGGGCTCGCTGCACCACTGAAACAACAAGAACACCACCACCCAGCATACGCAGAGGACCCTTTCCCCTCTCAATCTCCTCTTCTAAAACAAGATATACTCCTCCTCTGCTGCCCCCCCCATCCCGCGAAAAGCCCCACACCCCCTGCCTCTTATTTTCAAGAATGCGCAAGCAGCCGGAGCGAGCCTTTCTCACAGCCGCTGCCGCGCACACAGCTGCTCGCTTACCATAATTGCCGTAGGCATGCAGCACGAGCTGTTGCAACTGCTGGGGGTCCTCAAGAAGCTCCCCAATCACCTGCGCCCGCTGTTCGCTGTCTCCTAGCAGCAAACACTGCGCCAATCACAGCGGACAGAAAGCAGCAGGAACTGATCAGGAACATAGACGGAAAATATCTAGCTAACAGGCCAAAGGCGTGAAGGAAGTCTGGAGCCCATAGACCGCCCATGGAGCTTTTGTGCAATGCACCCGCGAAAGATTTCCTCTTTTCTCTTCATTCACGCAGTTGTTTGATAAACTTTCGCTCTGGCCTAATTTAGGGGGAAGGAGCAATGCTCGCGGGGGCTTGGAGACGGCACAGCACCAGAAGAATACCATGGGACGAGCTTGCAGACGGCAAGAGAAATACAAAGCGTGCGGCCCTCACCTTCTCTACAACGTTTGACGCAAATTTCTGCTCTGACAACTCTCTAACGTGGCCTCGCAGCTGCATAATGATGGCGGAACCGATGCGCTGCAGCAACACACAAGACAATCGACTTTCGAACAAGACTCAAGATCCACTCCAAGACGCAGGCTGCACCAGCGCACACCCTAGTGACGAAGGCCAGGCGAGCTAGGCATTCGCGAAAGGGCGAGCACTGCACCGATATTCAAAAAAACTACTCGACAAAAACCCCGCTTTCTCTCTTCTCCCCTCCTCTACCAACAAAAACAAAGGTGCGTGCACCCAACGCCCCACGGAGTAAAGACGGGGGCGCGCATAAAATTGACAGCCACGAAGCAAAGCGGTAAAATAAAGGCCTCCAGCACCAGATTCCCCCGGAAATCGCAAAATTTGCCGTCAAAAATAAACAACTCACTGCGTGATCATGTCGTAAAACGTGCTGCACCACATAATTCCCAAATGGATCCTGCGATAGCAGGAGGGCGTTAGCTGCAACCTCGGCCAGAATCTGGTCCTGTACATACACACAAAAGCGTGTTGGCAATACACTCCGCGTAAGGCAAAACTTTTTCCAGAGGCGGCAGACCAATACGAGCAAGCAGGGCACCCAGATTTGCACCGCCCCACCTCCCATTTCCCCGTAGAAACTGCTGCTTAAGCATGCATTCGACGTCACTCATACCTCCCCCTTCCCCCCATTTTCCGCATACCTTGAGGACCCCCGTGGCGGCTTCGCAGCAGCGCTGCATTACGCAGCACCCGTGCCTTTCAGTGGCAATGTGGACGCAGTGGTCACATGCAGTTTTAAGGATGAAGTCGATGCTGCACGCGCTGCTTTCGCGCGTACTGCACCATAAGAAGCGTTTGATCACATGATTTCCATTGGCATCGGTTGCCAAGTCAACGACCAATGGCTCGAAGGCGCAAATCAACTCCTGCGTGAGCGACGGACTTTGGCGCTGCATTCCACATCCAAGCAACAAAGGGGGATTCACGAGCATCCTCTTGGATCGCTTTATGCGAAAAAGCGACAGAAGAAGTCAGCACACAGCAAGTGCACACAAGGGCCTAGAGGGCCGCTTCCCTAAACCGACGCCCCCTCTGTGCATAAACATATCTCTACATATACATAGATATATCGCTCTGTATCTTCCCCTCTATCTCGCTCCTCCCTTCTTCTCACGGGGGCAGACGACCAGCATACGCAGCAGCAGCATAAAAAACAGCAGCAGCAGGAGACAAGCCCTCAAAAGCGGCTTGTGAGGCGTCCACACTGCCTCCGTTCGTCGAGGCCCCCCTTCCGCGTCTTGTGTCACCTTACCGATCCGCAGATGACTTCGATGAGCTTCTGCGCAGTGCGTGTGCCATGCGGATCAAGGCATATGTCCTTGAGGTGGGGAGTAATGGCGTGCAACAGCTGTCGCAGCTGGTCATCGGAGCAGACGTCCAGGAGCTTTTGAAACAAATAATTGCCGTAAGCATCAGTCATCAGTTCCTCTAGGCGGGAGAAGGCCATGTTAAAGACGCGATCCACTTCGTCAGGGGTTCCATCTGCCAGCAGTCGCTGGAGCAAACGGCAGCCCCCTTGGTCCTTAGCCGTCCTGAACAGACTCTCGTCATCAGCCTGCAGAATGTCTATTTCAGAAAGCCGCGGAGATGAAGACACCTGCTCATCTCCACGCGCGTTGAGAGCAACCCCATTCGCAGCACTGCTGCTGCTCATCGGGGTAGCCGATCCCCCGCTGGCCTTCGCACGGCCTCCCCCCCCACGACTCGCCACACGCTCCGCATTGTTCTCGTTGGCAGCCACGCGAGCACGTGTATTTCCGCTCAGGAGAGGCAGCTCTGGAGCAGTAACAACACCCCCGCGAACCTCGCGAGCGGCAGCTCCCCCCATGCCCCGCTGGACGGGCGGAGATTTCGTCCAACACTCCAGTGCAGCATCGTATGCACCAAACAAACCACTCTCTGAAAACAAGATGCAAACAAAGTACTTTAAAAGCACATACATATATATATATCAACACATACATATTCAGATACGTACAGTGAGACATCTACATACATGCACACAGTCAGACATATTCATACATGAACACACACATATACATACATGAACACATACACATCACACAGACGTACATATACACATACATGCATACATGAACACATACACACCACATGTACAACCATACAGAGACACATACATAAACATATATAAACACATACACATCACATAGACGCACATAAACACATACATACATACATAAACACATACATACATGCATAAACATATATAAACACATACACATCACATGTACAACCATACAGAAACACATACATAAACACATACACATCACATAGACGTACATAAACACATACACATATACATACAGCAACACAAACACAACACATATACATACAGAAACACATATACATATACAACGATACATCAATACGTATGTATAAACGCACGACCCTCGAAGGACGATACGCGCATCATGGCACCCTGAGACAAGAGCGCTCCCCTACCAACGAACCCAGCCACGCAGCAGCCCGAGTTGCACGAAACAGAGTTTTACAGCAGACGCAGTGGGAAGGGGTTACCATGTGCGAACAACGCAGCGTATTTGAAAAAAATAGACCAGAAAATGCAGCAGCGTCTCAGCACGGTGAGTGACACACACGAGCACAACGCAAGAGCCAAGCTTGTTCCCCTCGAACGCCGACCAACTACCCCTTTCTCCCCTTCCGCCAAGCCTCCCCAGCAGGCCCTCCCTCACTCCGGTGTCTCACCAGTGCGCTGACGTCTCTTCTGCTCCTTGCTTTGACGCGTCGAAAACTGACGCCTCTGCAGCTGCTCCTGCAGGGGGATGGAGGGGGCCTTGCGACTGCTTTCCTGCGTTGCTCCCAGCTCCAGCGCAGCCTGCAGTCGCAAGTTTGCAGACGCCAGCCACGCATCTGCTGCGGGAGCTGCAGACGAACGGCGAGCTGCTAGTCGCGGCGAGAAGGGGCCTCCCTCCCTGCCCATGAGCCAGGCAGCAGCAGCAGCCTGCTGAACGGCCAGCATGTTGCGTTGCTGCAGCAGCAGCGACTCCCGAGGAAGCACGTCGCCAACCCCCCCACTCGCTCCCGAGGGCGAGAAGCCTCCTGAGATCCCCATAAGCCCCCCCCCCAGGAGAGAGGGGGCTGCTAAGGATGGCGGAGGAGAGCCTGTCAGGCCCAGCAACGCGCCTCTGAGAACACGTGTAACACACTCTCACAATGGAGGACGTGCGCGCACGGCTTTTAAAGCCCCTCTACTCTCCCCGTAGATACACAGAATAGGAGCGATGCATGAGTAAGTGCAGAGTCCAAAAACTCAGTAGGAGGCAGCGCTCCTACAGAGCCCTCTATAGGCATCAAAAAACACACCGACTTGCCCCACTCATGAACAAATCCGTATCCCCCAAACACAGAATTAAGGCCTCCCGACCCCTCTTGCCCCTCTTCCCAGTCTACCCCCCTTCTCTCCCGCCTTCCCCAACAAGGCTCTCGCTTCGCCAGGGGAGACAGAAGGCCCCACAGCCTGGCCCCTCGCCAGAAGAAGCCCTCTGGAACCGCCAAATCGACATGCAAAGCAGACACTACCCAGGCTTTGCTGCCCCTCCACTGAAAGATAAGCCACTGAGAAGAAGGGCAGCCAAGCCTCTAAAAATTTGCTGCTCTTTTACTGAGAGGAAGGGCAGCCAAGCCTCTCAAATTTGCCGCTCCTCCACTGAGAAGAAGGGCAGCCAAGCCTCTAGAATTTGCTGCTCTTTTACTGAGAAGAAGGGCAGCCAATCCTCTAAAAATTTGCTGCTCTTCCACTGAGAAGAAGGGCAGCCAAGCCTCTAGAATTTGCTGCTCTTCTGCTAAAGGAAGGGCAGCCAAGCCTCTAAAATTTGAGGCCTGCCACTTACACGGGGCTTTCGAAAGGGTCGGGCGAAGGCATCGTCCGCGTAGCAGCAGCCGCTGCAGACGCCAGCTGCTGTGCAGAGTAGAATGCAGGGAGAGATGCTCTGTTCGCAGGGGAGGTGCCTTCAGCATACAGACGACTCAGGGGGGGTCCCCCCAGGCCGCTCTGCTGGCAGCTCCTTCCTCTGGAGAGCGCACTCAGAGCTTCCTCCCCAGATAGGGAGTTCTTACGGGTCCAGTCGCTGGCAGGCACGAAGTCGGCTTCTGCCTCTTCATCTCCATTCGGGGTGCACCGCTCAGTGCTGCTGCCGGAGTAAGTGGCTCTAGTAGTTGTCGTTGCAACGCGTGTAGCTGGAGCTGCTGGCAGCCCGCCTGCGGCATAGCTCCCCCCCCCAAAAGGCACTGAGGCTTGTTTCTGCGAGGCTTTGGAGGCCTCAAAGCGCTGCCCCCCAGCAGCTACTCCAACTTCCCGTCCTTCCCCGCTTGCCGCTGGCGCAGCCTGTCGCAAAAGCGCAGCCGCTGCCGCTGCAAGCTTCTCCCCTTGGGCGTCCGACCCCGTGGGAAGCCCCTCTCCCGTCGCTGCTGCTGCAGCAGCAACGGCTGACAAGTTGTCCCCCTCTTTCGGCGCTTTGTTCGCCCCCCTGCTCCGAAGCCGCGGAAACAAATCCAGCAAAGACGGCTCCTCCAGAGGCTTCGGCAGGGAAGGGTTCTCGCGCGCATGACTCCTAAACAACGTTTCAAGATGCACACCCCACTAAAACAGCTCCCATGCGACCAAGGGGCCCTGTACGTATATGTATATCTATATATGTATATAGTGATATGCATACATATATACATATATGCATGCAGGTAGATATGTATGTATATATACATGGTTGTGTTCATGTACGCAAGTATATATATATGTATGGTGTGCATACATGCCAAACGCTGCACTCCTTGGGCCAAGTTTACAGGAAAGTATACAAAGAGGCATTCCCATGGAAGTATGCAAGAAAGGAGATAGATGCATGAACAGCAGCAAAATGACCCGCAATGCCATGCCAGCACAGCTATTTTGAAAAAAAAAACACACACACACATTGAGAGACATGCAGATCTGAGCGCGTCAACGGAGCCGCTACTTGGATGTGACCGCTCCTACATGAAATGCCATTTGTACAGCGCACCATGATCAAGCAGAAAACGCTTGTTTCAACTCGAAAGGCATTTAACTCTCGCTTAACCCGAGTGCCTCGACTGCCTTCCGCGAGTAGGGCGTCTATGCTGCCTACCTGTAGAACTCGCAGTACTGCTTGTCATAACGAATATCGCCCAAGAGGGACTCAACGCATCCTGCGCTCTCTGCTGGAGGGTATGCGAAGAGGGTAGAGGCACTGATTGCGCCGAGATTCGGAGGGGCAGATATTGGTCGAGACAGCGAGGGGATACCCGCCGCGTTCAGATCCTCAGAAGAGGCATCCTGTAGAGTTTCTACCAGCCTTGAGAGGGAGCCCCCCTGGGCCCCATGGAGTGAGGCCGGCCCATATTGAGTTGAAGCTGCCCCCTGTAGCTTGGGGGCCTCTCCGGATTCCCCATTGGCGTTGGTAACGAGGGGCACTTCCGAGTAGGACCCCCGCGGGCAGTCTGCCGCCTGTTGAGCCTCGCTGAGGCCCCTGGAGAGCAGTTCTAACGCCCCAATGGCCTCCATATGCGGTCGGAAGCAGGGGAGAGGCTGGCTGTGGTGTCTATGCGCCGGCTCCTCGTGACGCTGCAATGGAAGAAACGTGCATCACGCGCTAGAAGCAGCACAAATCGACGACTCTATTCAGAAATAAAGCCGGTTGTTCCCTTGTTCTCCTTTTCCCTTGTCCTCCTCTATCCGCTGCCTATTTCCTTCGCCTTGTGCCACGTGATCGGACGCTTGCAACGAGGGGTATGCAGTGCTAGAGATCCCAAAAAACTCTGGCTGCAGCGCGCAGACACCCCTCGATGCGCGAAATTTTGGGTCTACCTTGCTTTGGGGAGAGAAAAGGGGTGTAGGGATTGCCGTTCATATGCGGCTAGACCAGCGATGCGCCAGGGAGAGAGTGCGGGTAGGCGCTTTCCAGCCTCTCTCTCACCCCGACTTTCTGCCTCGAGGACACAACCACGTGACTCAGCCTGTAGTTGTTTCCACAGCTGCATGTAAAACAAAAAAGATCAAAGAGTCCTGCAGTCCATCGCCGAGAGCGCCCCGCCCGCCGTCCGCCAGCGCCGCACAGCGGGCAGCTGTGCTCAGTACTGGAAAATCCTCAGAGCAGCCCGGTACCGCCCCATGAAAATTCAACTGGCCTCAAGTAATCAGTCAAAAAAACGGGGAAAAGAACCCTCGCAGCGCCAACGGAATAGGGCCTCGGCGTGAGCAACGGCCAGCAGAACCTACTCAACCTGCTGCTGCCTGTGGGGGGAGGTGGGGGCGCAGAAGCGAACTCCTCACTACCGCTAGCGCTTCTTCTTGGCCTCGATCTTATTCCTACCGCTACAAAACACTTGTTCTGTGCCATGATAAAATGTATTTGACTCTTGGTGCCTCATGATTTTTGGCCGCAGGTCGCTCTCGCGTACAAATTAGCCATTTCAGCTACAGCCCCGTGCACTCTGAACGCACCGTACACCACAGGAAAACTCCAAAGTAACAAAAAACCGCGCGTTTTCCTTGCAGCACACAGCAGCGTATGCGTTAGGCACGCCGTAGAACCTGCGGCCCGTGGTGCGGGACCTGGCGCTCATCTGACGAAGGCTGCCTAATATCGCAAGAAATACATCATCACGCTTTCGGCCTTGTAAAACGCAATAGAAGGGCACTTGAACGTGAGTTACGCCGCAAAGTGATTATTGTTTCAGATACTAGCCAACCGAACCACTGAAGCAGAGGCGCTGCCTGTGCAACAAGAACTCGTTCTGCACCAGCGCTGCGAGCTACGCTACACTCAAACG